TTTTAACCTAACAAGCCAAATATGAGCATTCTTAAGCCTTATTAACAAGTTTGTCCATTGTACTGCGTTTTCTGAAAAAAAAAAAAAAAAAAAAAAACATTAAATTACTTGCGTGTGCAGATCAGCAGTGTTAATATTGAGAGTTTCTGGATATACAGAAGGAGGATTCAATCATAATAATCAGCCTGTTTCTACATGCTATGAACAGCACGAGTCTTGTATCCTGGCTTATTTTAGGTAGCTTCCAGGGTGTTATTCAGTGAGTAGGAATGAAATAATGACAAGCAAGAATCAATCCCTCGATTGTTTATGTTAGTTTATTAGTTTTATATACACTTGAATGTATTTCATATCATGCCCACCCATCTCACACTTAATCTGTCGTCAAGCTTAGTCGCACATCAACCTCATCATCCAGTACTATAGTAATCGCCTCCTGTATGTTGAGGTTCTTCTTCATAACTTCTTGGGGGTTGAACCGGCGAACAAACATTGATAGCACAATTTTCTGCTCGATGAGTGATAGACTACACATTATCAGTACCGGTGTTTCGTCAAACAGTAGTATATCTTACGTTTGTCCAACACATTGTCGCGTTCCCCTCGAGAAAGGATGGAAGTAAGCTGACATCTCTCGCTTTTGATCCTCGTCGGCTAACCATCGCGTTGGGGTGTAGGTGGTAGGAGCAGGGAACATGACCTCATCATGGAGGGCATACAACGGTGTAGCACTCACTTCTGTCTGCAAGGGGTCAGTTTGGGACCAGGGAAAATGGAGAGATAAAACTTGCCCCAGCTGGTAGGTAATGTCCTCCAAAACTCCATCCACTAGCAGGGACAGTCCGGGGAGTCGCGTTCGACTGGGACAAGAGATCCGGAGGCCTTCTTTGACACATGCATTGAGGAATGGCAAGGCTTCCAGTTCGGGGACGGTTGGTCGAGAGTCCGGTGTGGGCATGACAGTCCGCACTTCGTCTTGAAGTCTCCGATAGATATCAGGTTGTTGGAGGAGATGGTGAAGAGTGACTGCCAGCGCAGCTGCGGTTGTGTCTGTTCCGGCAACAAACATGACAATGGCTTCAGAGATTAAGTGCTCTTTGGTCAACTCCCGGGACTTTTTCTCGGCGGCTAACACCATGTTCTTGAACATAGTCCAAGTCTCAGTCGTGTGCATCTGTTGGAATCCTGACTCGGATATCTGCGCCAGTTCCAAGAATCCGTTTGGGACGGCACTAAGATTGTAGTAGCTCGCCCATCGGATTAATTCTCGCAGGATGGGGAAGTGTTGGAACTGGTCATATTAACATCTTCCCTCGCTTTCATGGCAGGAGACGACACTTACAAAAGGTACCGAGTGAGTCGCCTTGTCAATGGCTTCGAAAATAGGAGACTTGTAATCTCCCAGCTGTAGCGCACCAGCAGACTTTCCAAAAGCAAACTCGGAGATAGTATCCAGCGTCATGCAACGAAATGCTGGGAAGAGTGGAATTATCTGACCATCCTTTGCACTTTGGATAAAACGATTCATCAGATAATGACCTTTGTCAAATATGGAGCCCTGGTGCTGAATGATATTTGTCCTGGAGAACGCATGGGAGATGAGACTCTTGTCCTTGGCGTGTTGCTGACGGTCCCGGATTGTGAAGAGATTGGGAGCCTGGTCTTCGAAAGAGATTGGGAGCCTGGTCTTCGAAAGCACGATAGAAGTACTGGGACTTTTCGAACTTTGACGTTTGTCCGTAAACGATGCTAGAGGCTTCCGGGTCATTTAATGATATTTCGTTGGGTGAGATCCTCAACATCGGTCCTATTATGTGTCGATGAATACTTGATAGTAGTAGTCTATACCTACTCAGTGGTGGTAAACGTACCATATTTCCGGTGCAATTCAAGTATCTCCACGTGAGGATTCCCTCTCATTTCGAGGTCAAAAATCCACCATCGAGATATTTTAGCCATAAAAGGGCCTGGGATGGCCTTGAGAGGATGGAAGAATACATTATACACACAGGTTCCAACAAACCATGAAACCACCACAATAACCCCAAAGGTAAGATAGACCATGCTTATTGCTCAATAAAAATAATTGTTAACTTCGTATTCTACTGCCCAGACTTTGGCAGGTTGCTCCTCATATAAAACCCTGTGGGCGTTCTCCCAATATATACTAGCCCTAAGCCTCGGAACACCGGGGTTAAGCTACCCAGCACGATCGAAACGAATTGTACATTAGTGAAATGATCACCTATATTTCCAACCTCGGAATGTTTTGAAAGCTCCACTGAATGACGTGTAAGCGGAAAATGGCCCAGTGGATGCTCCGAAAAGACGAAGTCGCCCAAAAGCCTCTCCGGGGATACCGGGGGTATATAAGCCGCATCCCCGCTATTCCGTCGGGGGGGAAGCAGAAGTGTAGATCACGCGAGGTTGTCACCCCCTCACCATATTCGAATCCTGTGATAATTAAATAAAGAGTTATTCTGGTCTGTATCTACAGAGCTAAGCTTGAGTATTCTTTTTGCTACACACGATCTTCTTTCCTCGCCTTGGAGATCACAATCAAAATGTCCGTTCTTTCTCAGAAGCCCCGGAAAGATTTCCCAGATCGTCCGCAATTTTCCGGGTTCATGAAGCCATGCCGAATGGAAAGAGAAGTCCTCAATCTGGAAGTGTATGGCGAGATCCCAGAAGACATTGATGGGACATTCTACCGGGTGATGCCCGATCCCCAATTCTCGCCCTTCATTGAGGATGACCCAGTAAGCGAATTGATGCGAAGCTTGGATCCCAAGATAGCAGGATAGCTGACATGACAACAGTGGTTCAACGGAGATGGCAGTATCAGCGCCTTCAAAATCAAAGACGGCTCGGTCTCCTTCAAGCAGCGTTTTGTCCGAACAGAGAAATTCGTCCGGGAACGAGAGGCTCAAAGGGCATTGCTTGGTATCAACCCTCGCCCTTCACAGGCTCTCATAGAACTGACTAACTCATTTCTTTTTATAGGTAAATACCGCAACAAATTCACCGATGCCGTGGAATTCAAGATCCGCACCACAGCCAACACAAATATTGTCCACTTTAATGGCCAATTGTTGGCTCTGAAGGAAGACGCCCCGCCATATGCGTTGGATCCTCACACCCTCGAGACAAGCGGCCTATATGACTTCGATGGACAGTTGCCCGGTTTGACATTCACCGCACACCCAAAATTCGACCCGCGCACGGGGGAAATGCTCTGCTTCGGATACGAAGCCAAGGGCGATGGAACGCCTGATATATGTTATTACCGCATTGCAGCCGACGGCAAGTTCTTGGAAACCGTGTGGTTGACTGCGCCCGTTGTGGCTATGATCCACGATTTTGCTGTCACGGAGAACTGGGTGAGTGGTGTAGTGATTCTTGTATTCTTAGCAACCCTCTTCTGATATTGTCCTTCTTGTTATTTTAGGTCCTTTTCCCCATCATCCCTCAGGTCTGCGACATTGAGAGAATGAAGCAGGGCGGCGAGCACTGGCAGTGGAGCCCTGAAACTCCATTCTACATTGGAGTCCTTCCACGACGAGGGGCAAAGCCATCCGATCTCAAGGTATGTTCCCCACACCCTATCTTTCTTCCTCCATCATCTAATCATTTGTCACACCCTCTCAGTGGTTCCGCTACCAAAACTCGTTCCCGGGCCACGTAGCCAACGCCTACGAAGACGAATCTGGTAACGTCATACTCGACCTCGGGTTGAGCGAGAAAAACGTCTTCTTCTGGTGGCCGGATGCGCAAGGGAACTCCCCCGAGCCGAGTTCCATCCACTCCCAGCTAACCCGGTTCACCATCGACCCCAGATCTGAGGATCTCGACCTGGTGAATTCAACGGTTCTCCAAGGCGACAACTCGGAGTTCTACCGCATTGACGACCGCTTCGCCACCCAATCGTACAAGCACTGCTTCTTTGACCTAATGAACCCTGCCCTCGGAACTGATTTCCCGGATATCATGCCTCAGCTAGGTGGTGGATACCCGCTGTATAACGCTCTAGCACACTTGAATGTCGAAACTGGAGTGACGGAGATCTACTTCCCCGGAAAGACACATATGGTGCAAGAACCAATTTTCATTCCGCGACGCGGGCCTACTGCTGAGGGCGACGGGTATGTTATGGCTCTGGTGAAGAACTATGTTTCTATGTGCAGTGAGTTGCATTTGCTGGATACCAGGGAGTTCACCAAGGCAAAGGCTGTCATCCTGCTGCCGCTTCGGTTGAGGCAGGGACTGCATGGCAATTGGGTTGAGGGCGACGATCTGTAGGTTGGGCTTAGGGCAGTCTCAGAGATTAGGGCAGATGGGGACAATGGCGAGGTACGTGATTTATGTTGTACGTGATTTGGCACAAATTAGGGCCATAGACGGAACACTTTCTGTTAATTATTTGCTCTGAAACCCAACTGATAATACATGTATACTTCTACTCAACTTTGTAAGACATCACTTCTAGCAACTTTTAGCCCCAATAGCTCTATACAAAGCTACAAACATGCAGGCACACTACATATAGCTGGTATAACTAGCTTAACACTCCTATGCTCGCCAGAGCAACAGGAGTATTCCCTAATAATGGATAGGCTTGTAATAGCCGTGTTAATCATCCGAAAGAGGGGGAATCAAAATCTAGAGATTGAATCTAGCTAGCATTATCTCGGTCTAAGTTTGATTATGTATATTCCCCGGTCACCCATTCCTCCCCCGGTATCCCCGAAGTCAGCGCTAATCCCAAATTGCAGTGGAGCGAGCGAGGTGGGTGGGTCCATACCACCGGCCGAATTGTCGGGGGATTGACCGCGGGTGCGCTTCCCCCGGTATACCCGGCTGCTGGCAACTATCCCCGCAAATAGGAGGAGCTGTTGTTGATCATGAGTTCAAGACCTAGAGAAAAGGGGATTTGCATATAATAAGTATATCCGTAGCTCTCTGTAGAGATGTCGTAATCCCCAACTAGCAACAGCGACATAATGGCACCCTATAGTTCTCCAACCGTCAACTCCCAAGCATTAGGCAAATTCTTTGACGACGTCGCACGTGTGCTTGGAGAAGACAACGTTTCCCGCACGCCCAGTCATGGCGCACTCGAGGGTACTCAAGGCCGGAAATCTTACGGCGATCCATTTTCAACCTCAGAGACCCACGCACCAAGCGGTGCTATTCGACCCAGTACTGTGGAAGAGGTCCAGGAGGTCGTGAAGCTTGCAAATAAGCACAAGGTGTGCTTGTGGACAGTGTCACGGGGAAAGAATCTGGGGTAGTTCTATCTAATGATGCCTCTCATCCCCATGCCATCTGCATATCACTAACGGTCATAGATATGGTGGATCCAGTTCTGTCGTCAAAGGATGCGTTATCCTAGATCTCCACCGAATGAACAAGATCGTCGAAGTGAGCGAGGAGTACGGGTACGCGATAGTCGAACCGGGTGTATCCTTCTTTGACCTTTACGAGGAAATTCAACGACGGGGCCTGAACCTCTGGCCATCGGTGCCGGCCATTGCATGGGGTTCTGTTTTGGGAAATACCATGGACCGGGGGTTTGGATATACGCCCAATGGAGAGCATTCGCAATCACAGTGCGGCATGGAAGTGGTGCTGCCCAATGGTGAATTGCTTCGGACGGGTATGGGAGCGATGAAGGATAATAAAACATTTGCGCTATACAAGGGGTATGTTCACAGTTCACTGGCTCGCCTATGTTCTCCAATGATATACTGACTTGTCATCTAACAAGAGGATTCGGTCCAACCCTTGACGGTCTGTTCTACCAATCCAACCTCGGTAAAGCTCAACGTTATCCTACCTCAAACAACTCAATCACTAACAAAATCAGGCGTCGTCACCAAGATCGGCATGCATATTGCACCTGCCCCCGAGGCGTACGCCACTCTCGAAGTCAGCGTTCCCAAGGAAGCAGACCTCATCCCTCTTACCGGGATTTTGTCAGACCTGATGCGCCGCTCCATCATCCTCAACTCACCTTCCATCGCCAACATCTTCCGCATCGCGCTTACATCCAACGTCCCCGAGGTGCACGCCAAACTGGCCCAGTACATGAAGCCCAACTCCTACGTACCCTACGACGTCCTCGAGCAAATCCGCGCGGAACATAACTGGGGATTCTGGAGAGCCCACTTCTCGCTATACGGCTCCGTCGAAATGCTCCCAGCATTAATCCAAACCGTGCAACGCGCGTTCTCCACAATCCCAGGCGTGAAGATCGAATGGCGCGAGTTTCCCGGATCCCCAGGCCGCGCCATCACAACAGCAGAGATCAAAGAGGAACAGATCCCGCACAGTGGCATCCCGACGCTTGCCCCGCTGGGCATCGTCGACAGCCGATCCGAGAAGGGCGGGGCACACGTCGACTTCTCGCCCATCATCCCTCCATCCGGACGTGAGCTGTACGAGTGGTACCTGACTGCGAAGCAACGCACTATTGACGCAAAGTTCGACTTCTTCGCCGACTTCCATGTCTACCCGCGCTACGTGGTCGGCATCGAGCTGGTCATTTATACGCTCAGAGAGGAGGCTCGCGTCCTCGAGTTGTGCGGGAACTTGCTGCATGATGGTGCGGAGCAGGGTTACATGGAGTACCGGACGCATGTGCGCTACATGGACCAGATTGCGGCCAAGCTTAACTTCAACGATTTTGCGTTCAATAAGTTTACAAGACGCTTGAAAGATGTGCTGGATCCCAATGGGGTGCTTTCTCCCGGCAAGTCGGGCATCTGGAATGGATTTGGGCAGTCTAAGGATGTGTTGCAGCACAAACTTTAGTCTGTTTATTGTTGGGTATATCAATCAGGTCAAGCCCTATACTAAGGTTGGTCAACGTTGTGGCGTAGCGGTCATGATTTACTCTTCAGATAGCTACAGAAAGCCATGTCAACTGGGAGAGTATATCAAGCCCTGGCTCCTGTCAGGTAGTGATAGATCACCTCTCTTCGTGGATTGCATCCACTTTACAGGTATTATCTGCTATATGACAGGTTGCATAAGAAGCTTAAGATAACACTATCCTGGGCATTTCAGTGTTCCGTACGTGAAAGTATTTACTTTGGCAATTTTCGGGGGGGGAGATTCCAGTACAACCAGTGGATCTAACCCGCTAGACAGAGCTTTTGCAGAAGTCCTAATTCTAGGGTTATTGGCAAATAGTACACCAGTAGCCACCGCCGTCTTTCTCGGGGGGATAAGTCACATAATATGAATGGATTGGGTCGGATGCCTTGTCACTTGATGGAGCGCAGTGCGAATAAAAGTAGTTTTATCAGATCCAGGATCCAGGTTTGTTAAGGGCAAGGCCAGGCAGAAGACCTTTGTTTCCGAGATTGATCACGGGAAACAAGGCTCTACCCATGTATATCCTATTTCTAGCAATCATTGCGTGACATCGCATGTCCAAAACACTACCGGTTGTGCGGAGCTCATTGCCATCATTTCAAAGCAAGCGAAAGCCAGGCAAAGAGATTCAGGCCCACTCACGCGTCTTACACTTACCCCTGGAGCACCAGAAGTCAGACGCAGATCAGATCTCATTACACAATTGCATCACGACATTCCTCAGTTTCGGCTTCCTTATCATCACAGGTCTTCTTCGAGATCTCTGTGGGAAATGGCTCTACCCAGCACACTATCAGACCCTGACGACGCACAACGGATACGCGCCGCTCAGTCCTGGAGTTGATAACTTCTATCTCCGTCGTCTTCATGCACGGATGGAGGACTGCTTTGAAAGTGACCTTCGGGGTACCCGGGCGACACATCACGCTGGTTGACAGCGCCAAGGGAGTCCCAACTACAACGCTGAATCCGAGTTCCTACAGCTATTTGGGGCTCGCAGAATCCGAGAGTCCCTGTGCGTCTTTTGTGGAAGCCTCAATCCGAACATGTGGCATCGCCTCCGCCAGCAGCCGTGCGGAAGTGGGCACGCACAATCTCCATGTGGAGGTCGAGGCCTTGGTGGCGTCCTACGTGGGCATTGCATGGTGTCTTTGGTGGGATTTGCTACAAACGCAGATATATTCCCTGTGCTGGTGGATGCTCAATGCCTGGTTATCTCGGACGAGCTGAGCCACGCTTCTATTCGGTTTGGCACCCGTCTGTCGGGAGGAACGCTTGCCACGTTCCAACAACGATTTGAGAGACTTGGAGACGAAACTCTGCGAAGCGGCATGCTCGCGTGTTCCGTGGAAGAAGGTTCCGGTCGTCGTCGAAGGGCTCTACTCCATGGTAGGAACACTATGCCATCTGCCAGCTAGCTTGTCTGGCGCGCGCGGTAGTGAGGCTTGGTAATGTGCTTGTTTTAGATGAAGCTATGAGTAGGTATGTGTAGATATGTCTTCAACTCTTTGTTGTTTGGGTATATAAATCCACACATCAAAAACATCTAACCCCCCTCAATCAATCAGCATCGACAACAGAACAGAAAACAAATGAAACTAGTGATGCAATCGCACTTCCAGAACCACACCATCCTAATAGTGACGCACCGCCCCTCGACCATCCTCGACTTCGACCGCGTGCTGGTCATTGAGGCTGGGCGAATCGTCGAGAACGGTGTTCCGCGGGAACTGATCGGGCGGCCCGGTAGGTTTTTAGGTCTTTACGGTAGGGCGGGGGGGTGGATTGAATTCGGGTTATATATAAACAGCAATTGCAGGTGTTTAATCAGAATCGTCAGGAAAGTAGCTATAGATATAGGGTCACTAATACATATAAGCTAGACCGGTCGCTATTATTCTATTAAGCTAGACATAACTCCATCGACGCATTCTTGGTCATCGTACAGTCCGAAGCGGACATGGGCCCCGTGCATCTTAGCGGTATGCAATTATAATAACAGAAGAGAAAAAGACCAAAGATATAAAACACATAGAGAAATGGAAAGATACATAAGACAAAAGAAAAGAAAAGCAATATGAGAAAGTGAGAATGGGTAAAAGTGGAATAGAAGAAATAAGAAGAAAGGCTCGGAGAATCATCAGGATTAAATAGTTAGACCGCCTTCGACAAGGATGCAAACAGACCCACGTGTCTTGTCTCTTTGTTTTTGGTTTCTTTTTGTACAGCGTTTCGCGTAAGAATCAGAACTCCGTGAAGGAAACTGACGGATTTACTCCGGCTTGCGGCCCACCATCAGGTACATGGGGGTGAAGAGCTTCTTCTCGCCGCCGGCGACCAGGCAGTCACCGGCCAGGGCCAGGCTGTCCGCCGTCTTCTGCGAGCCCCGCGGGAAGAGACCGATGGATTCAAAGGCGCCGACGAAGCGGTGAGCGATGCCGCGGCCCCACCAGGTCATCCGGGCGATGGTCAGGAAGTCCCAGGGGGACGACATGTGCTTGAAGGAGCCCGCGAGGGGGAAGTACCAGGGGATATCGTCGGGTCGGTCGGCCAGATCCTCGTGGTGCTTAAGCTCGAAGCCGGCGTTGCGGATGGCGTCCAGGCCCTCGGAGACGCGGACCATGTTGGAGATACCGTCACCCTGCTCGATACCGAGACGGATCTTGCGGTGCTCGGCATTGTCGTTGTTGTACTCGTCGGTCATCAGCCACTCGTAGACGCCGAAGACGCCGCCGGGCTTCAGCACGCGCTGGATCTCCTTGTACACGCCCTCGAGCTCGGGGGCGTGGCAGGTGGCCTCGATGGCGTAGACGGCATCGAAGCTATTGTCGGGGAAGCTCATCTGCATGAAATCGCCCTTGACGAAGCTCAGCTTGTCGCTCAGGCCCTCACGCTCGGCGTACCGGGTGGCGCGCTGGATCTGGTAGTCGTTGTTGTTCAGACCGACGACGTTGGCGTCGGTGAACTTGACGATCTCGCGCGCGGGGCCACCGACACCGCAGCCGACATCCAGCACCTTCATGCCGGGCTTGATGTTGATCTGGTGGGCGAGGTAGTGCTCATGGCGAGCAATGGCCTGGAGGAAGGGCTCGCCCTTGGCGAAGCGGCAAAAATGGAACGAGGAGCCCCAACCGTACTCGTAGAAATCAGTCGCAAGGTTGTAGTAACTGCGGCGCGCACATGAGCATTGGAATTATCTTTTTATGAGGGACGGGGTGTTTTGCGACATACTGTCTGGTCAGGGTGGCATATTCGGCGCGACGGGCCTACGATAGCGATCAGTCAGTACCATCCAGCGGTGAGAGAAAGAGACAGATTGCCCAGTACTTACCGCGCGAATCTCCTCGGTCTCCTCCGCAGCGTCCTTGTTATCCCAATGCTTGAAATACTCATCGACGGCAGCCTCCTGCGCCGCGGTATCCTTGCCGCGCAGGGCAGCCAAACCACCCTCGGCTTGGAAGGACTTTCCGTGCATGGCACGGTTGAAGTCCGCATCGCGCGAGTGGTTCTCCTGTTCGAGAGCCGTGGGAGCCATGATGTGGAGATTGAGAGAAGATGGGGTTGCGGTGAGGAAAAAGGGGGTATCAATGAGAAGTAAAAACAAACAAAGTTTCCGAAGGAAATGAGATTGAGAGAGGAACAATTGCGATCTCGCCGGGAGAAAGAAGGAGACTTTATAACACAACCTAAAGAAGGGAATTGAGTTGAAGGGAAAAGGGAGGAGAGAGATGAAGATGGGGAAACAGGGAGAGACTTTGGGCAGGGGAGAAAAAGAACGGGGGAGGCAAATACGCCGCGAATACGACAAAAGGAGGCGGAACCAAGAAAAAAAAAATAAATCCAGCCTGAGAGCCTGAGTGGGCAGGCAGGATTGCGACAGCCGCCCCGCAGCCAATCACCGCCCGGGGAACGGGCCCGCTAACCCCAATCGGCCCGGGGCTAGACCCAAACAGTCCGGGGTGGCCTGGGTGCCTGAACCGTCTGTTTCCACCCGGGGGTTCTAGACGATCAGAGATATCGGACGGACAATCGTATTCAATCTGTTGGTATTGAATAGTGTACGCTGTACACATAGAATGGAGAAACTGAGCAATAGAAGTCTCTGGAAGGTGGCTGGCATGTGACAGACACCATTGATAGTGTCGAGCCCGGGTCTTTGCCAGGGATCCACTTCTCCCGGCTGGGCACGTTGTTATTTGTTGCGGGCATTTCTGTCCGCGGCCCTGGATCTGGTCGACAAAGGAGGTCCCGGGGTGAGATGGCCATCCGACCGATCTCTGACTGATTACAGGGACGGGATTGGGTTCAATGCGACGCATCGAGACGGGTCCACGGACTCGGCGGGCTGTGTCTGCAAGTACCACTGGTTCGATATTGCAGTGCAGTGGGATCACCACCTCCTTGCACCGGCAATCTCCCATCCGGGGTGGCTTGAATTCATTCCAGTGGGTGGAGAGAGTGGTGGCAGATGGGATAATACGATCAATACGATATGAAGAGAGGGTCCGATGGACGTTGGAATCAATCAGGCCAACAGGCCAACAATCAAACAAAGATAAGATAAGGATAAAAATAAATAAAATATAGATTCTTATCGATAAGATGCTGTAGTCATGTGAGTGCTGAGTCAGTACCAGCCACACACGCGCCACACACGCCACCGCCGGCTCGAGCATTATCGATAATCATCAATCTCCGTCAATCCCAGCATCATTTCCAGCATCACTACCACCTCCACCCGATCTCTGGCTGGGCTTGGATCTATTTTCTCTCGCGCCTGCTACCATGCCACCCCCTCAAATCAAACAGGACCTGAATCGGTCCGGTTGGGAAACCACCGACTTTCCCTCCGTCTGCGAAAGCTGTCTGCCCGATAATCCTTACGTGCAGATGCTCAAGGAGGACTATGGCGAAGAATGCAAGATCGTACGTGGCCCACTCTTTTCTGATTTTGCAATCCATTCTAGACTCCGATTCTGGATTTACATACTAATCGTGTCAGTGCACCCGTCCATTCACCGTCTTCCGCTGGAAAGCCGACCGCACCGCCCGCACCAAGCGAACCGGCATTTGCCTGACTTGCGCCCGCTTGAAGAACTGCTGCCAGTGCTGCATGCTCGATCTGTCCTTCGGTCTGCCCATTGTCGTCCGTGATGCCGCCCTCAAGATGGTAGCCCCCGGCCCCGAGAGCACCATCAACCGCGAGTACTACGCCCAAGGCCACGAGAAGGAGATCGAGGAGGGGCGCGGCGCCCTCGAAGAATACGAGAAGACGGACGAGAAAGCGCGCGATTTGCTCCGGAGACTCGCCAACAGCCAGCCCTACTACCGGAAGCCTCGCCAGTTGGAAAACAAGCCGGCAGAGGAGGAGACCGAGGAGCCGGCGGGCGACGCGCCCGTCGTGCACAGTCGGTACGGCAACGGACCGGGCCCCATCCGGACGAGCGACAGCCGACGGGGAACCGCATTGCCGGGGCGCGGACGAGGCAACGCACGCGGCGGCGGCCGTGGTGGCCGGCCCTTCCCCGGCACGGCGCAGCTGCCTCCGTCGGCCGAGGATATCCAACCCCCCGCGGACCAGAATATTATCACGCTCTTCGTCACAGGCGTGGAGGACGACTTGCCCGAATATGCCCTGCGAGAGTTCTTCACGCAGTTCGGGCAGCTCCGCTCGCTGGTCTGTTCCCATCGCGCCCACTCGGCGTTCGTCAACTACGCCACGCGGGAGGGCGCCGAGGCGGCCGCCCGCCAGTGCCAGGGCAAGGCCGTCATCCACGGATGTCCGCTGCGCATCCGATGGGGCAAGCCCAAGCCCTTGGATAACCTCGATCGGGAAGAGCGGATCAAGAATGCCCGGGAGGGTCGAACCGCGGTGCCCAACGCCCGGGGAGGGGGGAATGCCGCGAATAAATCGATCACGGCCGCAGGCGAGGACGCCAACAGGCAGGAGAAGCCGCGTGCTGCCGCCGTGGCGCCGCCCCCGGGGAGCGGACAGGTCACCTATTCCAGCATGCATGGGGACTAGAGAGTACATTCAACGATGGCTACAGGGATCAATCAGGAACTGGGAGAGTCCAGGTGTATGTTCGAAGCGGGCGTTGTCTGTTTATAATATGTTCACATATTTCTTTTTTTCCTCTTTTCTTTCCTTTTCTTTTTCCATCACATCCAAAAATACCCCCCACGATGACGCCAAAGGAGAGAGACCAAAAACGTTGGGTATAACTAGTATAATACAATGCGCACAAAGCACGACTTTCACAGCGTAAGCAGATCCCGTACTATGACGAGCACGCCTTGTCAACCTTGACGTTCTTTCCCCCGACCTTGATCGAGTCGTTATCGCCGCGCTCGATATCCTCGTGGATGCGAAGTTCTATCCATTCCCCATCCATTAGTATTAGACGATTGATGCATGGGTTGTAACACCTCAGAAGACACCACTTACGCCATTTAGCCTCTTCGTTGCCGTCGTCCCTCACCCCCTGGACGAGGTTGTGTTTCAAGATGTCCGCCACTTCCAGGGCATGGTTGATCTGCATGGGCGTGTCGATGCCTACCCGCGGATGGTTGTCGAACTGCTGACGGGCCTCTTTACGAGCGCCAATCATCACACGGACGTCATCTGCAGCGAGAGTGTATTAGTACCTTCTTGTCATCCGAGAGACCATGGTCGGAGTACAAACCGCGGAAAGCAACGCGGGTGCTGCGAAGGAGCTGGCGATAGGCACTCCGCGCGGAAGGAACAGCAGAAGCCATGTTTTGATGCGGTAGGAAAGATCGAGGGGATTAGAGAAGTAATAAATCAAACGTCAAGGACAATCGTCAATAATGGAGAGAATCGAATCGGACGATGGGCGAAATATTTGGTTTCTTTGCGCCACTTGATGACCTCCGAGACCTCCCGCCTCCCATTGGTCCTCGTGAGGGCGGCAACCCGGGGCAGAAAACACCGCCCGAAAATGACTTTTTCAACTTTTCACGCTTTTTTTTCTTACTTTTTACTTCTGACTTCTTCATCCCCCCACCTCATCTCGAAGCACACCTCTGTCCTTTGGCTTCGACTCCACCACCATGTCTACCCCTCAGGTTGTTAATGTGACCTTGCCCGCCCTGCCTCAGGGATGGAGTGCCGATAAGGACTTCAAGGCTGTTGGCACACTGTCCGCTGGCACCCAGCGGACCGTGGAGCCCGTTGGGCCTCACTTCTTGGCCCATGCCCGCAGAGTATGTCTTATCTTACATTGCAAAATAAGGCATAATATGTTGAGGAGATACTAACAACCGCATAGAAGCGTCATCACCGCACTTTCTCCGAGGATGAGCGCATCCAGGCCCAGCACACCGTCAAGAAGACGGAGCAGGAGGACGACGACGACATCTCTGAAAATGAAGACCCCATGATGCTGTCCCGGGACGCTAAGGACTGGAAGGTTTGTCAATCTGGCTACCATCTCACCCAAAACAAATTACTCACCCACTTCTAGAGCCAAGACCACTATGCCGTGCTCGGTCTGAGCAAGCACCGCTGGCGCGCCACCCCCGATCAGATCAAGCGGGCCCACCGCAAGAAGGTCCTGCGTCACCATCCCGACAAGAAGGCCGCCATGGGCGACCGTGACGAGAACGACAGCTTCTTCAAGTGCATCCAGATCGCCGCCGAGCTGCTGCAGGACCCCGTGCGCCGCCGCCAGTTCGACTCCGTGGACGAGGCCTGCGAGGTGGACCCGCCCAGCAAGAAGGAGGTGCAGAAGGGCAACTTCTTCAAGCTGTGGCGTCCCGTGCTCAAGGCCGAGGGCCGCTTCTCCCGCGTGCAGCCCGTGCCCGAGCTGGGCGACGAGAACTCCACCCAGGAGCACGTCGAGAACTTCTACAACTTCTGGTACAACTTCGACAGCTGGCGGACGTTCGAGTACCTGGACGAGGATGTCCCCGATGACAACGAGAACCGTGACCAGAAGCGCCACGTCGAGAAGAAGAACGCCAACGCCCGCCGCAAGAGAAAGACCGAGGACATCACCCGTCTGCGCCACATGGTCGACGACCTGGCCGGCATGGACGAGCGCATCAAGAACTTCCGCAAGGCCGCCCGCGCCGGCAAGGACAAGAAGCGTCTCGAGAAGGAGGCCGAGGCCAAGCGTCTGGTCGAGGAGAAGGAGCGCGCCCGCGTCGAGGAGGAGGAGCGCAAGAAGGCCGCCGACGAGGCTGCCAAGGCCGACCGCGAGAAGAACAAGAAGGCCAAGGAGGCCGCCAAGAACGCGTCCAAGAAGAACAAGCGTGTGCTCAAGGGCTCCGTCAAGGACGCCAACTACTTCGCCGAGTCCGGCGCCCCCTCCGCCGCCGAGGTCGACTCCGTGCTCACCGACGTTGATCTCATCATCAGCAAGATCGACGCTGAGGAGCTGGCTGGCCTGGCCGAGCGTCTGACCGCCGCGGGCAAGGACATCCCTGCCGTCAAGAACGTCTACGCCGAGGAGTCCAAGCGCCTGGTTGGTGCTGGCAAGCTCAAGGAGGGCGAGACCAAGACTTTCTAAGTCTTTTCTTTTCTGTTTCGGACGGTTCGATGAGCCATGCTTGACATGGACTGAAAAGCTTGATGGTGAAAACATGACGTATATCTGCAGCCTAGATCGATAGATTTCTTGCTACATAATGGAGCCAACGACTTATTGTTATCGATATACCTATGTAAAATCCATTCGCTAGGAACGTATGCCAGTCATGTCACCACCTAGATTACCATACCTAGATCATCATACCAACAACCCAAGAAACCACCCCCTGCCATTCCAAAGCTAGACAGAACCCATGCAGAAACGCAAGTAAACAAACGAACCACGTGCTCAACAACAGCAATCATGAAGAGCGCACCATACCACCTTACCTCATTCACGAATGACGTAACCCCAGTCCAATATACTATAAACAGAAGCAGTTGCTTGAGTGATATTCATCTCCAAATAGATTATGTAGGAGTCGGTGATAGTTTCACGCCTAGTAAGTACCCCAGTAAGCACCCTACCCATGACATCACATCTACCTTCTTTGTTGAAGAGAGAAGTATATGATCCGATGAGCATGCAGTGCAATCAATCACCTACCGATCTAAGTAGTGAGAATGTAGTGTACAGTACTTCCCCACGGGAGATGACCGCATACTTGCTCGGGTCAGGTTCAGAGTTATGTGCGTCGTTATTTGCGGCTATGATTCCGGGTTGGGTATTCATTCATCTGCTTGGGTCTGTGGTTTGTGAATGGCTCAAGCGTGGTCTGTTGGGATGGAGAGATGTATGTCGTCATTTGTATATGTCTATCTATCTATCATTTACTTACATACGTACCTGAGTACCTACCCACTATTGATCTATAACAAACTACACCAATTCAAGATAACCTACAGAGCCATCCTAACTAACAACGATGGCAATCGAGCCCTACAAATCCAACGAACGCCACCTCATCAACTGGATCATCCACACCTCCAACAGAGTCATAGCGAACCGTCCCGAGGCAACAGCACCAAGCACAGGCAGAATCACCCTATCCGGGCTCATCTCCCTGTCGCGGCTGATCGCGCAGCACGTCCGGCGGATCCCGTCCCGCGTGTTTTGCCTCTTCCGGTCGATCATCGCCGCGAGGTCGGCGATGCATGCGTATTTCGAGCGGGTCGCGGACGCGAGCTCGGATCCTGGCCTTGCGGGGAGTAATCGCTCGCATGGGGTGTGGATTGAGGGGTTGGTGGAGGCTTTTAGGGCGTTGGGTGGGGAGGGGTGGGAGGTGGAGAGGATGGGGAAGGGGATGAGAAAGGGGATGGGGGTGAGGGAGAATGGCGGGATGACGTTCTCGAATAGGTTTGCGGTGTTGAGTCTGGATAATGGGGGAGAAAGATGCTGAGGGTGAGTATGCTGGTCTGGTGGCGATGGCGGCTTTTCGTATGCGACAGGGCGTTATCCTACGAGACAACGGACAGATGGACACGACGCGAGAGTCCCAGGTCGGCCGCTAACGACGCTCTAGACGCGCTTTCCGTTGAACATTCCCATGCTAGACATGACGGAGGTCTGCTGTCCACTGACTATCGCCAGGCCGCAACTGTGACGGCTAGCTATGACTGCCAGAGAGTGGGTCCGGGGGCGTGGGTACTCCCTCGCAGGAGAATAACGAGCGGTTCTGTGGATGAATAGCGCGGATCTCGGGGCGCAGTCGGATGTGTCTTGTCTTCCAACAGACCTTCGGTGCTAGATTGTGCCCGATTGTCCGGCGGTGCTTTGCCGCGCACGAACGGTGCGGGTGCGCCATCTAGCATGTAGTTTGGTACGGGAACCTGCAACGTCTGGAAATGGTTTTCACAACCTGGGAGAAATTCTCCATGGGCCATATAACCCATGCGTCTTGTTTTGCGATGTCGTAACGCAGCAGGACAACCACACTTGCATGAAGCCGCGCGAACCCAATGTGCCAAGAAATAGGCCACAAACATAAGGAGCTTCAAGAGTCGAGGACTGAAGATTGCAGCCCGTGGCCCCCAAAAGGATACCGGATCGCGTGCCGGTGAACCCAGGACTGACCGGCACAGGTGCGCCGGCCATAGATAGGGTTATTTTCTCAGCGCAATGGCTACACCATCATACTGTTTGCAGACCATCAATGATAGCGATCTAATTCTCGCCGTCATAAGTTTCTTGAATCGTTGGTATTGGCACTGACAAGCCTGCGATGCGCGTGGAAGACCTTCATGGTGTCGGACCGATATAGCCCCACGTGACTGACCAATGCCAGCCAAGACACTGGCTGGCCGACGAGTGAAACTTGGAAATGCCCTGGGGCACACCTTGGAATGATCCTCTGGGATCATCTCTGATCCTCTCTAGTCCTTCAGGATGAAGAATTCAGCACCAGGATCGGCCAGGTCGGAGGTCTAATGAGGTAGAATCTCCCCCGCACGTGTCCGGTACCTTTGGGGCCACACTCTGCATAACCAATCAGCTCAGTCAGCCGGTCTCCACTAATTTATGCGGGTCCCGTTCAGGCAATTCGGTGCCTTGGTTATAGTTCCGCCCACACATCCTTCCTCCTTCCAACCTCTTACCTACCCTTGGACCATGATGCTCCCAGTCTCCACTAGATGGGGGGATTCAAGCAATGTAACCCGAGTCAGGGCGCGGATCGGCCGGTCAAGGCCCCCGACCGGGTATTTAGACGTCCTCTCTCCCGTTTCCTCGTCGTGCGTCTGAACTTCCCAGGTCAAGGTGTTTAGTATCGGTACTGTACTTGTCGATTCCTGAGCCAACATGTTGCCTAAATCTCTTCTAACCCTCGTTGGGGGCCTGTCATTGGCATTGGCCGCCCCTACGTGCAAGAAGCGTCTTTCCAATGGCGGCGAAGGCGGCAATGGCGGCGATGGTGGGGGCAAGGATGACCCCTTCTCGCCGGTGTCCAATGTGAAGGGATTGGCCTTCAATCGGTTTGTGCAGGTCTGGATGGAGAATACGGTATGTTGAGATGCACCTTTTATCGGACGAGGAGGGGATGGAAGCCATAATAACAGCCCGCATCATGCAGGACTATGAGGACGCCTTCAAGAATAAAGACTTCGCCGAACTCGCGAAAGAAGGCTTGCTGTTGACCAACTTCTATGCCCTGACCCATCCCTCCATGCCGAATTACATGGGCGCTGCCGGTGGCGACACCTTCGGCTTGGACAATGACGAAGATCTGAGTGTCCCCGCCAACATCTCCACCATCGCAGACATGTTCGACACCAAGCAGATCGCCTGGGGCGAGTACCAGGAAGACATGCCCCACGTGGGGTTCCAGGACGAAGATTATCAGAACGACGGCAAGGACGACTACGTGCGCAAGCACAATCCCCTGATCATGTTTGAGTCGGTGACCAAGGACGAGACGCGCCTCCGCCAGATCAAGAACTTCAAGCACCTCGACGACGACTTGCAGCAGAAGCGCCTGCCACAGTTCAGCTTCATCACGCCCAACATGACCAACGACGCGCACGACGCCGAGCTCGATGAAGCCGCTGGCTGGGTCACCGGCTTCCTGAAGAACCTGCTGCAGAACGAGTATTTCAGCACCGACACGCTGGTCATGCTCACCTTCGACGAGAACGACAACACAGACATCGGCAACCAGGTCTACACCCTCCTCCTGGGCGGCGCCGTCCCCCAGGAAATGCGCGGCCAAACGGACGACACCTTCTACACGCACTACTCCACCATCGCGTCCCTGGCGGCCAACTGGGGTCTCCCGTCCCTAGGCCGCTGGGACTGCGGCGCGAACCTGTTGAACCTGGTGGCCCAGAAGACCGGCTACGTCAACTGGAAGGTCGAGAGCACCAAGAAGCTGATGCTCAGTGAGACGAACGAGGGGCCGCTCTCGAGGGAGGATGGGGGCCATTTCTCGGGCGAGTGGCCGGCTCCCTTGACGGAGGCTCAGTGCTCTGCTGGACACGGCATCTTGCCGGTGGTTCAGAAGACCTGGTCTGGACACAAGCCGACGTTCAACTACCTCAGCCCCGTGCCGCATGACTCCAAGAACGACATCAACATCGGTGTATCGTACAGCCGAACTCGGGTAAGTGTGCTTACATCGTAACATCCAGTGCTTAGTCCACTAACCGTCTCGATAGAATGGAGCGCAAGAGAGCGGAATCACCAAGTAGTGATCAGTCGGGTTATGAGACATGAGAGTTGTAAATGATATAGTGAATCACTTCGAAGCAACCACGAATAAATGAAAAAGGACGTGTCACATGAGACCATCAATCTCTCGAGCACGATGTATCCATCTGAATGATGAATCATGTCGCTTAGCCACTCCCACCTGTCAAATAAGCACTAATCACACGAATGAGTGGACCACGCCAGTAAGCGTGCTGCGCAGTAATCTCCATAAAACCGTGGCAACGGTCGTCTTTCGGACGGGCTTAGATTGATTCTCTGATCTCTGACGTTCACTAGGGATAGCAGCAGACAGTTCCTGGCTGAGGATGAGATGCACCAGGCTCGTGCAGCTCACCATGAGGCTCTTGCCTGGCTACTTGAATTTGAAGCCCAACGTCTAGATATACAAATCGCGAGAATCGCTGGACACCAAACATCACCTCGGATAGTCAACATACCTTGTCATCGGCCACGTTAGTCGCCCGGAGTGTCTTGATACCTGAACTTGACTCCATTGCCAACACGAAGTATCATGCAGCAGATTTACGTGATCAATCACTAACTAATGCCGATCTGGCACTATCAACAATGGCCCCTAGCTTAGCTTGGCCAAGATCTCCACCTCGATTCCTTCGGGGTTCGAAATTCCGGACACTCGATACGACAGGTCCCAAACGATCCCTGCAGTGGAAACTTTGAAATCTCAAGAGGACCATTTAAAACCTTTCACGCCAATGGTTCCTTCCCAGTGTTAGACAGGCGTGGTCTCATCCTCCACCGCTATTCCACCCTAATTCTCCTGCCAAACCTCCCCCATGAACGCTCCACCTTGTCTAGCCAGTGGCATCGTTTTATCTTCAGCGGGGCGTCCACAACACCCAGTCCCGGAGTCCCAATTGGTAAGAGTTTCAGGGATCTTAATTATTGGGGACCATAACAACCCACTCACGTCGCCGGGCCTTCCAAACCCCGACGGCTCGATATTGAGTATACTAACTAATAACCACAGCCATAGTCTCCCCGCAAGCTTATCATACATAACGGGGTGGAGCCCAGCCTCTCTTCCTTCTGTAACCTTCGACTGACTCGCATTGCACCGGATCGCTACCATGGGTCTGGTTCAAGGCTTGGTCGAGCTGCTCCAGCTGGCGGTTCAGTCGCCTCTCCGGCTGGGGATCTCCGTCGCAGTAGGTCTACTCTCGTATATGATCGGATTGGTGATCTATCGACTGTATTTTCACCCACTGGCGCGGTTTCCGGGCCCAAAGTTAGCTGCTGCGACGCGGTGGTACGAAGCATATTATGATCTCAAGGCGCCCGGGGGGCAGTTCATGTTTCATTATCGCAAGCTTCATGAGCAATATGGTATTTTACCCTTTCCTCATTGCAAGATGGAGTCGTACTACAGCGAAACCAGGAAGGAAGAAATCGCTAATGGAAACAAGGCCCCATCATCCGTATCAGCCCGTTCGAAATCCACATCCAAGATTCCTTCTTCTACGAAGACTTATTTTCGCAATCCCTCCCCTGGGACAAGGGACAGCACCTCGCACACCGCTTCAACAACCCCACCGCCACCTTCGGGACCCCCAAGCATGACGTCCATCGCCGCCGTCGTGCCGCGCTAAACCCTTTCTTCTCCAAACGATCCATCGCGCAGGCGGCGCCCATGATGCAGACTCAGGTCGACAAGCTCTGTGACCGACTGCGCCGGGAGTACTCCGGGACAGGGAAAGTCTTGCAGATGGACTGGGTGTGGGGGTGCATCGCGTCGGATATCATCGTGCAGTACTGCTTCGGCGAGGGTTATGGGTTTCTTGAGGCGCCCGAGTTCCGGTCGCCGTTCATCCATGCGCTGGTCGATCTGCTGGACGGGGTACACGTCGTCACGCAGTTCCCGATCGTCACCGACCTGATGAACATCTTGCCCGACTGGTTTGTCATCATGCTGCAGCCGCGGATGAAATCCGTCATCAATTTTTTCAATGTTCGTCGCATCCTTCCATTCCTTGCGGTCCTGTGTGCCTAAGCCGCACAACGGAAATAGATACTGACACCTACGTTTGCAGCAACTCCAACTGCAGATCGACGAGGTATTGCGCAACAAGGACTCCGTGGTCAAGAAAAATGAGCAGCGCACCGTCTTCGAGGCTCTGCTTCAGTCCGACCTACCGCCAGAGGAGGTGTCTCGACAACGTCTGCACCACGAAGCCACGCTCGTCGTGGGTGCCGGCTTCGAGACAACCAAGTACACCCTCGCCCTCTCCAGCTTCCACATCTTCAGCAACCCGCACATCTGGAAGACCCTGCGCCAGGAACTAGAGATCGCCATCCCCGACCCGGCGAACCCGCCGTCTCTCACAGACCTGGAAAAGCTGCCCTATCTCACCGCCTGCATCCAAGAGAGTACGTCTCCCAGCACCATCTGTAAACTATCATAAAAAAAGAAGAAGAAGAAGAAACTAACAAAGCAAAGGCATCCGACTCTCCTACGGAATCCCCGGTCGCAACGGCCGCATCTCCCAGACCTTCCCCCTCACCTACAAATCCTGGGTCATCCCCCCGGGCACTCTGATCAGCATGGACAACTACGCCGTCGCGCACGACGAGGCCATCTTCCCCGACAGCTGCACCTTTAAGCCCGAACGCTGGCTCGGCGACCCGCTCGCGCCCGACGGCAAGAAACTCTCCCGCTACCTGGTGTCGTTTGGGCGCGGTACGCGCTCGTGTCTGGGCATCAACCTTGCACACGCGGAACTGTACATCGCGATGGCGAACGTCTATCGCTCGTTTGAGTTTGAGCTGTATGAGACGGGGCGCGAGGCGATCGATTGTGCGAGGGAGATGTTCTTACCGCAGCCGAAGCCGGGGACGCAGGGTGTTCGTGTGAAAGTACTTTGATTGACCTAACGTGGATCATAAATGTTTACCATAGTCGAGTAGCATTTGGGACGTGTCTGCAGGTAGAAATCTGATTATGTTGTCTCCCACACTGACAGCCGATGATACATAATTGATATATTTATATCTCTGGATGCCTAAGCCATGTAGCCCTAACTGGTCAACTCGCGACCTTCTTAACAACACTAGAAAAGCCAAAAGACTAGAGAAGTAGGATCCAAGAAAGAAACAGGAACTATGTATCCCTGCTCACCATCTAATCATGCCAATACACGGTTGACTCCACTCTGCCAGGACCAGGCCCCACTCTCTCCACCAATCCGGATTCCCAATCCCTACAACCAACCGAGTCTCCCCCGCGCATTCCTGCCTCCATCCTTCCACCGACAACTAACCAACCTCGACACCGTATGGCGGTTCCTACAACTCCAATATCATGCCCCCGAAGAAGAAGCTTCGGACTGAGCCGATCGTGCGCGTGCGAACAGGCTGTTTTACCTGCCGTCGCCGCAAGAAGAAATGCGATGAGAACCGCCCCGCGTGCGGGGGATGTGTGCGTAATAAGTTGATCTGCAACTGGCCGTCTCAAAGAAGGGAGAATCTGGACGAAGATGATGCTGGAGAGGAACTCCTCCCGCATCTATCTCCGTCGGCAGAAACAGACCGGGGCGCGTCGACGGAGACTTCTCCGGATTCTTCCTCCGCGGGATTGGGGGCTAGTCCTGACGATGCTGTCGTCGACGAGGAGATCCTGGCTCCCCTGGTACCTGTCGAATGTACCCATCCATCACCATCGTCATCCATGGAGTCAACGGGCTCAACCTGGCCGACAACAGTCAGCACCATTCTCCCCCGCAGCCTGTCCATGCTCCCCGGCTACAGCCCCGACAGCTTCGAGCTCCTCAGCCACTACCTAGCCACAACAGCCGACTGCATGGCGAACGGCTCCACGCCCGTCAACCCCTTCCTAGTGCAGATCGTCCCGCTAGCCTTCACCAGCGACCTACTCCTGCAGCTAGTCCTGACGCAGAGCGCCGCCCACCGGGCCTTCCGGCGCCAGCGCGACCACCACCAGCAGCACCAGCCCGACGACGCCGTAGCGCAGGGCCACTACACGCGCGCGCTGCGTCTTTTCCGGCGCGGCGTGACGGACTTTCTTGACGGGAAGGAGACGAACCCGCTCATGCTGACGGTCGGCGCGCTTGTTATGTGTTTCACTGAGACGGCTAAGGGCGATATCACGGGGACGATCTTTGACCATTTGTCCGCGGCTAACTCGCTGCTTACCCGGTTGCTGTCGCTCAGTGATGCTGCCGTTCCTGCTGAGCTGAAGGCTTTTGTGATTGAATATTACACTTATACTGCTGCGACCAGCATGATCTCCATCGATGCCCGGCTTAGCGCTCAGCTTTTGCTGGATTTCGACCTCGAACAGCGCGCTCGCCAGCTCTCTGACAGGCAGTACGTCGGGAACCTCTGCGGCTGCTGGATGGAGCTGCTCCTCCTCATCCCCTGTATCTTCGACCTCGGCCGACAGTGGATGCGCAACGATGCCGATAACAACACCAACACCAACAACAATAACAACCGCCCCCCTCCGCCGACGACATCGCCATGTACGGCTCCCTCCAAGCCCAACTCACCCGCTGGACACCCTACCCCTCCGTCAGCCACGAAGTCACGCTCGCAGGCCGCATCTTCCAGCAAGCAATGCTCCTCTACCTCTACACAGCGCTAACGCCATTCTCCCGGCGCGACGACAGCAGCCCCGCACCAACAGGATTGGTCGGCATGCACCGGGCGCAGATAGACGCCGCCGTGCTCGATGCACTGGCCTACCTCGCGCAGCTGGACGCCACCGCGCGCATCAACTCCGGCCTCTGCTGGCCGATCGTCGTCGTGGGGTCTTGTCTCGCTGACACCGCGCACCAGGACTCGCTGCGTCGGAGGTTAGTCGCTATGGTTGAGCGGTTCGGGCTCGGTAATATGCAGCGGACGCTGCTTCTTCTCGAGCATATGTGGCGTGTGCCGCCTGATCAGGCTGGGCCGTGGAATATCTGTCGGGCTATGGAACGGACGCAGATCTGGATCTCGTTTGCTTGAGTCATTTCTTTGCATTTGGGTCTATGTACAGGATTATCATCATCATCATGGCTATTATTATGTGATGTGGTTGTGTTTAGCTGCCGAGGTTCTTGGGCGCCTCGGCGGCGGGCCCTTCGGGCGTCACGTAGGCCTTGGTCAGGCCGCCGTCGACGACGAAGTCCGTCGCGTTGACGAAGCTGCTCTCGTCGCTGGCGAGGAAGACGACCGCGTGAGCCTGCTCGATGGCCTCGCCGAACCGTCCTGTTGGGAAGTGCACCTCGCGGCGGAACCGCTTCTCCTTGTCGTCGCCGAGCCAGTCCTGGAGGAGGGGGGTGCTACATTGGTTAGTACACCGAAAAACACAGTATGGAAGGGAGAAAAGAAGTGGAAGAAGAAGAAGAAGAAGAAGACGAAGAAGGGACATACTTCAATGGCGCGGGACACAGCGAATTAAAGCGGAATCCCTCACGGGCATGAACAATCGCCAACTCGCGCGTCAGCGCCAACACAGCGCCCTTGCTAGCCGTATACGCCAACTGAGGCGTAGCGGCGCCAACCAGCGCAACCATGCTCGCAGTGTTGATAACGCTAGCACGAGCCTTCTTGTTCCGCCGGAAAGCCAGCACAGCATGCTTGCAGCCGAACCAGACACCCTTGACGTTGATGTTCATGGTCATGTCCCAGATGCGCTCGGGGGTGCTGCTGGCGTCGCCGTCGTCCGCGTGCATGATGCCCGCGTTGTTGAACATGATGTCCAGCCCGCCCCAGCTGTCGAGGGCCGTCACGGCCTCGGCGACTTGGTTCTCGTTGCTGACGTCGACGGTGCGGGTCTCGACGCGGCCGGCGTGGTTGGGCGCGGCTTCTTGCGCTTTGGTGATCGCGCGGGAGAGGGCCGGAGCACTGATGTCTGTCATGAGGACGGAGGCACCTTCGCGGAGCATCAGGATGGTGGTTTCAAGGCCGATGCCTCTGTTGGACTGTTAGTTATGTGGATTGGGGGGGGAAGGGGTGGGGGGGGGATGTACCCGGCGGCGCCGGTGACGATGGCGTTCTTTCCGGCGAGTCTGCCTGGCATGTTGCTGTATTGATATGATATAGAAGTATTGAGGGTAGACGTGTATAGGTAGATAGTAGAATGTAGAGAGAAGAAATGGAGAGTGTTGCAATTGAAGAAAGAGAACCTTATAAAGGAACCAAAGTGGAGAGCCTGACGATAACAGATAAAAGATAACGATAAGCCGCGGTCTCGGAGCGCGCATCTTTCCTCACATTCCCCACCACCACCACCACCACTCCCCACCCCTCAACCAAGGAGAAGAGGAAAAGCAAGGGCGAGAATGACAGGATAAACATCATAAGCATAGAAATGAAAGGCCACCATGGCCACAACCACCACCCACTCGATGTGCGTGCGATACCAGCGCGACCAATTGCCCACCCGCCCCCACCACACAGACCGCAATCCCCCGCTCTCCTTCCTCGCCGACTCCAGTCCCGGCAGCCCATCCAAGCTCTGCGTGTTCCACTCCGCTCGGTAACCCCCCAGCTTGCCCACGCGGTCCAGCTTCTCCGCTTGTTTGAGCCAGGTGTCGCGCGTTGCCAGCGTGGGGGTGGGCTCTTGCGTGTCGGGGTCGACGGTCAGCGCCAAGCGGGGGACGCCGAAGCCGCAGGATGTTTGGACCTGTCAATATCAACACATATCCAACTCATACAACAGAGCCATAACATAAGATGAACTCAAATATAATAAGAAAAGGGTGAAAGACCAACCTTGAAAATATCCAACACAATAGCCGCCCTCGCCCCAACCAACACCTTCCCCCCCAACCCCATCCTGTCCACAACCCTCTCAAACGCCCCCTTCCCATCCCCAGCCTCAACCACCCTCCCCGTGCAAAACAGCCGCAGGATGCGCGGCGTCGTCTCAAACGAGCAGAACATGACCGTCACCCGGCCGTTCTCGCGCACGTGCGCGATCGTCTCGTTGCCGGACCCCGTCATGTCGACGTACGCCGCTTCGTTGGGGCCCATGATCGCGAGCGAGGTGTCGGCCATGCCCTTGGGGGACATGTTGATGTGTTTTCCGCGGAGGGGCGCGCTGGAGACGAAGAAGACGGGCTGTTGGAGGGCCCATGTTGTGAGGGTTGGGGTGAGGGAGGGGTAGAATGTGGGCATTTTTTTTCTTCTTCTAGATCTTGGGCTTTTTGATGGGGATGGGTTTTATTCTGTTATGATTCAGATTTAGATACTGTTTTTTTTTTTTTTTTTTTTTCTGGTCGAATAACTCTGGTGTTGTGAAGAAGATGTTTTCAGCAGACAAGGCTGGCTGTTGGAAACTAACGTGCGGAGTCGACAAGGATCATGCAAGGCTAGAATCCTGCATCTCGTATTGGCCTAGTATCTAAATGACTACCTGACGATAACTCCCAATCTAATTGAATCAACCCTGCTTCTCGCGAATGTGGAAGCTCTTCAACTTGTAAAACGCCTCGAACGCATGCGGTCCCAGCGTGCATCCCAGCCCCGAGTTCTTCCATCCAATCCATGCCAGGTCCTACACTCGTTAGCATAAAGTCACCCAAAAAAAACACTTTGTCTTAAAAAGAGAAACGTACCGGACTCGGGTAGTCCGCCCGGTTGATATACACCGTGCCGGCCTCGATCTCCTCCACCAGCTCCTCTCCCCGCGCAATGTCCTTCGTCCACACGCTCGCCGTCAGGCCGTAGTCGCTGTCGTTCATCAGTCGCACGGCCTCCCCGTCCGACGATACGCTCATGATCGGGATCACCGGCCCGAAGGTCTCCTCCTTCATCACCTCCATCTCGTGGTTCACTCCCGTCAGCACCACCGGCGCCAGGTAGTTCCCGTGCGCGGGGGGGTTCGCAAATGTCTCGTTCGCGGGAGTCACATTCTTCGCCCCCTTGGCCAGTGCATCCGCGATGTGCGCCTTGATGTTTTTCAGGGCGGCCTGCGAGATGACCGGGCCGACCGTCGTGCTGGTCGCGGCCGGGTCGCCCAGTTTGTACCTGTTCACCATGTCAGCATCTACAAATATACACAATCCATCAGATGGGTCACGTACGATCCCAACTCCTTCTGCACCTCCTTCACAAACTCATCATGCACATCCGCATGCACATACACACGCTCGATCGCGCAACAGCTCTGTCCCTGGTTAAATACGGCCCCGTCGACCAGCTGCTCTGCCACGTATTTCAGGTCTGCGTCCGGCCGCACGTACGCCGGGTCGTTGCCGCCCAGTTCCAGGTTCACGGGGATGATGCGCTTGGCGGTTGCTTCGCGGAGGCGCACACCGCCAGCGGTCGAGCCCGTGAACGAAACGAAACTGATCTCGGGGATCTGGACCACTGCGTCGAGGACGTCCGGGGACCCCACGTGGAGGAGCTGGAAGACGTTGGGCGGGAAGCCCGCCTGCGTGAAGTATGTGTGCAGGCGCTCGCCGACCAGCGGGGTCTGCGGGGAGGGGCGCAGGATGACGGTGTTTCCGGCTAGGAGGGAGGGGAGGAGGGTGTTTATTGTTACGAGGTAGGGGTACTGTTGGTGTTAATCGTGGCTTTGAAGGCGGGACGGGTATGGGGCAGTTCTCACATTCCAAGGGGTAACCAGGAGTGTCACTCCCAGAGGCTTCTTCTTCAGGAACCGTCGGAACCCGCTCTCGGGCTCGCCCTGGTAGTCCTTGAGGCGCTCGTCGGCCTTGCCGATCAGATACTCCGCCCGCTTGAGCATGGTCTCGACCTCCTTGATGGCAAAGGCGATGGGCCGGCCCATCTGGGCGCTCAGCTCCTGAGCCAGCGTCTCTTTGTTGGCATCGATGATCCCCAGCGCCTTGGTAGCAAGGGCCTTTCGCTCATCTAGAGAGCTCTTCTTGAACGATTGGAAGGCATTGAGCGAGTCGACGGCGATCTTGCGCGCATCTTCAACGCTGTGTCCGGGGTGCTCGAACACAGACTTGTTGGTGGATGGCGAGAGAGTCACGATCCGGTTAGACATGATGAATATATTCTCAATAGGATATCGTTATAGATCAGTAAATGGTGGTAGGAGAGTTGGCGGGGAGAGAGTTTAAATCGAAGTGGGATGGATGGATAAGGCCGATAAGACAGTCTGATGTGGCGCGGTCTGGAGTGGGGAAAAGAGCGCGCATCGGGTGGAGCTCTGGTGGGTTCGATGACACAGTTGCTCCCATTCCTGTTCCTGTCTATCTATCTATTCTACCGGTACCCAAATTCCATTGGTAATGCTTTCATAGCTCCTGCAGAACCAACTGACAAATGGCCTTTCCAACCACCACCCCGTCGTGGGCCTTGCCCACCCGCGCCAGACCGTCTCGCGATAGCTCCGCATCGAATATCCCCGCCGCGGTTCGCATTTCAATCAGCTTCGTCTCGACGAACTCGTCGTATTCCGGGTGTCCCTGCACGGTGAGGAGACGTTGCGGCTGGTACAGGCCTTGAACTTCGCAAAGCACACTCGACCCTAAGTTGACGCATTCCTTGGGGACTTCGATTACGATATCGCGGTGCATCTGATGTAGAGACTGCATTCCATTAGCCCCAGACATTGACTCAAATCCTCATCCACCTACCAAGGTATCCCTCTGGAATAGCTTCCTCCCAGCCTCGCCCAGCGAGATGGGGAGGACGGCAATCTCCCAGCCTGCGTCGCTGCGGCCTACCCGCATTCCCAGCGCGCGTGCAACAATCTGGTGCCCGAAACAGATTCCGACAATCGGTTTGTCTTGTAACATGTGGATGCGCTTCACGTAGTCGGTCAGACTGAGGATCCAGGGCTCGTCCGACCATGCGTCATATTCTGTGGTCGTCAGTCCAGGCGCATTCTTCTTGGGTCAGACGACGTACTGCTTCCACTCAAGAGTAACGCATCGAACTGCTCAGGGTCGGGATAATTTGTGTTGTTCACCACATTCCATTTGGTGATTTGTAACTCCGTCTCGCTTTTTCCAAGTTCTTGTAGGGATGTGCGGAGGAGGCGTTCGAAGAAATCCCCATAGGTGCCATAGCGCTCTCGAAGGGGGTCGATAGGAGTGTCGCACTCGAGGACGGCGATGCGAAGGGACATGGTGACTTGTATACGGTCAGAATCAGAAATGACGATTAGCACTGGTCTATAGCATCAAATATGAGCGAGACTGTGGTTGTGATAGAGTGGACGGCGCAACCCCGACCTGATCGCGAGAATATTAGAGATCTTGACACTTCGTCATTCGAAATAACTCATTCAAATCAATTGAGTAATTCGTTGATCCCTTACTCCATCCATTCTGGAGACATCCGTTGATCCAGTGGATGAATGAGGGGAACCCAGCCCGATAAGATAAGCGCGGTCTTCTCGTCCCCACCGCGCTCTCCGTCATTCTCCCCGCTCATTTCCTGTCGCGTCATTCGGACAACCTCGTCATGGTCGGAAACTAACCGCCGCCACAACATGTCCACCTTTTCTATTTTTGACGTACCCCGTAGTCCACTCCCCCGCCGGTCCCTTTAAAACCACCGCCGTGACCGTCGCTATCTCCAATTCCATCACGTCCCAGTACACACCCACCTCACAATGTCGCAAGTCACAGTTGAAACCCTGCCCGATATCCTCGCCGACGACATCAAAGTCAAGGTCGCCGGCGTTGACTGCGATGGAATCCTACGCGGCAAGGTGATGTCCAAGGAGAAGTTCCTGGGAATTGCGCAGAAGGGCTTCGGAATGAGCTCTGCCGTCTTTGGCTGGGACATGCAAGATGTGCTCTACACGACCAATGCGCGCATTGCGCCCCCGGAGTCGGGCTATGTGGATTTCATTGCGGTCCCTGATCTGGACTCCTTCCGGCGCATTCCCTGGGAGGATAACATTCCCTTCTTCTTGGTGCGCTTTGTGCAGAACGACAAGCCTGTCTGCGCGGACGGGCGGAGCATGCTGAAGGGCCTTTCCGATAAGCTGGCCGAGGCGGGTTGTCAGGCGATGGCTGGAGGTACGGTTTCGCATTAAGTATTGAGATTGGATTCAAGCTGATCAGCGCAGTCGAACTCGAATTTATGAACTTCCAAACTCCCTCCGAAGATGGCTACGGCGCCAATGCCTCCCAGACCCGCGATCTGGCCGCCTTTCTCGAGAAGAATGACCCCCGCGCCCTGCGCCCTATCACCGGGGGCAGCTTTTCCTACAGCGCCACGCGACCGGTCGCGTTCAAGAAGTTTTTCTACGATATTTTCAACACCAGTGCCGAGTTCAACTGCGGGATCGAGGGCTGGCACACCGAAGGCGGGCCCGGTGTGTACGAAGCGGTGGGTATCCAGAATATCGGAGACAACGTACCCGGCTAATTCAGAACAGGCCCTCAAAGTTTGCCATGTAAACGATATGGCCGACAAAGTGGCTCTATTCAAGTATGCTTCCAATCCCCTCCTCCTCGCGCTCCTCCGTCATCTAACCCCAGTAGGCTCCTCGCTAAATCCATCGGAATCGAACACAACATCACCCCCTGCTTCATGGCCAAGCCCATCCAAGGCCAACCGGGCAGCTCCGGCCACATTCACGTGTCGCTATGCGACCTCGAAGGCCGCAACCTGTTCGCCCGGGACACCCCCGACCCCAACGCCCAGTGGCCCGACTCCGCAGGCCTCTCCGATCTCGGCCGACATTTCCTGGCGGGGGTGCTGGAAGCCCTCCCGGACATCATGCCGCTGTTCGCACCCACGATCAACTCCTACAAGCGCCTGGTCGAGAACTTCTGGGCCCCCGTGAACATCAGCTGGGGCCTGGAGGACCGCATCGCCTCCGTCCGCCTCATCACGCCGCCCGTGTGCAAGCCGGGCGCCACGCGGTTCGAGGTCCGCATCCCCGGCGCCGACCTGCACCCGCACTACGCGCTGGCCGTGATTCTCGCCGCGGGGTGGCGCGGCGTCGAGAAGAAGCTCGAGATCCCCGTGCCGCCCATGTCGGCTATCAAGCCCGAGGACCCGCGGCCGAGTTTGCTGCCTAACACGCTAGACGAGGCTATCCGCCGGTTCAGCGCGCCGGGCAGCGTCGCGCGGGAGATTCTGGATGATGAATTCGTGGATTTCTTCACCGCCACGCGAGAGCACGAGTTGCGCGTGTGGCGCGAGGCAGTCACCGACTGGTAAGTTTACAATCTGGACTTCGATAGACGAGGTCGCTAACCATTTATACAGGGAGTTCAAGCGGTATATTGAGACTGTATGAGCTATGGGTGCAGGCAGGCCAGGCGCACCTCTTCTTCATGTATATAGACATTTCAATCATTTTCCATAACCTTAGTAACTATGTATATACATATGTAAGACAATCACAATATACTCAGACTACTTGGTCCCAATATCGGACTATCAAAATAAGATCCATCCTCTGGTTGATATTCTAGCAGGAGCAACAGCACTACCACCCTCCCTCAACAGAACGTCGGGGCTTGACAAGGCAGAGAGCTGTGAGGCTGTGCCATCAACCCCTACACCTTGTCACTTGTGTTTCGACGTGATTGGACTTGGTTAGTCGGGCCTATTTCCCCATACCAGAGAACCCCTCATCATCTGCTCGGCACACCTTTTGTTCCTTTCTCACAGCTCTTCCGGTCTTGATAAGTCTTGACACAGTAGTACCTTACTGGATTTTCACTGTCTGCTTTGCAGAATCCATTGATAATATTGTTGATCTGTCGACTAATAGAGCTCTAATCAAAATGGATGAGAATGTATCAGACGTTAACGAGCATCCCGAGACGAAGCTACCGCACCAGCCAAAGCGACAGAAGATGTTCCACGGCGGTTTTTCGGATCCACGGCATGACTTATACACGGTCGGCTGGATCTGTACACTATATATAGATCTGGTAGTAGCTCGGGCTATGCTGGACGAGATTCACGAACCCCTGCCAATGTGTACAGACGACAGCAATGTCTACGTCCTCGGAAACATCAACCAGCACAATGTGGTTGTTGCATGTTTACCGGTAGGGCAGTACGGAGTAGGTCTTGTAGCGAAAGTCGCGACCAACATGTCCCGAACTTTCCCAAGAATTGGCGCCTGCCTGATGGTAGGGATTGGTGGTGGTGTACCAAGCGATACAGCTGATCTGCGCCTGGGTGATGTCGTCGTTGGAACAAGAGTGATGCAGCTTGATCATGACAAAGTTGATGACGACGGACACCTACTGCCAACAGCACCCAGGCTTCCTCCCCAGTATTTCGCGTCGGCTGTATCTGCCCTACGTGCGACGCACGAATTACATCCCAGTCGAATCCCCACAATCCTGCAACAGAAGCTAGCTTCTTTACCCGCGTTTCATCGCCCAGACATCCCTGATCGCCTTTTCGACGCGACGTATGTCCATGAATCTGTAGATCATGGCTGTGACGCGTGCGACCCGTCAAAGCTTGTGAGACGGGGCAGCCGAAGAGGGGATAAGTTCATGATTCATTACGGCGCAATAGCTTCAGGATTCCTTGTCATAAAAAGTGGCACGACTCGGGATTACGTGGCTCAACGACTAAAAGTTATATGCTTTGAATTGGAGACTACTGACCTTATTGATAATTTTCCTTGTCTCCCGATCCGGGGAATCTGTGACTACTCGGACTCTCACAGGAGTAGAGAATGGCAAAAATATGCCGCAGCGACTGCGGCCGCATACGCCCGGGAACTCATCGAGGAACTACCTATGACTGACGCTACGTGCATGCATGATCCGAGTAAGGTTTCTCTAGAACTTGGGGATTGCTGGTCAGTCCTGCTTACACCAACAATTAGATCATCATACGTCCGATAAACGCCAACGATCTTTGTTGGATTCTCTCCGGTTTGAACAGATGGAATCTCGCAGAATGAACATCAAAGCTGCCCATTCGCAAACGTGTCAATGGCTTTTCCACCATTCTAGCTATATCGAATGGCTTACTCCCGCCGCATTGGCGCAACATCATGGTGTTCTGTGGATCCTTGGCAAGCCCGGTGCTGGGAAGTCAACAATCATGAAGTTTGCATACGAGCGCATGAAGAGAGATGTTCAATCCAAGAATACCGTCATGGCTTCCTTTTTCTTTAATGCGAAAGGGCCGCACTTAGAGAGGTCGATCGCCGGGATGTATCGATCGTTGCTGCTTCAGCTTCTTGAAGGATACCCAGATCTCCAAGCAGTCTTAGATGATCCCGAGCTTGTTCCCCAAGGCTTCCATGGTTGTCCTAGCTTCAATATTCTCAAAGACCTTTTTTACAACTCGGTCTCCAAGCTTGGTCAACGTGGATTTACTTGCTTTGTCGATGCACTTGACGAATGTGACGAACAACAGGACGTCGTTGATATGATCCAGTTCTTCGAAGCCCTGACGGAACGATTTTCAGCCAAGGGTGTCCCGTTCCGAATATGTTTCTCTAGTCGATACAATCTATTTATTACCATTAAATACGGGATCCTACTGAGACTTGAAGACGAGACTCGCCATACCGAGGATCTAGTGACATACATTGCCAGCTGTCTCCGAATTGACGACACATCACTTGCCGAAGAGCTGCGTAGCACGCTTCTTAGGAAAGCTGCTGGTGTTTTTACGTGGGTCATTTTGGTAGTCGATATCCTTAACAGGGGGTATGGTAGGACGCAGCTTCAGAGACTTTTGCAAATGCCAATTGATCTCGATGAGTTGCACCAGGAAATCACGGGTAGGATTCCACAGACGGAACGTACCTCCATTGCGCCGCCAACAGATTCTGGATACGCATCTACTACCCACCAGAAGGTTCTGTACGAAGAAGAATACCGCACAGAATATCTTCACGACGTTCAAAACATAGCCTCTGCTGAAGGATTCTCGTCATCTCCGGCCGCAGCCAGTCCGAGGAATGCAAAACATGATCACGGTAATGACACCGAATCTATTTACACAGCTGGGCCTGGCATTTCCCCTTCGGGCCTGCAGGGCTATATTTCCGAACTGGTCGATGATTTATCTGCGAAAGTCCAGTATGATCAAGATTCCCAGCGTCTTTCCGACAGGGTTCACAGCGTTCTTCCTCGGTTGTTAAAAGCATTTGCAATCAAATTTGGCCAATTCGGATCGACTCAGATGCACCGAGATATCATGGTCTTTATCCGTCGATATAGGGAGTGAGTCATTGCCCGGACTTTGGTGTCATTTCCATGCGAATGCTGATGATATTACACCACAGGGAGATTGCAAGTAGCTTGAGAACGAGATACCTGGAAGACGGCCAGACCACCTCCCAAGACTCAGCACATGACGTCACAAAAATGCATCTAGACGATATCATGGATCTCTGGCACCAGAATTTGGAGGGCCCAAATTATGATGTCGGCAATCCACCAGACGACAATGGATCAGAGATCTCAAGTGTCGACGACAGTGTACCTCTTGCTGAAGATCATGACGAGGACCTCCCTGGACTTGCAGCCTACAAGGAGTTGATAACCAGCAATCCAATGTACGAATGGCTACTTGGAAGCATCCGGAGGGAACTTAACTTGCACCCGGCGGAGCCAAACGCTCAGAATGATATTCGCAATGGAATCCTGAGTATCCTACCGTCGTCCCGGACAGTCAGTAGGTATGACCAGCCAAGGATATACCAGGCAAAATTCACCCTCAACTGGGATCCAATGGCCTTCGTCAAGGAGCAAGAGTATGACATGAGTAAAGAAGGATTTCTCGGGAAGGTAGTCACAATCACAGGGTCCAGCCAGGATGCTGAAGCAATGACCTGTTTGCAATACCTTCATCAAACATGGCATTCGTATGGAATCAATCTCCTTCAGCTAGTCAAAGCTACGCTTATGAATGATCCCGGCTATGAATACAGATGTAGGTTGTCATCCAATATTCACTGTGGCCGTTAATCATAGCATCCAGGTGTCCTTCCGGACAAAACAGAGCTTGCGGCATGGGTGGAGGACGAAAACTTCATCGTCGAAGCTACCGGGATCGAAGATTCAATCGCAGAGATTGGCGAGCAACTGGCGTGGCTAGGTTCTGCTCTCCGTTCCTCTCCCCATGACTCCAAAATTTCGTACTGCACACCGTTCCTCGACAGCGCTAGCGTCGAAAACCCTTCGAGTCCAACGCCGCAAGCAGCATATATCACGAAGGTCTCGTACTTTATCGATTTCAGATTCGTCGATGAAGAGCATGTGAGTCCTCCGTCGTCAATTGGACAGTGCTGGCACCACTTATTTCGAAATCCAACCGTGGTGACGGGCTTTCCAATACCATACCGTTCAAAACAGGGCACTGGCCTCGAGATCCCATTAAACATCTTGGCAGGACTAGTCCAGGCGAACCACATCGATGTCTTTGGGGGAAGACTTTTTATCAAGGGATTTTCTTCCTTGTTAATTCCCACGGAGTACATCAGAGACCAGGGCCAGATTATATGGCACCTGCTCTATAACGTGAATGGAGAACGCATCTCATATCTGGATGGCATTGAAGCCCATGGAGGCCATATTACACTTGCAGATTTAGAGATGAGCCGCCATATCATTGGTTGGTGTTCGGACGCAAGATGCTTTGCAGGTACGTCGTAGCATGTTTCTCTCGAATGTAACAGATTGGACGCGCTTTCTAACTGATCATAGGCTCAGCGGAGGCCAATTATTCTATTAACAGGTCTTGGTTGCGTCGACCATCCTCTCTCTGCAGCTTGAGCAACACCTTCGTCTCAGCAGGTAGGTTGATTACTGGCGGCGACGAGACTATATACGGCAACAAAGATCTACCGTATCGAATTGTTCGGGACGAATACATTCAGAATCTCTCGTGGGTCGCCAAGCAATATGTGGTATTGTGGGATGCGGGAGAAAGACGAGGATGGTTGGTAAATGGGGCTTGCGCTCTGTTACACCTTCTTCTTGCTTCGCTCCACTTCAACAAGACCGATCCACTTGGTTTTGCATTCCGGTTGGATCCCACAGACATCAAAAGCCCAGAGGAAACGTTTACTCCTCGCTCTGCTATGGAGGTCCTCTTAAATCCTGATAATCTATCCTTGGAACTTTACCACACAAAGGAGGGCGAAGACGTCGAAACAAGAATACCTCCAGTTCGGATTCGAGACAGGATTAACCAATTGTATAATGTACTCTCGAAGATAATGGACCATCAAGCAGATATTATGAGGAGACCGAGCCAAGCACGTCGTGATATGTCTCGGGGCAACCTGGAAGGATGGGATTTCAAGGATTTGGCGACCTATGAAGACCCCTTGTATCCCCGAGCTTGCAAAATAAGGACTAAAGGGAAATGTTGGGTTGATTTAACCAGAGCTATCCGTGCACCAACTCTGTTTGGGACTGGTTTTGGTGAGATCCTTCGACCTGTTGATACCAGCACATCATGCTGTTATTGGAGCAGATTGCCTCGGGGAAAATCCTACCTTGCTGTTAGTGATGGTGATCTTGCCAACATCATTGATCAGTTTGGGAACCCGAACAGTAACCCAGTGCGGCTGACCCACGATTTGATCTGGTGCAACTACGCAAACAATGCTCCTCGAGCTTGCAAATGTGTCGGTAGCCCGGAGAAGACAGGACATTCCGAACTTGCTCAGGTGATATTGCCTTCACACTTGAGAAAGAGAATACCAAAAAGCCACGATTCTCGATCTAAAAGTTGGGGCAATGGTGCAGTAGTTTTCGGCTACAATAGGGACTTGCCATGGTCCTGGAAGGACACCGGTTTCCCTGAACAGGGAGAAGAAGCCTCGTCATCTTCAGAGGATTCGGGCTGGGATTCCGATGACGCAGTCCATGATTCAGGAATTGGAACGAGCTTGCTGCCACCTACTCCTGCTGAGGGCTCTAGGGAATTGCCTTTGTCGACATCACAACCTGAAGGTATGACCCATGAGGACTACGAGGTAGGCATTGTATGCGCACTGTCAAAAGAGCTTCTTGCCGTACGCGCTTTATTCGACTCGACACATCCCGAACTCGGAAAATATGGAAATGATCCCAACTGCTATTGTCTAGGCCGGATAAAAAGATTCAATGTCGTCGCTGCAGGCCTTCCACAAGATGACCATGGCACAAATTCCGCCACTAATGTTGTGTCTCATTTAATCCGAACTTTCCAACGACTCAAATTCTGTCTGGTAGTTGGAATTGGGGGTGGAGTTCCCTCGGCGGTCAGCGATATACGACTCGGTGATGTAGTCGTCGGTACTGGCGTAATACAGGTGGATAAGGGGAAATGGATTCAGGATTCCGAGTTTCAGATGACAGCAGACAAGAAACAACCGCCGTCTTTTCTACGAGCGGTCATTACGAAAATCCAGTCGGACTGCTCGGTCTCCTTCAACTCATCCCTTAATCCGCTTCTTGACAGTATCAATTTAATCGCCTCTCGGAAACCGGAATACCAATACCCAGGGACAGATAGAGACATGCTCTTCGACACCAACCATGTCCACGTCAAGGATGCGTTAACTTGTGACAACTGCACCGGCACTCGATGGCCAAGGGTCCGACAACACGACGGCCCCAGCGTTTTCTATGGACTAATCGCATCCGGGAGCCAGCTCGTTCGCGATGCAAAGCACCGAGACCGCTCGGGCAAAGAAAACGTGATCTGTTTTGAAATGGAGGCGGCAGGCGTCATGAGAACTACCACGAACTGCCTGGTTATTCGAGGAATTTCAGATTATGCCGACTCGCATAAGAACGATATGTGGCAGGAATATGCCGCTGCCACGGCTGCTGCTTATGCCAAATTTTTCCTGTCCCATATGCCCGAAAGCCTTGATGAATTTGCCGTCAGAGTTCCATCACGGTTGGAAGCGCAGGCGGAGACAGTACACTTGCAGAAGCAGAAGCGGGCTGCACCTCGTTCTGATTATGATCCGCCTTTGATGTTCAAGAGGTCTCGACGATATTGAATTGCAGTCCGATGCTGACTGGGCTCGTCCGTGGAAGAGAGTATGAAACCTTCCCGGAGATAGTATGGATCAATTGATATTAATACTTCCTCTAAATTCTTTACAAGTTATTCCCGAAGACTTTCTAGAGTATTAATGTAGAAAGCATGGTTTACTATTGAATCATCATAGTTTCTGCCATCCTGTTCATGAATATATCAGGGCACCGCAGAATACGGGGTATACTTGGCTACATGGCATTCCCGACAGAAGATCTGATCACAAGATAGATGTCTATATCAGACCAGTCAACTGTATCATATGATAGAATAGCAGCCTGTTTCATTCTATGTTTCAATGTATTTCAAGGTATGCGCAGATTGAATCCTTTCTTGACATATCACCACATGAACATTCTCCATAGTTTCAGATCCTCTCATATATCCTGATACCATCAAGAATTCTACCCTTCCAGTCATTCTACCCTTCATAGCGCATTCTATAGAGATAAATTCCATCCTTTTCTCACGTGGTGTCCATCTGACCGCTGTCTCCTCAAATCCACCATTACTTCTCGTAATAGAATCCATTTCTGCACCAAGAATAGAACCCTTACAGCTGTGCTCTTTTCGTTCTTTGCCCCATTGTAGTAATCCATACGAGGACTAATATGCCCTTCTCTCTCTCTCCCCGGAGTCACCGCTCGGCCCTTGCATGCTGAAAGCAAGGGTAGATCTCGCATAACGAAGCAGGGGAGATATCAAGGGGCTAACATGGCAGCATTCCTCATCCACATCTACACCTACACCCCCCAACAATAGCCCCATAATTCTCGTGTTTAAGGAGAGATCCATATTCACGAGAACTGCCGATCTCTCTCAAAATACGACCGTCTCCACAGACCGACAACGCACTACTCCTCGGATAGCCATGTCTAAACTCGGGCCACCCGACCTATTACCTTGACAGTGCGATGTCTGCGGTATATCTCCGACAGTCGGTATGGCTCCACTGCCATCCTTCCGAGAATAGTGGGGGCTTTCACCGTCGATCGGTATATCCAGCTGAGAAGCGTTTGTAGAACACGGGATGGATATGGAGCCTTGATTCGCCCGGGATTTGCATTACTCGAGTTGCAGGATATTGAATTCTGACTGCATATGGTATTTACCCCGGAATTGCATCTGACTGGTGAACATGCGAGTTGAAAGCAACTTCAAACAGATCTAACTCGCGATGTGCTGCACCAGCACCATGTGCAGCAACTATTGCACACCCTCTACTTCCTATTTCCCAGTAAATCCCCATCCCCTCATTGTATACAATTCAACCCCCCCTGCGATACCCCCCAGAACCTATCTATCTTGGCAGGAACACCAGCCACGGGGGCTGCATTTCCGTTGAGGCTCGTACCGGCCACTGCAGATCATCGCCGATCACCGTCCGCACAGTCCAATCAAGCCCATTCTCGGCTCGTATGCAGAGGTGGATACCTATTTTTAGGCGCAGTTTGAGGGTTGCCCTTTTCGGTGGCAATTCCCGATTCCCGTCCAGCAGGATCGTGGTTATCGTGATGCTGCTTATTTTAGAGTCGAGGTTTGGGGGCCATTCTCCATCCTTAGCTCTCCACCACTTCAATTTCCCCATACTAGATTAGACACGAGATGGTAGACCGAGATACGATGCGATCTACCTCGTATACTGGGTGACTTCTTGCCGATCGGTTATTTTCCGGCCCCGGGAGCTGAATAGGTGCTGGAGAGCAAGGGAGAGAAGCCTACGAACACGAGAAGACCTCACGGGCACACTAAGTAAGGTGATGGATAGCACTGACATAGTCCTTTCTAGAGTCAAGATGTCCTGAATCTCGAATATAAATACCCCCTTCCCATCCACCTTTCCCTCTCTCTCATCATCAACAGCAACAACAACAGCTTCACTTCCAACTCCACTTCCAACTTCAATCCACTTCACTCAAGACCACCGTCTTCAAACAAACCAACCTTCAAAATGCAGTTCTCCACCATCTTCCTCTCCGCCGTCGCCCTCTTCGGCTCCATCGCCCTGGCTGCCCCGCCCCCGTTGCCGAGGCTGCTCCCGCCCCCGTTGCTGAGGCCGAGGCCGAGCCCGGTGTCATCCTGGCGCGCTCCTCCTGCCAGGCCGGCAGCATCTTCGGTGCTGGCGATGCCGCCTGCAGCGCTTCTGTATGTGTCTACAAAAACACCCTTCCTGCTTTCTCCCTGATCATTGAAACTAACTATTCTACGCAGTGCATTGCCCAGGGCGAGGGTTTCCACGGCGGCTACTGCTCCAAGAAGGCGTGAGTACTTCCTTTTCTTTCCCTCTTTCACCTTGAGTTCGACGACAATATACTGATGACTGGCTTTAGCGTCTGCCACTGCACTCACTAAGCTGGTGCTTGCTTGCGCCTGATTTCTTACTAGAAGTGGGATGAAGGGAGTGTCTTTTACCTTCTTGATTTGTCTTGGTTATTCCTCTCGAGAGTTGAATTTGTCTTTTCTTAGTCTTGTTTGTCTTTTGAATACAATTGTTTGATCCGGTTCACAATGAGTGCTTTATTTCCAGTAGATTGGGTTGTATTGGTGGATTGTAGGTTTGTAGAGTCGCTTTTCGGTATGTTGGATACAGACTGGCCTTAATAACACATGGAAGGTAGATGAAGACTGGACTTTGTGTCTATATCAGTGTCTGGTTATGGTTTGTGCAGCGGTAGATACGGTAAATAATTTTAGAAGATGGCCCAGTCGGTAGTGTTCAGAGTATCGGATATATCAAAAGGATGGCTGTGGGCTATGCGTAATTCGCTAGAAGCTCTAGGATATGTGATGGGTGAGAGATTTGCTGCGTTGCATGCATCAACTGCGGCGAAATTTGTATCCGTGTTTTTTTATGGCGCATGGGTTTTATAGCTGTAAAGGGTATCGATAGAAACGGTCGAGATAGTGATGGTTTTCATAATTCTCTCAGAGTTGTGGAAGGTGGTGAATTGTGTGAAGTTTCAGAAATAGAACTGGCATATTAGATTCCGTAGAATATAGGTGAGAGTGACATATATATATCAATGTCGGTCCAATGTCACGAAGTCAAGAACAGGGAAAAGAACAAAAGTCAAGTACAAATATATGGAGATGTAAAGAGTTAGTAAATCGAGTATAAGAATATCTCGAATAAATCATGAAAAACAGAGATATAATGCTAATCATTGCATAGCAAGAATCACAGTGTTGATTGATTGAAGTGAGGGACAACGTTCTTTTAAATTTGGACAAGTATCTACTAAGAAAAAAGTATTTCACAACTCAAGGTCCTGTGGTCTAGTGGTCATGACGTCGGATTCTGATTCCGTAAGCCCCGGTTCAATTCCGGGCAGGACCTCTTCTTTTTTACTTTTAATTTTTTACCTTTTTCTTTTCTCTTTTTACTTCTTGGCTTCTTCCTTCCTTTTTCTTTTTTAAAAACACAGAACCAGACAAATATTATAAAATAAACCAGGCTGAATATTGATCAATCTGTGCAATGGACAAGGGACGGTATTCTAGTCGAAACGAGGTTGCATCGAGGCCCACCTGATCTGGAAGCTTCGACTATTACATACTTCTGTACTCCCTGACCTCGACCTCAATCTCATATCCCGGTCGCTCTCGATCCAACCACACCCCAGCTGCGTCCTCCATGTTCGCTGAGTGAGCCCTCAGCGGCTGCGTTGAAACGCCATCATGTCTCTTGTACAGCACGTCTCCTCAAGCTACGGGGTCGACCGGGAGCCCGAACCCCAAGATGAGATCACCGAGCAGGGTTCCACCTTGGAGCATATGGTTCCCATCGGTCGCAATATCAGCTATGATCCCCTCCCTCAACCACCGTTGCCTCCGGCGGAGGTATCTGCTGTTCCAGCTTACAAAGTCTCCGCTGCGAGACGAATTGGTATGTCGGGTTGCCCTATAGCTTGCCTCTCATCTGATGTGCCCTAGCCCAGGTTGTCGTTACGATACTTGCATGCTGGCTCGCCTCGGGAATCGTCTTTGGCTTCGCAGCGCTCAAGCCGGTTTTGATTGAAGAAGGCGTCTACCGCAGTCTATGCACTGACGAGGAATTGCGAGATGGCGTGGATGTCTGCCATGAGCAGGACTTGAAGTGGGTGTTTCTCTATCTACGTGATGACGTCAATATCAGAATCGACTAACCCGACCAGGCTGAATATGTTCTTCACCATTGGTTCCATTACAGCCAATGTTTCCGCTCTCCCAGTCGGGGCCATGCTCGACCGGTATGGTTCTCGCGTCTGCGGATTCGCCGGCTGTGCTTCTCTGGTGGCAGGTTGCTTGCTTATGGCGTATACCTCCTCTGTGGCCCAGTTTGATGGCTACATTATTGGCAACTTCTTCCTTGCGTTGGGAGGCACTTTCATCTTTGTCCCCTCGTTTCAGATCGCCAATGCCTTTCCCAAATACGCGGGCACCATCGTGGCCCTCGTCACGGGCGCGTTCGACGCTTCTGCTGCGGTATATCTATTCTACCGCCTCCTGTACGAAGGGAGCCACCGGACGTTCTCTCTCCACAAGTTCTTCTTGATCTACCTGTTGGTTCCGGCGTTCATTTTCGTATCCAATCTTACTATTATGCGGCCGGCGGACTATCAAAACCTATACCGTCTCGAAATAAAGATCGAAAAAGCCGGAGACCCAACCCGGGACGTCCATGATTCGGACGATGAAATTGAGTCCGATTCGGAACGCCGGCGCGTCCGCAACGAACGGGCATCGCGACGACGCGACCGGATGCGCAAGCTGGACGAAGTCTTGGGCGATCAGACCGAACGCCAACAGCGCGAGCAACATGAAGAAGAGCGCCATATGGCCAGTGGGGTTTGGGGAGCCCTGCACGGTCTCTCGGCTCGGCAACAGATGATAACGCCGTGGTTTGTTCTGATGACGCTGTTGACGGTGCTGCAGATGCTGCGGATGAATTACTTCATTGCGACGATCCGAACGCAGTACGAGTATATGCTGGGATCGGTCCACTTCGCAGACCGTATTAATCACTTTTTCGATGTTGCTTTGCCCGCCGGTGGCGTGCTATCCACGCCATTTATCGGTCTTCTGCTGGACCGTTTGAGCGTTCCCGAGGTTTTAGCATGTATCGTCTTTTTGACGACGGCCATCGGCATCTTAAACTCCGTCCCCGCCATGTGGACGGGGTACTTGACCGTTGTTCTCTTTGTGCTGGTCCGACCGCTCTACTACTCTGCCATGTCGTAGGTTTCCCCCCCCTCCCCCTCCCTTATGTAGCACTCTCAACTCATTCTCGTATAGAGATTACGCGACCAAAGTCTTTGGGTTCGCCACCTTCGGCCGCGTCTACGGGACGATCATCTGCGTCTCCGGGCTCGTGAACTTCTCCCAGTACGGTCTGGACTCCCTGACGCACGGTCCCTTTGCGGGGGACCCGATGCCAATCAACATCTTCTTTGCGACCGCGGGGTTTGTCATCGGAACGGCACTCGTGGTGTATGTGGCCGTGGCCGGGCGAAAGCTGAAGGCGCAAGAGCTGGCCCTTGCGCAAGATGAAGAATGGAGGCGATTGATTCCGGAAGAGGACGAATACGAGGATTAGGGTGGGATTGGTGGGGGAGAGATTAGATTGCTGTGCGTCTGGATACCTAGCTGTATATTAGATGGTTGATTGGTTCTAACATGATATTTTTATTCTCCTCTACCAATTATGTCAATTGGATCCTTTCTATCTTATCGATCTACCACTGTTGAGATGGATTCGAATGGAAAGACTAAGTTGGTGCAAATAGCTCGCCCTGCAATTGAATCCTAGACGCAGATCTACTGTGTTTTTAGGAAATTTGTACATAGTAGGTATGTACCAAGTCTGCCTCAGAGCAAGAAAGGTAAAACAGTCACGGGGCTCAGCCCAACAAGGTTAATACCCGACAAACTTTTTTTTTTATTTCCTCCTAACTCTTTCTAGTCCAATCCTGCAACCGAACTTTATCCAGCCTGGGCACTTTCTACCCATGGATAGTCGTCGATTTACCTTAACCTAGAGTTACCTCGGGATCGAGCTGCCCAGAGATGCGCGGACTTAGTCCCGTTACGTTTGTTGTGCTTGTTTCCGCTCTGGAAGAGAAGGGAAAGTTGTGTACGACAGGTTTGTCTGTGTTGGTGACACGGCATGCAAGCTTCCTGCTTACCCCTATCTAGATACCTTATAGTGATACAGCTTGAGAGGTAATACAGATAGCTGTCCCAGCCGGTTTATTTATTCATTCGACTCTCAGACTCTGGAAATCATGAGAGAATCACCTTTCGAGTCCAACGATAAGGAAGAGACATTTGAGCACCGTCTGCTGATGCAGGTGAACGATATGCCGAAGAAAGTATAATCACTTCGGCAGTGGTTACCAAGCCCGAGGGATATGGGATTCTTTGTCTTCTTCGGTCTCCTCCGACTGGTTGGACGAATGGCGAGGGTGGGTGTGGAAAGAAACGGCAACGCGCTGCTTCCAACCGTCTATACTTGCCTTGGGGGGAAGTAAATAAGACAACACAGGAAAGCCACCCCGTATGCAATGCGGAAGAATGCGGAAAGTCTCGTCGCATTCGAGGAGAGTCTTTCGGCCTGGCCCGTCGAGGAACGGGTACATGCTGCTGCTCTGCTTTGAGAGGAGTGACGTCTGTTGCACTGCAGATTAGGCCCATGGCTGGGGTCAATAAGATCTGTGGTAGGAGATACAGACAGGTCGGTCGGGCGGTTGCGATGATTCTTGCTGTTGGGTCTAGCTTGAAACGACCAGGGGGGTGGGTTAGTGTACAGTTCTTTTGCTCTGACGCGGCCCAAGACCAAAGCCAAGCGCCCCCGCAGACCTTCTAGTGGTTCCATCTAGGCCAGTCCGCGGCCACGGCAGTCTTGCTCCTTTCGGACGACTCCGACCATCATAGCGATAAATGGAGGCGGAGAGGGGAAAGCGAGGACTTGCCAAGGTAGCCAAGGAGCTGACCTGATGTCAGTTCTGTCAGTTAGCGTGTCATCCCCGCACGCTTCCTGTCTTTGGATCTCTATTTCCCCACAATTTTCTACGCTCCGCCGTGAAAAAGCCGGGGAAACAGTGGGGCTGGTCTTGCTTTCTCTCACCATCGTCTCGCCTCTGGCCCCCTCGACCAACGGGATTGACCGGTAGTTCAGATCAATTGCTCCTTTGGCTCGATATGTGAGGGGGGTTGGTTTTTTTTGGAGTGGGTGGATAGTGCTGGTCGTTGCTAGGTGTTTGTTCCACCTGTAAGACGATGTCTTGTTTGTCACACGCTGGCGACAGCTTTCCCAACGGCGGGGATATATAGTTGTCCTCGGGGCTAGTCGTTGCGCGCTGGTGACTTTATTTTTGGACGATTTCCCTCTTCTCTTCTCTCTTCACCTAGTCCCCTCCTCCCTCCCCCACCCGTTCTACCTAAATTTTGACGCGGCCGACACCGACAGCTCAAGATGGGGACCTCAATTGACGAGAAGGCCGGTAGCGTTGATAATATTGAAGATCTCAATCAACGTGCGCAGAATGAAGTCAACTATGACGAAGAATATACCACCGCGGAACAGCGCAAGATCATTCATCGCGTCGATCGGCGTCTGGTCACGATGACGGGGCTAGCATACTGCGTGTCGCTGATGGACAGGACAAACCTCAGTATGGCGCTAGTCGCGGGGTAAGCCAGCTTGTTTCTGCCAACACGCTCGATACATTATTGACGAGTGGCCGGAGACAGCATGAAGGAAGATCTGAAACTTGACGTCGACCCACGTTATGTGGGTGCCTCTACTCTTGACCGCTGCTGCGCATGAGACTGACATTGATAGTCTATCATTGTCCTGATGTTCTTTGTTCCCTATGTTATCTTCCAGCCGCCAATGACGGTCATCACGCGGAAACTCGGCCCTACCATATTCTTGGGAACCATTGTCATCTCGTGGGGTGCGATCCTCGTTGTATGTATCTCACTGCAGGTGTCGATCCGGAGCTAACATCATCAATAGGGTATGGGTTTCACGAAGGACTGGGGAGCGATGACAGGATGTCGTGTACTGCTCGGCGTGCTTGAAGCAGGTGAGAACTGGCAATCGGTCGAAGCTAGATGCCCATGCTAACGAGTTATCTTGACAGGATACTTCCCCGGTTGCGTCTATCTGCTCTCGAGTTGGTATTCCCGGTGTAAGTTCGACCAATCATGACCGCACCCCAACCATGCGAAACGCTGCTGATGGTGACAGATGACGTGCAAAAACGCTTCTCTATATTCTACCTCATAGGCTGTGTGGCGTCTGCGCTCGCGGGTATTCTGGCCTTCGGATTGTCGAAAATGCACGGAACTGAGGGCATTCAAGGCTGGAGGTGGATCTTCATCATTGAGGGCGTGGTATGTGGATCGGACCTTGGAAGTAAACGTCAAGATATGCTGACAGCGTGAAGATCACGGGCGTGATAGGCATCCTCACCCTCATCTTCCTGGTTGACTTCCCCGACCGCGCACATAAATCGTGGAAGTTCCTCTCCGAGAAGGAGTGCGCCTTTATCGTGCGACGCATTAACCGCGACCGTTCAGACGGTGACAACGAGCCCTTTAACTTGAAGAAGTTCCTGCTTCCTGCCCTTGACCTGAAGATCTGGGGATTCGCGATGATCTTCCTGTAAGTTTACACCCCTCAACAGACATACTAGACATTTCTCACTAACCAACCGCAGGTGCACGACAACGGGCACCTATGCCATCGCATACTTCCTGCCCGTAATTCTAGGCGGAATGGGATACGACCCCGGACAATCCCAGTGCCTCGTCGCGCCCCCCTTCGGATTAGCAGGCATAGTGATGTTTTCGACCGCCTGGGTCGGGGACAAGTATCGCGTGCGAGGCCTCGTCATCATCTTCAACTCCGTGCTGTGCATCATCGGCCTCGCGATCATGGGATTCGCCCAAAACAATCCCGCCCGATACTTTGGCACTTTCCTCGCCGTAGCGGGGTGCAATGCCAATATCCCCTCTTGCATGGCCTACCAAGCCAACAACGTCCGCGGCCAGTGGACTCGCGCGTTTTCCAGCGCCACCCTGGTTGGATTCGGTGGTATCGGCGGTATTATCAGTAGTGTGGCGTTTCGCGAGAAGGATGCGCCGGGATACCGGCCGGGTATCTGGACTACTATTGCGTACGCTGTTCTTCCTACGGGATCTTTAATTGGAGAGAATTATGGCTAACTACTGATAGATGCAATCTTTTGATCCTGGTCATCGTGGCCGCGCTGAGTCTGTGGTTCCGGCGTTGCAACAGGCAGGCGGACGAGGGGAAGCGCGTGATCGAAGGGTCTCCGGACTTCCGATATACGATTTAGGACTTTTTTTCTTTCTCTATCTCAGTTTTTGTCGTTTAGCATATAGGGGGTCTGTCGACATGGTTATGTGTACGGTTGAAGGTATTACGATTATATACTGATGCAGTCAATAATACAGACGGACTATTGCTGCCATTCCTCCACGTACTGATTAGACGAGTGACTGTCGTGGCCCCCTTGGTACAAACTGTCACCTAGCTCACGAAGCCACCAGCAGATAACTAAAAGTGACACGGACCTACCTACACCTGGCCTATACCCCAAATCACATATCGACCCCCCCCCCCCCAGCCCCTCGGGATGACCCCCGGCATCCACGAAAGTACCTCAGAATAAACTCCCTGCCGGGAATATCACAAAGCGAGGATATCACAAACCCAATACGAGCCCACGTAAGGCTCCAAACGAACCCTCCTCGTTATCTAACGCCCAAGCTTAACTAACTAGCTCAGCCGTTGACGAGCTGTGAGCCACGGGTACACGCAAGCCTGTAGCCTTCCGCCAGAAGATGGATAGCCTAGTCTGGTTGCGGGTTCCCCGGTTTGGGTTAATGCCCTTCAGTGGCTCTGTGCCATGGCGCTTCGGATAGGAGGGGTTCCGATGGGTGGTGTGGGTTTTATGCTCTTGGAGTTGGGGGTTTTGGAGATGGGTGAAAGAAAGGAGGGATGTTGGGAGGTGGTGTCTCTGGCTAGAGGAGCTCGGTTTTCCTTTGTGAAGGTGAAAGGGCGGAGTTGGCTTTGGGAGATGTCTGGTTTGTATCGGCTTAGGGCACGGTATCTCCGAATGAAGTCTATTCAAGGTTGGAGGTTGTACCTGGTCTTTCGCTTCGACATCTCGCTTTTACGTGGCCCAGTAGCTGGCTGATTCCAACCATGAGCATGAGGTACTACAGAGTACGATTGGCGAGCGATATAGCGAATATGCCGCATCCCTGTCCAGCGAGCTGTACCCCTGATCACTGCTTTGTCCTCGTACACACCAACAGGTGGGGAAGGAAAGGCAGAAACAACCCACAATCATGGATATCAGATCAACAGTATGTGTCACGTCAATAATACACGCCGTTATAGGATGATCAAGGAGTTGATTGGTTTGAGCAGTACGAGGTGCATCAGCCACCACTCTAATCCTGATCTAAATGCGTCACTTCGCCAACCCTAAGAGTGGCCCTCGCATTCAAAACCGACTAGGGATCCCTTTGTCCTCGTACACGCCGAACCAAGTCATTGAGCTTTCTTTTTCCTGCGAAGGTTTTTGTTTCTCCTACGCTATGTGTTCCCTGCCGTTGGAGATTGTACAACACATCACCAGCTTGGTCAGTCGTCTGTCCTGTCCATAGTTAAGTCGTCCCACTGACTAGATATAGGTACGAGACTGGTCACCCCATGACCTTTCATCGCTCCGCCTCGTGAACCGTGCCTGCTACCATGCGGTAGCTCCCGTGGTGTACGACCGACTGAGCGTCGAGTTTGTCGATTATCCGAGCCTCCAGCGCAGTGTGTCCCAGGCGGGCAGTGGGTTTGGGGACAAGTATCTGAAATATGCCCGACGACTGGATGTGAGAGTGCTGCCCCAGAAGCCAGCCCACACGCCCGGGCAGACCGAGCGACCGTTAGATTGTTTCTGGGATACAGATGTCCCCCTCAGCCGCTGGTTGGACGCCCGCCCCAGCACAGTTGGTCCGTTTATGGAACGGGCCCTGACCGACTGGGCGATCCCTGGAGAGAAGTATGTCACGATGGAGCCGGGCAATTACGCCGAGGGAAACTGGCTGCCGCTGGTCCTGTTGATCGCGCGTCTTGAACGGCTGACGGAGCTGCACTTTGTCGCAGCCAACGTGTTTCCGAGCTGCTTGCTTCAGACCATCCAGGAACGGCATCCTCGGTGTCGGATTCACGTCTGGAGCTGCCAGCAGCCGGACCTCAGTGGAAAGGGCCCTGAGATGGAGCTGCCGAAGCTGAAGTGTCCCAGGCAGGAGGAGAGATTTGAGGTAGATGTTCTTCGCTCGCCGTGTGTCCGCGCGTTGACGCTGAACGCTTCCTTTGATTATGGCGACGAAGGCACGCATTCGCTGCTGCACTATCTCGCCATGGCTCCGAATCTCAAGCACCTGCGCATACATTCCTCGCTAGATGGAGACGATCCGACGGGCGCGTCCGATCGTAACAGACGTCCGCTTGGGTCCCTGAGGAGTCTCCGGCGTCTTCCAGCCATTCCCCTGGAGACACTCTCGTTGACGGGGTCTGCCGACCACTCAGCCATCTTGTTGACGCTGGCCGTGTGTGTCAATCTCTCTCATCTCCGCGCCCTAGAAATGGACAGCGGAACGAACCCTACGGAATTCACAGCCGCCGCCCTCGCCGCACGGAACCTGGAGAGGCTATTCCTCAACGTCCACCAGACCCCAGGCTCCCCCTCCTACGACATCATCGAACACAGCATCGTCGCCACCATCAACGCCCTACAGCCGCTCAAAACCCTCTGCCTACGATCCCTACGCACCGCCTCCCCCGTTCACCGAGTGGTCAAGCGTCACGGACCAACCCTGCAGACCCTCGTGGTGGAAGCCTCCACCGAAGAAGACCCTTCCTCCCGCGCAGGCGGCTATAAATACCCTCAGCTCCACGGCGGCGAGATCCGCCTCATCGCGCCCAACTGCCCACGCCTCCAAGAGCTGCGCATCCAACTCCGCCGCTCCCGCGGCAGCTGGCGCGAATGTCTCGCCTACCAAGCCATCGGGCAATTCCCATCCCTCCACACCGTCATCCTCGACCTCCACTACGACCCGCGCGACCACCCATCACCCTTCAACCCCTGCGCCCACCACCACCTCCGCGAGGCCCTCCTCAACGCCGCCACCGACGCCCCCCTCGCCACCGCCATCTGGGACCTCATCTACGCGAACCAGCCCTCACGACGGCTGCGCTCCCTGCGCATCGTCCCCTTTGGCGCGAAGTTCTTCGCCCCGGGTGAGTCTCTCGTGCTGCAGCGTCTGTCGCCGCCGCTGCTCGTGAAGAGGCCTCCATGCTACCCGCGCGAACCCCTCCTCGTCGTGGATGTGGGGTCCGCCGAGATGGAGCTCCAGCGGAGGGCGCACCGGGCTGTTTGCCACCTGCCTTCAGATCCTCCCGTACCGGACTCTGTGGTCCGCGTTTTCCACGAACTGTGGCCTCCTGTGATGGAGGGCGCTGATTGGAGGAGTACGCCTTGGAAAAGCTTGCCTCTGGAGGGGTGTCATGTTCCTTCTGCTGTGTAGTTTTTCTGCTGTCTATCATCGTATATTTCTCTTGGGTGGCTGCTGTGTTTACTGTTGGCGCAAGTCCTGTCTTTTGGTGGTTCCAATTTATGTCTTATCCACCGTTCCATCGATACAATCTCCACTCCTTCAGACTGCAGATGCTGGAAGTGTTGGACGATTCGGCAACAATCGGACCATTCTGGAGGGATCGGCATGTGATTGGGTGGTCGGGATGGACTGCAAATGACGTCATAATGGATGTCCTCAGGCAGCTGGAGACTGTTTACAATGCACGGATTGGACAAGGATCGGATGTGAAGATGCATATAGCTTATATTTTCCTTACTATATATACTATATTCAATGAGATCTATTGATCTGACCCTATAGAAAACACGGGGAAAAGAAATCAAACAGAAGGAGAAAAGCCCCGCGATCCCTCCGAGGACGGCGCATTTCCCGCGGGAAACCTTATCGGGCGTGGAGAAAAGAGGCAATTCTAGACGTTGATTGGCCAATCTGTCTTATCGGCCGGTTTCCCGCCCGTGACTTCCCCGATGTTTTTTGGTCGCCGTCACGGTGCGAATCACTCCACTCACTCTTTCTTTTCTTTTCTCAGATCCTTCTTTCTTCTCTTTCTCTTCTTCTTCTTCTTCATCTTCATCTTCATCTTCTTCTACTTCTTCACTTTGACACGTCTTCCATGTGTTGTTGATTGTCCATTGCTGGGATCGTCTATACCCTCATCTCCCCTCATCTCCCTTCCCCCACCTCCCCCCCGAAGACACCGGGCCATTGCCTCACATAGTCATGGCTGCGTCTTGGTGCGCCCTTCGGGGTTCTCGACAGCTTGCTCTGCGCACGCGGGTGCGCGTAGCTCCCTCGCCTGTCGCTCTGCGGAGAGCGTCTCCCCTCTCGCCATCCCTTGTCTCTTCCCGCGGAGTGAACACCTCGGCTCCTCAGTCGCCGGCGCGTCGACCGGTATACACCAGCTCGGTCGCGGACCACGGCGTCTCGCATCCCCGCGATGTCTTTCAACCCCTCGATACCTTTCCCCGTCGTCACATTGGCCCCTCGCCGGATGCCGCGCGGGAAATGCTGGCCACTTTGAACCCTCCGGTGGCGTCCCTGGACGAGTTCGTCAAGCAGGTGCTGCCGGCCGATATCCTGTCCCAGAAGGACTTGACGGTGACGCCGCCGCACGCGGGGGCGAACCTGGCGCGGGATAGCGCGCACGGTGGCCTCGGCGAGACGGACATGCTGAAGCTGCTGGAGACCTACCGCGAGCAGATCGACGTCAAGGGCAAGGCGTACCTGGGCACGGGCTACTACCCCACCATTGTCCCCCCGGTCATCCTCCGCAACATCCTGGAGAACCCCGCCTGGTACACCAGCTATACCCCCTACCAGCCCGAGATCAGCCAGGGCCGTCTGGAGTCGCTGCTGAACTTCCAGACCCTGACGGCGGACCTGACCGGTCTTCCGTTCGCCAATGCCTCGGTTCTGGATGAGGCCACCGCTGCTGCGGAGGCTATGACCATGTCGCTGGCTATCCTGCCCATGAACAAGCAGAAGAAGCCCGGCAAGGCCTACGTCGTGTCCGACCGCTGCCACCCGCAGACCCTGGCGGTCATGCGCTCGCGTGCCGAGGGCTTCGGGATCAACCTGGTAATCGGAGATGTCCTGGCCAACGACTTCCAGCTGGTCAAGGACCAGGGCGACAACCTGATCGGTGTCCTGGCCCAGTACCCCGACACGGAAGGCGGCATCTTCGACTTCCAGGCGCTGGGCGACGCCGCCCACACCGCGGGCGGCACCTTCAGCGTCGCCACCGATCTCCTGGCTCTGACCGTCCTGAAGGCGCCCGGCGAGTTCGGCGCCGATATCGCCTTCGGTAGCGCCCAGCGCTTCGGTGTGCCCATGGGGTACGGTGGTCCCCACGCCGCCTTCTTCGCGTGCGCCGACAAGTACAAGCGCAAGGTGCCCGGTCGCGTCGTCGGCGTGTCCAAGGACCGCCTGGGCAACCGCGCCCTGCGGTTGGCCCTGCAGACCCGCGAGCAGCACATCCGCCGCGAGAAGGCCACCAGCAACATCTGTACCGCGCAGGCCCTGCTCGCCAACATGAGCGCCATGTACGCCGTCTACCACGGTCCCGAGGGCCTCAAGGCCATCGCCCAGCGCATCATGTCCATGACCCTCACGCTGCAGACCAAGCTGGCCGCCTTGGGCTACAACGTGCCCATCAAGGGCAACTCCGCCGACGGTGGCGCCGTCTTTGACACGCTCGCCGTCGAGCTGCCCAGCAGCCAAGAGGCCGATGCCCTGATCGCCGCCGCCCGCGAGCGTCACATCTTCCTCCGCCGCGTGAACCCCACCAAGGTGGGCATCTCCCTGGACGAGACGACGGGCCGGGAGGAGGTCCAGGCCGTCCTGCAGGTCTTTGCCGCGCAGGCCTCCCGCGGCCCGGTCGCCCTCGACGAGGAGATCGGCGTCGCCCCGGTCCCCGCCAGCCTGGAGCGCACCTCGTCCTTCCTCACCCACCCCGTGTTCAACACCCACCACTCGGAGACCGAGATGCTGCGGTACATCCGCCACCTCGAGTCCAAGGACCTCTCCCTGGCCCACTCCATGATCCCGCTGGGCTCCTGCACCATGAAGCTCAACGCGACCTCCGAGATGATCCCCATCTCGTGGCCCGAGTTCTCCCAGATGCACCCCTTCATGCCCGCCGACGTCGCCCAGGGCTACACCCAGATGATCGCCGATCTGGAGCAGCAGCTCTCCGACATCACCGGCATGGCCGAGGTGACGGTGCAGCCCAACTCGGGTGCCCAGGGTGAGTTCGCCGGCCTGCGTGTCATCAAGAAGTTCCAGGAGGCCACCGGCGGCGCCAAGCGCAACATCTGCCTGATCCCCGTGTCGGCGCACGGCACCAACCCGGCCAGCGCCGCCATGGCCGGCATGCGCGTGCTCACCATCAAGTGCGACACCAAGACGGGCAACCTCGACCTGGCGGACCTCGAGGCCAAGTGCGAGAAGCACCAGGACGAGCTGGCCGCGGTCATGATCACCTACCCCAGCACCTTCGGCGTGTACGAGCCCGGCATCAAGGCCGCGTGCGAGATCGTGCACCGCCACGGCGGTCAGGTCTACATGGACGGCGCCAACATGAACGCCCAGATCGGCCTGTGCTCGCCCGGCGAGATCGGCGCCGACGTCTGCCACCTGAACCTGCACAAGACCTTCTGCATCCCGCACGGCGGCGGCGGTCCCGGCGTCGGCCCCATCGGCGTCGCCGAGCACCTGCGCCCCTTCCTGCCGTCGCACCCGGTCAGCGAGGCCCTCCAGGCCAAGCGCTCCGACCAGGCGTCCCCGCCCATCAGCGCCGCCCCCTGGGGCAGCGCCAGCATCCTGCCCATCACCTTCAACTACATCAACATGATGGGCGCGCGGGGCCTGACGCACGCGACCAAGATCACCCTGCTCAACGCCAACTACATCCTGTCGCGCCTGCAGGACCACTACGAGATCCTGTACACCAACGAGAACGGCCGCTGCGCGCACGAGTTCATCCTCGACGTGCGCAAGTTCAAGGACGCCTGCGGCGTCGAGGCCATCGACATTGCCAAGCGTCTGCAGGACTACGGCTTCCACGCCCCGACCATGTCCTGGCCCGTGGCCAACACGCTGATGATCGAGCCCACCGAGTCCGAGAACAAGGCCGAGCTGGACCGCTTCTGCGACGCCCTGATCGCCATCCGCGGCGAGATCGCCGAGGTCGAGCAGGGCCAGCAGCCCCGCGAGGGCAACGTGCTCAAGCTGGCTCCCCACACCCAGCGTGATCTGCTGGCCACCGAGTGGAACCGTCCTTACACCCGCGAGGCGGCCGCCTATCCGTTGCCGTACCTGGTGGAGAAGAAGTTCTGGCCTTCGGTGACCCGAGTGGATGATGGTGAGTTTATCCCAGCCTCCTAACCTAATGATTTGAAGCAATGCTAACGACGATGCAGCCTTCGGTGACCAGAACCTTTTCTGCACGTGTGGCCCGGTGGAGGATACCGTTTAGATATGATACCCATGTTTCATTCTTGTTCCTGAGAGCGACTATATACTCTTCAACATTTCTTCTTTCTTTCTTGGTTTTCATGGTTTAGGGGTTGGGGGGGCATTGTCACGACCGGACGACAGATTCAACATTCGTCATTAGACATTGGGAGGCGTTTTTTCTCTCTTTATTGTTAGAACATGATACTATCATAAATGATATACAAAAGTTCCTTAATCAAATTGTGTACACCGTCCTATGCTTCGTACGAGTCAGGTGACAAGCCACCAGTGTGCCCGGCTAAACCCGGTTGGGCTTATCGCGTGGCCGGATCTAGCCGAGCCTCGGGTGAGTTCCTCTGGTCGTCCGCCCTGGTTACTCTCTGTTATAAACTCCATCCTGGCGTCTTCCCAGCCTCAGGGGTGTCTTGTGTGACTGATTGTAGCCGGAGGACTGGTTCATCGAGCGATCCATCCTGGGACGTGCAATATCCATAGAGGAGAACGGTAAGTGGATCGTGCGGGCCGATAAGAGAGATCCGCTAAACAAGCTAGGTGGCTACTGCTAGTGGAGCAGTCGCAATTCATTCATCCCTCGACCCTCCAGAGGCCACATCGTCGTCTCTCCCACTACTCGAGTAAATATCCGCAGATAGAGATACCATGGCTGTATATACTGTCTTCTACGGCACTTTTGTGCACCTCCCGCGGGCGACGCCGTCCACGACGAAACATGAACTGTCTATCCACCACGGCGCGCTGTGGGTGTCTGTGCAGGATGGGCGCATCAAGGGGTTCGATTGGAGCGTTGCCAGCGAGGACGACCTCGTCGCGTTGATGCGCAAGCACGGCTGGTCCGTGGATGGTAGCTCCGGGACGAAGGTGACCCTTGTTAGGGCGAGGGAGGACCAGAATGAGTTCTTCTTCCCTGGGTTTGTCGATACCCATATCCATGCCCCGCAGTATCCCAACTCTGGCGTGTTTGGGTCTTCGACGCTTCTCGACTGGCTTAATACCTATACTTTTCCACTCGAAGCGTCCTTCGGCGGCAGCAGCAGCGAAGTCGCACCCCCGCGCGCCCATGCAGCCTACAAGCAGGTCGTCCAGCGTACACTGGCAAACGGCACAACCTGCGCCTCGTACTTCGCGACCATCCACGTCCCCGCCACGAACCTCCTCGCGACCCTCTGTCACCAGCTCGGCCAGCGCGCCCTCGTCGGCCGCGTCTGCATGGACAACCCAGCCTTCTGCCCAGATTACTACCACGACGAAGACGCCGCCGCAGGCATAACAGCCACCAAAGCGACCATCGCGCACATCCACAGCCTGCCCGACCCAGACCGACCAACGTCTACACCCCTAATCCAACCCATCATCACCCCCCGCTTCGCCCCAACCTGCACGCCTCAATCCATGACAGACCTCGCCCACCTCGCCCAGTCACACACGCCTCCACTACACATCCAAACGCACATCTCCGAAAATACCAACGAAGTAGCCCTTGTGCGTGAACTCTTCCCCGCCCACGAGGACTACACCTCCGTCTATGACGCCCACGCCCTCCTCACGCCCCGCACGATCCTCGCCCACGCCGTCCACCTCACACCGGCCGAAATGGCCCTCGTGCGCGCCCGCGGCGCTAAAGTCGCTCACTGCCCCGCGAGTAATTCCGCTCTTGGCTCGGGGATCTGTCCTGTGCGGACTCTACTCGACCGCGGTATTACGGTGGGATTGGGCACGGATGTTAGTGGTGGGTATAGTGTGTCTGTGTTAGAGGCTGTTCGCTCGGCTTGTTTGGTGTCGCGGTTGTTGCCGCATACTTCTTCGATAGAGAGCGACAAGAACGTCGTCCTCACCGTCGAAGACGCACTCTACCTCGGTACACGCGGCGGCGCGGCTGTCGTCGATATGGCTGATGAGATTGGTGGTTTTGATCAGGGGATGTTCTTCGATGCGCAGCTTGTGCGGCTGGGTGGGGATGTAGAGTCATCCTCTTCCACTACCGCCTCCTCTTCTTCCTCTTCCTCTCCCTGTAAATCTGACTTGGTGAAGAAAGGACCGGTCGACATCTTCGGCTGGGAAGGCTCCGTCGATCGCGTGCACAAGTGGGTGTGGAATGGAGACGATAGGAACGTGAGGAGCGTGTGGGTGAGAGGCCGACTGGTGCATTCTCTTGAATCTGAACTCTCTGGTGCTGTGTGCACGGTGGATGAAAGAGTAGGGAAATGGGCGGAGTGGGTGATTGGGGGGTTGGGTGTTTTAGGGATTGTGGGTGTGTTTTGGGCTAGGAGGGGTTGATTTTGTTCTTATATATAGGGTTGCTATTTGCTGCGTTGTGTTGCTGTGTTGTTTAGGCTATCGACTTGTATAGGTAGACTTGTTTGTATATGCCCGACTCTGGCTGTGGTTGATGTCGTTACGAGACCTTGTCATTTACACTCATCATAGCATTTGTACGACATCTAGAGAAAGCTTACAGAAACCAGAATAGTATATAGTATGAAATTCAATACAGCTATAGGTTAAGCACACAAATACCTACCTACTATCATCCACACCATCCACCCACACCAGACCTACCCTCAACTCGCCATTTCATATACCTATGTGTAAAAGGTAGATCACTGAAACAGTTCCACACAATCAAACACCTAGAAAGCCCAATCAGCCTCATCCCACAAAACCAAAAAGCAAACAGTACTCACAATATTCGGACTCAAAAATTCCTCCCCAGAGTTCCCAGACACAACACTAATCGTAACCGTGTTGTCCCCCTCGACGATCGTCCCCTCAGGAATATCCACATCGTACACCTCGCCGAAGCCGCGGTATGCGCCGCGCGTGACGCCCCGCGAGTTGAGGTTTGTCGGCGCTGGTGGGGTTTCGCCGGAGAATTTGTTTATCTAGATTTGTGTTAGTAATTCTATATATATATGTCAGTCGGAATAGGGAAGCAGTATACAGTAGCTTGAGGCCGTCCACCGGCAAAAGAAAGCGTCGTCCCAATCCGGAGCGTAGCAGCACCCGTTTGATCCGACGTTGCAGTAAAGCTGATTGTCACAGGGTCATTGACACCCTTGAAGATAGCCATGGGGAAATCCGTTAGCTCGGAGCTACCGACTGTGTAGGTTAAGGGTTCCCAGGCGGCCATGCGCTCGTCGGAGGGGTGCATGCGGAGTTGATTGTCTGCGTTGAGGAAGCCGGTTGGTCTGTTTATATTCTTGAGCATTTTGCAACAGGTTTTGTAGTGGGTATGTATGGGCATATGGGAAGGAAATACGTACTGTCCGTTCCAGTCTCCGATTTTGAAGATCGTAGTGCCGGTCTTTACGGAGCCGGTGATGTCCTTCGTTGTGGTGGACCCGGCTGTTACTGTGACTGAGGTGGTCTCTACGGCGAATTCGCCCTGGTAGTAGACCATGTCGTAGGTGCCGGGTTTCATGGCTGGGGAGGAGAAGCTGCCGTCTTTGCTGGTGTAGGTCCAGTATTGGGCGTCGTCGTTGTGCCTGTTGGATTAGTCTCAATTCTCACTCTCATTTCGTATATGTGGAGTATTATGGGAGGGAGTGGGATACCAGTGAATCACCCAGTCGAAGTCTGCATCAGCCCCCGATGCGGTCCCGCTGACTTTCCCCCTGTCGGCGGCAGGGACATAGCCTTGGATGTCGAGGTTCGCGAAGAACGAAGTGTCGATGTCGGTTTCTGGGGTTCCGCTGCGGCTGAAGTACATCGAGTAGGGTCCGTGGAGACCCATTCGGAAGGGTTCTGTTTGGACGTGGCCCGAGTTCTGGGCTGTTAGAATACATTTACACGTTGGAGGTAGGGAGTAGAGGGGCGAGGGTTGACCTACCATGTACCAGTAGAGCGTAGTGTAGTCCCCTCCGTTGTTGCTGTTGATATCGCTGCGAGGGTTAGCATCTGCTGGCTTCTACTTTATTGTGGGGTGTGTGCTTACCGATGGAAAGGGCCACCGGATGAGCTCTCGTACTGGTTTAGGATCATGCAGACGCGGTGCTCGCTTCCTGAGACGCCTGGGACAGGTTAGCTTGTCAAATTGTGCTGGGTGAGTTGTGAGATTGGCTCATACAGTGGATCTGGTCGTCGATGAATCGCTGGCTGGAGTAGAACTTGCTGCGGGTCTGTCCGCCCACGAGGAACTGTATGCCATTAGGACCAGCGACATATACATGTGGATACTAGACCACGTACCACATCGGAACCCTCAACAGCCGTGCCACTGGACGTAGTAGAGACTTCCCCGAAGGGTTCCTCGTTGGGGAGCAGCTCGGCGTTCAGACGAGCAATGTATCTCATTTCGCCAATGGACGGCTCTGGTCGATGTTAACGGCTATATCTAGACATATAGGATCGGACGTAGTTCAAACCTTCAGTGATATGGGTAGCCATATGAATGATAGGGTCGCCATTGTGAACCACGAAATACTGCGTAAGAGTGTCCGCATCGCATACCACCTTGATATAGTCGCCTGTTTCCTGTCAGAACAGCACATGCACTAGAGCATTGACCAACCCACCGTCTTTGGTTGCCGAGACAGTTGCGCTGCCCAGTCCGGAGCCGATGTGGCTCCCTTTACCCTCGTACTGCAGCTCCGCGCCGTTGAACTTGATAGAGGTGACATCGCAGCTGGCCCGGTCGACGGTAAATTGGAGCGGGTTGGGCGAGTTCGCGTCAATCGTATAGGCGCTATCGGTGGTGATGATTTCAAAGGCTGCCTGCACCCCCGGCACCCATAGGGGGAGAGAAGAGAGGAGTAGAGTCGACCACATGGCAATCTTTGATTGTCCTGTAACTGTCCGCAATCTTGAGGTTGTCATCGGTCAACCATATGTCGTTAAATACTCGCTAAGATATGCGGTGATTATTCTCACCACGGGATCGGCTCCACATCTCTGCTCCATGTCTCGGTGTGTATTGCAAACCCAAGACAGAACTAATTCCACCAATCTGAGAAGCAAAATTCTCATATGTCTCTAACAGGGATCGGCCCCAAGTGGAGAGCATGCGGAATCGCTGCAATCGGTGTTTTATCCCCTGATATCCGAAACAATCTGGCGGATCATCCGTCCTCAAAGCAGTTAGAGGAATTTTTTGAGTTCTGACGCGACCTGGCAGAGGCGTGAGACAGACTTTCGGTGTAAATAGAACCGACTGCACTTACCTATATAAACCTGTGTATATTAGGAGAAGAGTTGTGGGAGAGTCGAGGAGGTCGAATCTTATAGATGGGGGGAGAGATGTGATTGGTGGAAATATTGAAGTTGTGCCTGGTATAAGTCATGTCATGTCCACACGTGCTCCTGCATTATCCTTCATCTTTTTCTCATCTTTTCATCTTCTTCTCATCCTCATTCTCTCTTCTACTTCTCATCTTCTGACTTCGTCACTTCATCCATACTATCAACCATCTTATATCCCATCGTTCGCCCTGCATCCGGATCAGCCCCACTGTCGATCCTTCAGTAATGCAATGCATTGATTAAGCTGACAGCTGACAGAGATTAGTCAGAAACTATGCATTCCAGATTTCCCTATGGTCAACGTGCTTCATCTTCTAGATGCCAGCTGATCGGGGATGGTCTCATCAAGGGACCGATTGGACACATGCTCTCGGGGATAGATCGGGTGTATCCCCCGGACGTCGATTGAAAGCCCCGTCGGCGATCTCTATTCCACCGGGCCCCGGCCAGCCGAGAGCAGAACAGCTATGACACAATTTGGACCAATCGAAATTTCTTAGACACCAAGCATTCACGTAATGCAAGGGCTCTAGAACCTCGGAACCGGTGAAACTGAATCCAAACAGAGATATTGACAACAATAAGTCATGGAGAGTCTGGATCTTGATCTTGATCTTGACCTCGCAAGCACTAACACTTTGGGACGGGATCAGTCAGGCACTAAACCATATCGAGAGATGCTTGCGATGATTAACTCCCCCCGCAAGTCCTCCAAGGCTTCTCTTTTTTGCCCTTCCAATCATGGCAAGACGATTTCTATGATATTCGAAGGAGCACCGTGACTCTACTACTCTCCCCACTAAAATCCTCACATGTGTGGCTCATATCTACCGAGGGCAGGGGGCATCCTTGATTGTTTCCCCACAAGATCCGACAAGGTGAACGCATAAGCGAGACTTGTCAATTATAAATAGTAGTATACAAGCCGGCACCTCGCTTTCATCTTAGCCTGTTCACCAGTCTACTTTCCTCTCCCAGTACCACTGGTCAACACCCCTGGCGTCATGCTGGCTCCCATCCTCCTCCTCGCCGGAGGGCTCTACATCGCCTTTTTAGTCGCCCGGTCCATCCAGAATGCCTACAACCGACGGACGCTGGCCAAGTCCCTCAACTGCCAACCTCCTCCATCGGGGGCCGTCGAATATTGGGGCGTTCCGGCCTTTCTTCGATTGAAAAAGGCTGCGGACGAGCATCGCTGGGTCGAATACCTCGCCGATCAGTATAACATCTATGGTACCACCTTTCGCCACGCCTTGTTGGGTCGCGAGATGGTCTCCACCATCGAGCCGGAAAACATCAAGGCCATCTTGGCCACCCAGTTCAACGACTTTGGTCTAGGCAACCGTCATCGCGAATTCTACCCCCTCCTGGGCGACGGCATCTTCACGCTGGATGGCGCCGGCTGGTCGCACTCACGGGGCCTTCTCCGGCCGCAGTTCACCCGCGACCAGGTCGCCGATCTCGACACCATGGACAGTCACATCTCCCGTATGGTCGAGTTGGTCCCCACGGACGGGTCGAGCTTCGATATCCAGCGCCTCTTCTTCCTCCTGACCATCGACTCGGCCACCCACTTCCTCTTCGGGGAGTCGGTCGGCTCCATGGGCTCTTCCGAGAACGCCAGCCTCCTGGGCAAGTCGTCCGTCGGAAACGCCGAGGGCTTTGCCGAGGCGTTCAACACGGCGCAGGAATGGGTGGCGGAGCGATCCCGGGCCGTCGATTTCTACTGGATGATCAACCCCAAAGAATTCAAGGAGGCCAACAAGCGCGTCCACGAGGTCGTCGACCACTACGTGCGCCTGGCCATCGACTCCAAGAACCACCCCGAAAAGCGAGAGCCCGGCCGGTACATCTTCGCCGAAGCGCTGGCCGCTAGCAACGATAACCCCAAGGTACTGCGTGACAGCATGCTTAACATCCTCCTGGCCGGCCGCGACACCACCGCCAGTCTGCTCAGCTCGGCCTTCTTCTTCATGGCGCGCCACCCCAACGTCTGGAACCGCCTGCGCCGCACGCTCATCGAAGAGTTCGGCGACTACCATCACCCCCGCGGAGAGATCACCCATACCAAGCTGAAGGATATCCCATACCTGCGCTATGTCTTGAACGAGAGTAAGTAGCGCCCTGGGATAGATCCCGCCCCCTCTTCCCCCCACCTAGTTTATAGACCGCCCACTAACCTCGTCATCCAGCACTCCGGTTACTGCCACCTGTCCCGCTGAACTTCCGCACCGCCCTCAAGGACACCACCCTTCCCGTCGGTGGTGGGCCCGACGGACAGTCCCCCGTCTTCATGTCCAAGGGCACCATGGCGATGTACAGTGTTTACGCGATGCACCGACGCAAGGATCTCTGGGGTGCAGATGCCGACGTCTTCCGCCCCGAGCGCTGGGAGGAGAACAGTCGGCACGGCTGGGAGTACCTTCCGTTCAACGGTGGCCCGCGCATCTGTCTTGGCCGTATGTCCCTACATACCTTATCCATATGTCCCGTCACTAACTTATAATGGCAGAGCAATATGCCCTGACGGAAGCGAGCTTCACGCTGGTTCGCCTGATGCAGCGCTTCGATGCGCTGGAGAACGCCGATCCCACGCTGGAGAAGCCCGCCATCCTGTCCAACTTGACTCTTTCGCACGACAAGGGGGTTCACATCCGCTTGCGGGCGGCGGGGAGTGCGTAGAGGGAGGTGATGACCTACATGCTGTATATATTGATGATGATCTGAGTACTTCCATGATTCCCACTATTGATAAAATTGTATATAAAAATATCCCAGTCTTTTTTGTCAATGCGGTAGTACTTCTCACCTCTTTCCTCTCCGTCTCTTCCATTCTTTTGGACCTACATCATCCTACCCGCAACGTCCTAAATGTATAGCTCGTCACGATGTAGCGTGAAGGGACTGTGCCCTGTAGAGGTAGACCCGAGGTCCAGATTTCTTTGATGATGAAAATGTCAAGCAGTCTTTTGTAGGTTTAGATGTGTGTCTCTATATTCGCATTGGCTCGTTTGTTATCTCCAGACGGCACTTCTTTTTTGCTCCGCGCTGAAGAGAGAATACGATATCAGTATTACTCAGTAGTAATCCAGAATTGACCCCAAGAATGACGCTGTAAAAGCAGGATAACCACCTAGTTCCCAACTGTTTCCATGAAGCTATACCGAGAAGACGCTAGTCCATCCCTGGCAGACAGGCGGAAACAACCGGCAGAATGCCGTCACAAGTGCAGCCTTCGAGATCAAACGATCGTCTTTCGTCCCTTGCGCATCAACAGCCACATTCCTACCCTTCCGTATCTTTCATCCCTCCCATCGACTCGATCCTGCCCTGATCGACTCGCCATCCCAGCTGAGCTAACCCACCATTGTGGACTCCATTCCTACTCTGGGCCATCCCTCCGCAAGTCGCACGCTCATTGGACAATCCCGTCCCACTTCTCCCGGGACCCTTTCGTCTCTTTTGTCGCGACATGGCCGGTCCCTCTAAGTCGCCCAACAGGTTTCCCTCGGTGTCTGTCGTCGTCCCCAAGATGGAGATGCCCCTGAAGCAGCCCCCAACGCCGTCCCAGTCTAAGGGTACCGTTCCTAAGGCAGCCGCTCCTCCTCCGCAAACCCAAGCCATCCCGCCCAACAACCACCCATCCGCCGGCGCAACCGCTCCTCCAAATGGTATGGCGACTCCCATCCCAGCACCGCCGGTTGCGCCTCAAGTGGGAAACATGTCTGCCTCAGCCGATACATCAATCAGCGAGACCGCGCTCCGCGAGTCCGAAATACAGCTCGTCTCGTCTCTCGCCAAGCTCCAGAAACTCGAGTCCACCGTCCACCAGCTTCGCGACCTGCTGCCCGATCGTCTGCTGGACCCGTTACTTCCCATCCTCAATCCCAGAGTGTTGAAAGAACGCGCCCTTCCCAAGTCGCCGCAGGCGCTGCTCCAACAGCTCTCACAAACGGCGCGGGCTGGCGTCGCGGAGGTCAATGATCTCGGGGCGACGTGGCGCGGAGACGAGATGAAGGCCGTGTGGGATCGGGTTCAGGGCAATATCAGAGAGAATGGTGGGCAGCTGCTGCAGCCGACAGGCATGTGGGAGCGGGATTACAATGTCTTGCTCGAGGAGCTGGAGGCCGAGGAGAAAGAGAGGAGGGAGCAGCAAGCCCGGGAGGAGGAGGAGGCGGAGCGGTCGAGGATCCAGACGATGGAAGGCGGGTGGAAGGCGGTCGTGGACGCGTTTGTCCAGCGACGGATTCCGGGTGTCAAAGCCTTGGTCAGTCAGGAACGGACAGCCGTGGAGGTTGTGCTTGTTAAGGCTGGGATGTCTTTCTCTGTGCGTCCGGCGGACGGGAGTGATGGGAGTGGGGTGCCTGATTGGGAGGTCGAAAGTAAGAGCGAGTCTCAGCCGGCTGGGACGAAGCTGGAGAGTGCCGTGGCGGACTGTTTGAATGCTTGTCCGCGCCGGTGGGATCTGGCGTATTTGTTGGTGAGTAGGAAGGACTCCATCGTTTTGGTATACTCTGGCTAACGGGATTAGGACCTGATCTCTTCATACTCCGATATCAAGCAGCGGCCCTGCGTCAAATGCGGCCAGGTGATGGATCAGTCCGCACGCCTTCCGACTATCCGTCAACCACAGCAGACACAAGTGGATGGACAGGCAATTACAATCTGGGAGGCATACCATCCGAGTTGTATCTGATCAAGCCTATTCGACGCGAAGACGATAATAGCACCGAAGATATGAACATACATCAATAACCAAACCTTCGACTAAGGAAGGATTCGCACAAGTGCTGTCTATTCATTCCCATCCACCGCATCGTGATAACGCAACGCCGGATACTCCCTACGAGGACGATCCTCGTACCTCTCCAAAACGACATGTCTTTCGTCCGTCACCCACCAGAAGAGTATCCCCCAAAGAAACCCAAGCGATCGACCAATGTACCGCATAAGCGCTGTCCCTTCATTTCCATCCAGCACATCATGATACCCCACAGCCGGATACTCCCTACCATGACGATCCTCATACCTCTGCGGAACTACCTGTCTTTCGTCGCTTGTCGACCTAAAGAGATTCCACCCAAGAAACCCAACCCATCCACCAGGAACGATCCGCACAAGCGCTGTCCCTTGATTCTCATCCACCGCGTCAGGATAACACACAGCTGGATATTCCCTACCACGGCGATCCTCATCCCTCTCCGGGACTACCTGTCTTTCGTCCATTGCCCCCCAGGAGAGAGTACTCCAGGGAAACTCAATCCAGCCCCTCCCTTCTTCCTCCTCCTCCCCCTCCTCCTCTTCTTCATGCTCTTCTCCATGCTCTTCTCCATGCTCTTCTCCATGCTCTTCTCCATGCTCTTCTTCATACTCTTCTTCAACATCGCCTTCACCACCAGTACCACCAAAATCCTCAACCCCCGACCAACTCCCCACATCAGGACCGCCACTCCTCCATCTCAAACGGTCACCCCTCTCTTCTGGAAGACCCAACACCCGGCTGTTGATGGGTCCACGGTACATCGACCCTGTCGCATCTCCCCGGCTATCTCGACTAGGAGTGCTCTTTTTCTTTGTCGATCTACCGCCCCCGGCGCGTCGCGCCCTAGAGGCAGAAGCAGAGGCAGAGGCAGAGGCAGATTTCCCCCCCCAATTCGACCGACATGAATATCAGGGCCCTGGCTTGTAAACACTTCGTAGACTCGCTGGAGCGGGCTCCACTCGAACAGCCTTTCCGGCTTGGGGGTTCTGTCCCAGATCAAACCCCAGTTTTCGCTCATTTCTCGCTGGTGTGATGGTTGTTGATGATAGTAGTGGAGTCTTTGAAAGGTGTGTTAGACGGACTGGAAAGAGAATGAGAAGGGGGTTAGTACTTTGAATGGGAGGGAGAAACCTGGATGAGAGGGTATGTACAGTGTATTTATGTCTGAATCTACTGAGGTATCTATACTATCCATCCATCCATCTGATGGTAAGCACAAGGACTTATTCACCTGCCTACACTGTGTATAACATACATGTTCGCCGTGTATCACCTACATTGTGTAGACATGTCTTTCTTCTTGACGGCTTTACCTTTTGATATGACAGTATCCCGATTGCTAGTACTTCTGTCCAACAGCATAAGACAAGAGCAAACATATAGATAGATATAGAAAGATAGATGGTAGATGCCATTGACAGACCCTGTACGACCAGCATTCAAGCAATCAGTTCATGACTGTCCATTGATTCTGCACCCCGTTGATAGGTTTCTCTTTCTTTTTTCTTTAGTAGGTATCTCCGGCAAGCAACGATGTATGGTAAAATCTTGGCCAATGTTGGATATCAAGACCCTACCCCCCGCCAATTGGTGTTCTTGGTCAAATGGCCATGAGGGGGTTGTGAGACTGTTGATGGCGACTGGGAGGGTGGATGTCAACTCGAGGGATAGTATGCTGAACACGCCGCTGCTGTTGGCTGCTATGGATGGGTATGAGGGTATTGTGAGACTGTTGTTGGGTGCTGCGGGGGTGGATGTCAACTCGAGGGATAATATGGGCAAGACGCCGTTGATCTGGGCTGCTAGGGAGGGTCATGATGCTGTGGTGAGATTGTTGCTGGGCACCGAGGGGGTGGAAGTGGATTGTAAGGATAGTTCGGGATGGTCGGCGTTGGCGTGGGCATCACGGATCAAGCGTAAAGTTATTGTGAAGCTTTTGCTGGAGACAGGGAAGGTAGATTTGGATTATAAGGATAAGGATAATGTCGAACCGATATGGATATGCCCGAGGGTGTTGTGAGGCTGTTGCTTGGGGAGCCTCTCGTCAATGTTGATGTGATGGCCGTTTGGCTGGGCTTTGGAGTATGAGCGGGAGGAGGTGATGAGGCTTCTGTTGGAGACTGGGAGGGTGCATCCTAAGTGTCTAAGTGAGATGGTTTGATTGCGCCTATCTTCATCTGCATCTGTGATCATGTATATGGAGGTCCACAATGAAACATATTATAAACATATAACAACGGTTAATTACACGTAGAAAAAAGAAATAAGAATGATTATTTGCTAGACCCGCTATGATTGCTTGAAGAAATACTGTCAATCACGGTCCAAATTCAATCAAACGCCGTCCCAAACCAACCTAATTACTGAAGATCGTTCTCATGATAGCTCAAACAAGTTTCGCTCGAAATGCAAGTGTGTTGCGGTAGTGTACCGACGGGGTGAATGAAGGGGAAATAAACGCTTGTTGTGGGATAGAATCAAGTGGCGAAGACGCCAAAGTCCCCTGCGAACCAGGTGAAGGTGGTTATGGTGATGGCTGCCATGCCGACGGCGAACTTCAGGGCGGTTCGTTCGGTGTCGGAGAGGGCGCCGTTGCAGGTTGCGCAGACGTGTTCTATTCTAGTTAGTATATTATTTCGTCTGGTTAGAATGGGAAAAACATACCGTTGATCGGGGTGTAGGACTGCGGCAGATACATCCCAAAGTTGTAGCCGATCTGCGAGCCCAGATGTCCGGCCTTGGCCGTGTCGCCAGGCTCCCCATCTATGTCGTAGACGAACAGGGTGTAGGTTGCGGTCAAGAGCGGCACGGTGGCATTGGCCTGGTACTTCTTCGTGTCCCAGACCACCTTGCCCGTCTCCTCCACGCTCATGTTGCCCGAGATGGTGTAGGTGGCGCTGTTCAGACTGCAGGAGGCAACGACGTTGACGGCGGACGGGGTGACCGAGAGCGAGGTGTAGTTCCACACGAACGTCACATGGTCGCCCACCTTGTAGTAAGTCGTGGCGCGGTTGTCGGGCGTCAACATGGAGACACCGCCCGCAGGCAGGCGGGGGTCGACCGAGGTGGACTTTGGCTTCTTGTCCTTGTCGGTCTTGGAGGGCTTGTCATCCTTGTCGTCCTTGTCGGTAGGGGTGGGCTTATCGTCCTTGTCGGTAGCGGTGCTCTTCTCCGAGTCTGTGGCGGTCGCGTCCTTGTCGGTCTTATCGGCGCTGGATGTCGACTCGTCGTCCTTGTTGGAGCCAGTCTCCTTGGGCTGGTCGGCGGTCGGGGTGGCTTCTGCTTCGGCCTTGTCTGCTCCAGTTTCTTCTGTATGGGTATCAGCAATGGTCTCTCGCAGTGGTCGAACAGTTTCAAAACATGGGTGGATACGGACCGGCTCGCGCATACAACACTTCCGCGCCTGGGCCTGATGAGGCGGAGACAATTCCTATCACGAAGAGGAAACACAGGAGTGAGAGAAAGGCGAAGGATCGCATGTTGATGGCTGTCTCCGGTGGAGAAGACAAAAATAGATGTTGTAATGGCCGGGGAAGATGTCCCGAATGGATCGATGGCGATCCTTGGACCCTTATTCTTATTGAGAGCGGGTCAGCGATGAACCTGTCTTGGAAGATATCGATATCCCAGAGTAATGTCGTGTCGAGTCGAAATTCCCGGTTGAAATGTAGAATCTCTCAGCGAGCGAGAAGAGATCAAAAACTGGCAGACCAGGACCCTTTTCCAGTGGGTGAGTGAAAGGCCGATCGGGTGATCCAGCGAACGACCGAATGTGGGGGGAGTAAACAAAGCGAGCGACTAGCGACAGGCGTTTCGACGAGGTGAAGTCGTCAGTCAAAAGAAGGAGAAACAGACGACACTGAAGACAGGCGGACAACAGACAACAGACAGATGATAGAAGAACAAGTCAGGGAAAAGAAAGAGGAAGAAAAAGACTGGAGTGACCGTCAACAGGTGAGACGAGGTCTAGCCCCTTTTGGGCATCGCTGTGAGACATTCTCGATCACCGTCTATTTTTGGCCTCAGTCCAGCATCACCAGTTGGTCTCCTTCAGTACTAACTTGAGATACTTGGAGTACTCTGTAGTTACAGCTTCAGATCCATCTATCTACGGGATTGTTTACGCTTTTTGCAAGGCAGTACTTTGTATTCATATTATGGAGTAATCCCTCTCACGACGATCACGGATGGATCCCCGGTCGCTTAGCCTTTTAGCAGATCATATTGGCAATGAACCTGCGCCAGCAAACATGAACGAATAACAGAGGTGAATTGGGTCCAGTATGTATCATTTTATTCTCTTTTGTATAGACTTGTTATCTTTTAGGTTGCATCCAATTAGCAAAACCATAACCATAACCATAACTATAATCAGAGCCACAGTTATATCCAACGATCGGCCCGTTCGCGTGTCAACCAAAATCAATCCAAACTCCAGTCATCATCTCGTCACGTATCATTCATGACCATTTTCGAATTATATAGACATCTCCCATCCACGATTCACATCTCGCCACACGCGTCACGACTCCCGGTGGCAAGATCTCGGCAACCTACTCGGATAGGTACTCCACCTTCAAGTCGACCTTGGTACAGCTACTCGGGAGAGAGGTAGCTTCCTTGAAGCGGTAGAGGTAGAACAGCTGGGGCTCGTTGTGATACCAGTCGCATACTGTACGACATAGTTGTCAGTAATGAACCTTTTTGGCTGTACTGAAGGGGAAAAGGGTACTCACCCAGCCACCCGCCGAAACCTTGCTTCTCCGACCATTTCAAGTTGTCCCCATCGATGGAGAAGGCGCCTGACCCGTATCCCGTGTTGATTTCGACGGGTTCCCACGCTGGAGAGGTTAGTTCGAGAGAAACACAAAATAACGTGTGAAATAGCAACATGAATGAACATACAGCCATAATTATTCGCCCCACGCATAGTGATACCCCAAGGAAAAGGAGTATCAAGAGCGAACTGGACGTTCGAGCTATTCAGGAAAGCCGGCTTGGCCGTGTTAAAGTCGGCCGTCAGGACGGCATCGTTGAGGCCTGCGCCCGTGTGATAGCCATACACATAGAGCCCGTCGTGGTCCTGGTTGGATGCGCCCGAGGTCTTCAAGTGGAATAATTTAGGGTCGTCGTTGCTCCCTCGGGCTGAAAGAATGGGGTTGGCTGCCACGGCCGACACGAACAAGACGAGCGAAGAGAGGAGCTTCATGGTTGATTTCTTTTGGGTGGTGGATGTAAATGCAAATTGGAAGGAGGGGAAGTTTGATCTGGGAAGACTTTTGTAATGAAAAGCCACCCGAACGAGAGAACGACCCTAGGCTGCGTGCAGAAACGAGGAGTGTGAGAAATACCGATGCGGATGGGGAGAACCGGGTCCACCTATTTATGGAGGTTGCAGTACGGAGTAGTAGATCTACTTAACTCCTGTCTCGCCACCTGGAAAAATACCGCTGCAGGGCTAATTCTCTGTCAGGGCCAGTGGCAAGTGGGATACGAAACTCCTGCCTCTCAGATATTGTCCATCCAGGGACTGTCCACTGGTTCAAGTCGGAAGCTCCGAGTTCGTCGGTTGCTGGGGTTGGGATGTGGGGAATGAAGGTACCTCACCTCTACCAGGCAAGGGTGGTACTCCTCGGTGGGATATAAGTATTTCTGAGACATATACCTACCTATCTGTTGCGATTGACTGTACGGAGAAACATCTGCAAAAAAATAGTCAATTGTTTTACCCCATAGCGTGCAGCTCAGCAGCCTCGCTTTCTTACAGCTCATGCTTTGATCTAAGATAGACACTTCCAGACAATCATGTGGCACAATCTTATTCAACGGGAGAGGCTGCGAAAGACTGCGAACTATGGTTCCCACAAATCAGAAGCTTGGCAATCATTGTACACCAATTGTCGCTTGAAAGTCCATGGAAGGATAAACCTTCCAAGGCTCTTTGTTCCCTGTTTTGGCATGATCTCGAAGGAGTCTCATGTTCTATACGAGAGATGAGTCTCGCACGAGTCAGGTTGACCAGTGTGGCGTATTTGCCTAGAATATCTTCTGGCGTTGATACTACGATTGATACTGCAATCGATACTGCATTGATACTACAGTTGATACTACACCTCACACTTCTTGACTTACTACAGCAAACAGAGCTCTATGATACTTGACGTCATCGTCTCGGTCCCATCCATTATATTTCTACCTGACATCACCCTACTCGCCACTTCCGCGGGACACGCCTTGACTGGCTCGTGGAGAGCCCCTCAAGTGTGGAAATGGTGCGGACATCTGGAGACACGGCTGGCAGGTGGACACGGCCCTGGGGAAAGGGCCCAGAATGTGTATCCCGCGCCCCGGGGAATATCTCGGTTGAACGGCAGCATGGATTGAATCCTACTGGATCTCTGATTCGGGCGCCGAAGGGTTTAACATGGAGATGGGCCCATTCCAGAGCTACTCGGGCGGTTCTGTCAGCCCGTTGTGGTGCCCGTGTTGCCCGATTTACCGCAGCTTGGTTACGATCTCTTTATATCAATCGCGTGTCATCTGGGCAACATTCGGTCATATATTCCCATTGCTGTAGAGACAAGAACGTCATGGTACTGCCATAGTGTCATGATGCCGAGTGTGACCATTCATGGCCCTGAGCTCCAGACAAGGCCGGCTCTCGTATGTCGAGAATCCCCAGGCATCTTCAAGGCTGACCCGGATACCCGTGTTGGGTCCGTCAACCCGACTGGATAGACCTGCACTGCCAGATTCATAGGTCGACTCACTCTGGGATCTTTCAAGTAAGAAGATAGAGAAACAGCTACGACCATAAGATGGGCAAAGAACTGAGGCGGAACATCTTCCCGACCCAGGCTAGACTTGGCAATTAGTCACTGAACCTCAGCTTTCCTCCATTTCTTCTTTCGGATTGTGACTACTATTGGCATGAACCTCGGGGTACTCTCACGATGGGTACGACGTGCTTACAGGTCGCGGAACGATGTGATCTTCCGTTCTTTGATTGCATTGGCTTGGCGTCTTGGGTCTCACGATGGCCGTCAGGTACGGATACGTATCCTCTAGAATCGACCGAGTATAGTTCCATGTCTATCGGGGCACTAATATCCTGTCTGGATTTTTAGTTTGCTCCGCTCTGTGTTTTCGCTTCTTGATCAGTAGCAACTTCTTTCCCATGATATAAGGCCGCTTGCCCTGTGGATTTTCAAATGGTGCACACTGCAGATACAGGGATGGGCGAAATCCGCCCACAATATGGGATACGACTGCGGGTTTTCCGTTGGTCCAGAAGTCTCACTTTATGGGGAAAGAAGGAGGTTTTTTTTTTTTTTTCTTTCTTTTCTTCCTCCCTGGGAGATTGGAGCGAGATTAGCTTCTGTGGTGGCGGGTGACGACTCCACTGCTGGGGCAGATCCTCCCGGAGGTTGGCCAAGAGCAAGCAGGATGTGCCCAGTCTTAGGCAGGTATTATTGCAAGAAACCCAATACCATGATTACCTCTTCGTTCAAGTCCAGAACAATTGTAACTGGAGTTGTAACTGGAGTTGTGACTTGAATAGAGACTGGGAGTGGGAGTGTGCCATTGGGTGCTGTACAAGGAATCACAGGGAAGAAAGGGAGCTTGGAATTGGCCGTCGTGCTCACTGCTCTCTCCCCCTCTACGGAGGACTCCGCCGTCATTGATTGAGCTGGTCATTCGTCATTGGACCTCGATCGAAATTGAGATCAATTCCTTGGGAGGAGGCGGGGAGAATATCACCATTCGCCCCTTGGTACTCTTGGGGGCCATGTATGATAATATGATCCTTTCTACTCCGTACTCCTACTCCGTATTCCCACCAGTTTACCCCAATTCCCTCCTCCCTAGATAAACCAGTGGTGAGATCAGCGGGTTAGAGACCTAATCTAAAACCGCATATCGTGGACCCTGCTGGTCGACTGGGTACGACCCCAAGTCCAACCCAACCTTGGCCAGCCTCAGGCGTAAGTAGTAAGTACCGTGTACTCCGTTGTGTGCTAAGTTCACACAGGTTGCAAAGTACCCTGTACAAGACAGATACACCCCGATTACTGAGGCATCCATCATCTCCACACCAAACTTCATCTTTCTCTTTCTTTCTCTCACTTCTCTCACTTCTCTCTCTCTCTCACTTCTCCTTCTTTTCTTTCCCCACCATCACTCCCAGTTTCAATCAACCCACTTTCTCATGATTCGGGTTCCTCTTCCTCTCTCACTTTACCTTCCCCCATCCCTGTGAGTTCTTCTGTCTGGAATTTCCCCGGTTTCTCTGGGGGTTCCAACAGTAGGCACTCCATCCTTTTCCCCCCTCGTGTCAGCTGCCCGCATATTACCTGTTGGCATTGGTTGCGACCGCCCTACGCCGTGCGTACACTGGCTGCCTCGCCCTTGACAACAACAACAACCCCGGTCAATCCACCTCCCCTCTGCGGCTTTTCTTTTCTCTCCTTCTTTCTTTCTTTCTTTTTTTTCGCCATTTTTCGCTCTCTTCTTCAATCACAATCCCGTTCGGATAATGAAGTGCGGCGCTGCTGGGAATTAAGACCAATTCCTTTCGTCTTCCATACACCCACTTCCTCCCCCCTCTCTCCCCTTTCCACACGTTACGGATTGCATCAGGATTCGCTCAAGGCCCGCTTGGTCTCCGCCTGATTGCGCTACGTGCGTCTACCGTCCCCGCTACCATCCAACACCACTTTCCCTCCCTCCCCTCCTCCCGATCGCGGTGCATATGCGCTGTCACCCACGACGGACGATCGCAGTCTTTTCTTTTCCCACTCAACCATATTCGAGTTTGAAACCCGGTCTCTGGTTGACAGCGACCAAACCGCGGGGATGGACTCTCAGTGGCACCCCTACCAGGATCCCTTGATGGGGCGTCCTGCGCAATTCAATAACGTGCCCCCCAAATACGGTCAGCCGCAGCAACCGTCCCAGCCGCCCGTGGGATACACCTACGAGCCCTTCCAGACCCCCGCCATGGCCTCCAAACCCCCTTCGCTCAGTTCCAGTTCCAAAACAATGTCCATGGCCTCGTCTCCAGCCGCGACCCCGCGTCACCGCGATTATGTGGCCGACACCGATGCCACGATGGAAGATGCCGACCCCTACAATCGGAGCAAGTATCCGACGAGACCCCATCATCAGAGTCGCCCGTCGGCTCAGTATCTCCCCACGGAGGAATCGTCCGCCGCCCGTCGGTACTCCCCCATGAACGCCGTCCCACCCCCGCCGTGCCCTACACTGTGAGCCCGGGCAAGTCGCAGAACGCATATGCGTTTCCCCCGGTGTCGAACCCGTCTCAACCGTCCCGCCGGTCGCCCACCAGGACGAATTATGCCTCCCCCCCGCTTGCCTATCAGTCGCCGCCCTGTGAGTTGCTGCCCTGTGTATACCCTCCAGAACCGTCCGTTCTTTTGACTAACCCATTCTCGGGGACAGCGGGATCCCGGGCCCCACGACTTCCTCCGTTGCAGCCGACAGAGATGAGTCCCGATCAATTCTATCCGCAGTCGGCCAGTTCGCAACTCAGTACGCCGTTTGGTCATGATGGGCGATCGCCGCGCTCCGGATCCATCTCGAGCCCTCACCTACAACCCGGTCGAGGTCCGGTTCCGAAATTCCAGAAGGTCAAATCGGTTCAGGAACTCCATCCGCGCGTGCATGCGCAGCCGGCCTACCGGCGGGCGCACCCAGAAGGTGGTTTCATCAGCGTAAGTTCCCCAGAACGCTGGCGCTGCCGTGACCCTTCTAATCGTCCCACAGCCGCTTCAAGCCTTGACCTCGTATCTCCCGGCCACGTATCGCATCTGCAACCCCGGTTTCAACTACGAGTCGTCCCGCAACCCGAGACGTGTCCTCACCAAACCCAGCAAAGGGGTCAAGAATGACGGTTATGACAACGAGGAGAGTGACTACATTCTGTACGTCAATGATATCTTGGGGAGTGAAGAAGCGGGCCACAAGTAAGTCCATCCCTCGTGTTTTTCTCCAGTCCTACTGCTCTCGGTTCGCTGACGGTCGGTCCAGAAATCGATATCTCATTCTGGATGTGTTGGGCCAAGGGACGTTCGGTCAGGTCGTCAAATGTCAAAACCTCAAGACCCAAGAGGTGGTCGCGGTTAAAGTGATCAAAAACAAGACCGCCTATTTCAACCAAAGCATGATGGAAGTGTCGGTTCTGGACCTGGTCAGTTGCATCGTGACCCTGTCTCAACATACGCGCCCGGCTCACAATTCTGCAGCTCAACAACAAGTTCGACAAGAACGACGACCATCATCTCCTTCGGCTGAAGGATACCTTCATCCACCGACAGCACCTCTGTCTGTGTTTTGAATTGCTCAGCGTCAACCTCTACGAATTGATCAAGCAAAATCAGTTCCGAGGGTTGAGCACCACGCTCGTGCGGGTGTTTGCCCAGCAACTCTTGAACGCCCTAAGTCTCCTGAACAAGGCGCATCTGATCCACTGTGATCTCAAGCCCGAGAACATCCTTTTGAAAAAGTTCGTGTCTATTCTTATCTTTGTGTGGGTCTGCCAGCTAACCCGACATGTTCTTTTCGCTGCAGTTTGGAGAGTCCCATTATCAAGGTCATCGATTTCGGATCGGCCTGCGACGAAAGGCAGACCGTCTATACGTATATACAGTCTCGGTTCTACCGCTCGCCGGAGGTCCTGCTTGGTCTCCCGTACGTTTCTTCTCGCCCCTGTCCCTTCCCTTAGCGGCCTTTCCACGGCCTATCAGGCGGGGTGCCTTGGGCTAACATCGTTTAGTTATTCTTCCGCCATCGACATGTGGTCTCTCGGGTGCATTGTGGTCGAGCTTTTCCTTGGGTTGCCGCTATTCCCGGGATCGTCGGAGTACAACCAAGTGTGTCGGATCGTAGAGATGATGGGTCTCCCCCCGACGTGGATGCTCGAGATGGGCAAACAGTCCGGCGAATTCTTCGAGAAAACCCAGGACGAGTTCGGTCGAAAGACGTATCGCCTGAAGAGTCTGGAACAGTATTCCCGGGAGCATAACACGAAGGAGCAACCGAGCAAGAAGTATTTCCAGGCGTCAACCCTGGAGGAGATCATTCGGAGCTACCCGATGCCCAGGAAGAATATGAAACCGGCGGAGATCGAGAGGGGTACGTTGTTCTTCTCACCCATTTCACCGTGGATATCTGCTAACCAGATCGCTCAGAGCTGAATAACCGGGTGGCCTTCATCGACTTCGTTCGTGGCTTGTTGACCATCAATCCTCTGGAGCGCTGGTCACCGCAGCAGGCCAAGCTGCATCCGTTCATCACGCAGCAAAAGTTCACAGGGCCCTTTGTGCCTCCGATGAATCTCAAGTACGCTTCGCTGCAGAAGACCATCCCTCCTGGGATCCAGCAGCAGCAGCAGGCAGAGGCCGCCAGCAAGCAGCGCGCGGCGCAGGCGGCCCATGCCCACACCGCGGCGCAGACTGCTTACTCCATGCAGATGAACCAGTTCCACCCGCCCGCCCACGCCCAGCCGCCCCCCATGTACAATGGCATGTTCACGGGCCACCAACAAGGGGCTCCTCCGCCGCCGTACCCCACCCAACCGCCCGGATATGGCCATCAGATGAACATGATGCCGGGGCAGGTGCCTCAGCCGCAGTACGCGCCCTCCTCGCAGAGCCTCTTCGCCCAAGCCACCACCCGGGCCGGTCGCCAACGGGCATCGACCATGGACCCCCAGAACGGGGGGATCCCCCCGACCATTCAACGCGTCGCCAGCCACCTGGACCCCAACGCTCCCATCCGGTTACAACCGAGTCCCGCGTACTACCCACCGCCCCCTGATGGGTATGTGGACGGCAGCTCTGGAGGACAGCGGCGCCGAGGCAGCCGTGCGGGTGGCACGCGCAATCGGGACTTCATCCGAACCCTCGAAGACGGTGTTTTGGGAGGCGAAGGCTTTACGGGTCAGAACCAGTGGCATTAACAACGTGCGGTCGGCCAGCTTCTTTTTTCTTTTTCTTTTTGACGGCACCTGACGGTCCACGGAATACATATATCATCCCCGTTCTCTTTGTACCGGGGGTAGGGGGCCGTGCTCTGGGCGTTGTGATCCCCTAGGAGATATAGCAGGTCCCGCCCCGGTTTGGTCCGAGCGGGTCTAGCCTGGGCCTCCCATCCCACACCCCGCATCCTTGCCTGCTCCCGTCACCTTCAGCAGTGTCCAGAACTGGTGCCATTATGTGGTTCTCTGTTTCTTTGTTCAGCACCTCTGGCACTCGCAGTACGTTTTGAGCGGATATGTATCGGACCCATAGAATCGTGTGTATGGAGAGGCCACATGGTTAGGTTGAAAGAGAGGTTATACGGGTCTTGAGCCCAGGGGTGGGTGCAACAAGAATGAACGGACCGTATTTTCCTTCCTCGCCATTTCGCATCCTTACTTCCGGCGGTGTTTCGAGTGACAGATTGGTACTGGACCCCGTTCGTCTATTTTGCCGCATCATTGATGGTCATTCCGATGTTACCTCGACCCGTGGACGATCCTTCCGGAATGATGTATATGGCTGTCATTCGGCACAGCCGGGAGCACAGACTTGGAAAGATCTCAATTTATGTTCGTTATTGTCGCATTGTCGTGTTTGAATTTCATTCTCGTCTTACTGCTGTGTACACGGAAATGCGACGCTCTCCCTTCCTCTCGCGCTGTTTTTTCCTTCTTCTCGTTTGTCTGCGATTTCTCCTCATCGGACAGCATTACCTCGTTTGGATATTCTCCATCCTACACTCAGACATAGCCAATGCATAGATATCAACCATTTCGCTCGATTTCCGGTTGCCGTGGTAGTGTCATTGGCGGTCGTTAATGGGCCGATTCTCGATATTTGATTCTTGGAACAGGGAAAGCCTATCCACCATTTTAGATTTTGATCGTAGTCTTGCATATACGTGGGGGAGTTGATCCTGGTGAGTAGCGCGTTTATCTGGGTTCATTGACGTGGTCCGGTAGATCGGCGGTGAGATGCTATAGAATATATATATACAGATAGCTAGCCAATGAAAGACTACGTCGACATGACGTGAACACTTCGTTATTTATTGATTGACACTTGGATTGCAGAATTGCTATACCGATGTACTGTCTACTGAGTCCTCCACGAGCAATACGAACTATCCCAATGAAGATCCCCGTACTCCATCCTGTCACGGTAGCAACGGAGTCTTGATAGTGGGGTCGTCTCGACTGATAGGGGTCCTCTTCTTCTTTTCGTCCTTGAACGGTTGGAAAGTATAGATTGACTAGACATAGGACTATATATTAAATCACCTCTCAATCCGCATGAAAACCTTCGTATCTCAATAAACAAGAAGTATAACAAGTATATAGAGAGAGAAGAAGACAAGCAATACGAGAGGGATCCTCAGGCACCCACCTGCCCAACCCGGTTAGACAACCGCTCGCTTAAATTTCGTGTGTGGTTTGCGGCGGCCCAACCTCAGCGGCTCCCGCAACCCTCACAAACGGGACTTTTTCTTTCTCCAGGCAATAACAAAGAGAGCGCCCCGACGTCGACCACTTTTCGCCCTTGCTAACAGGGATTTGATCCGCCGTTTTCACCACCCCCCCCATCCCTACGAATTTTTCTCCCATAAAATCTCGGCGACAAATCGAACACGAAATCTCAACCCAGCCAACATGTCGCGTTTTTTCTACGGTGGCGGTAGCGACAGCGAGAGTAGCTCCTCCGGGGAGGAGGATGTCTATGATCATGACGAGGAGGAGAAGTCGTCTGATGAGGAGGAGTCCAGCGAGGAGGAGTCCTCGGAGGAGGGCGAGGAGTCTGATGAGGAGGAGGCCGGCAAAGGTGGAGCTGGCGCGTTCTTAAGGGATGTTTCGGAGAGTGAGGAGAGTGAGGATGAGGAGAAGGTTACGGTGGTGAAGAGTGCCAAGGATAAGCGGTTGGAGGAGCTGGAGAGTATCATCAAGTTGATTGAGAATGCTGAGAAGATTAATGATTGGGCTGTGATTTCTGGAGGTGTGTTTTCCCCTTTATATATATGTGGCTCGATCGGATGGTTGAGATATCGTGGTGGAATGTGCTAACTGGGTTGTAGAGTTCGACAAGCTCAACCGCCAAATCACCCGTGTCACTGGTCCTACTCCTCGCGTCTATGTCAAGGCTGTCGCCGATCTGGAGGATCTCGTCAACGAGACGGCCGCCAAGCAGAAGGCCTCCAACAAGAAGATGAACCAGAGCAACACCAAGGGTTTCAACGCCGTCAAGCAGCGGATCAAGAAGAACAACAAGGATTACGCCACCCAGATCGACAAGTACCGTGCCGATAAGGATGCCTACATGACCGCCGTCGAGGAGGAGGCTCGCCCTGTCGTCTCGGCTCCCCGCATCTCCAAGGTCGAGCGCGTCGAGGCCCCCGCTGCCTCCTTCGCTGACGACGATGGATTCGCGACCGTCGGCCGTGGCGGCAAGACCCTTCAGTACACCCCGGAGAGCATCCTGAAGCACCTCCGTGTCATCCTGGAGTCCCGAGGCAAGAAGAACACCGACCGTCTGGAGCAGATCCGCACCATGGAGAAGCTCCTCGAGGTCTCGCAGACCCCCTACCAGCGCATCCGTGTCTACCTGACCCTCATCTCCACCCGCTTTGACCTCACCTCTTCTTCGTCCGCCAACTACATGAGCATCGACCAGTGGAAGGCCGCCCAGGCTGAAATCGGCGCCCTGTTGGCCGTCCTCGAGAACACCAAGGATTACATCGTGACCGAGGGTGCGGAGGAGTGGGAGGATGACGAGAGGCAGCCTCAGCCTACCGCCGAGCAGCCCGTGATCATCCCTGGCAGCATCGTCTCCTACGTCGAGAGACTGGATGACGAGCTCATCCGCTCTCTGCAGCAGATCGATCCTCACACCGCCGAGTACATCGAGCGCCTGAGCGACGAGAAGCAGCTGTACACCGCCCTGGTCCGTGCCCAGGCCTACATCGAGGGCCTCAACAAGTCCGACAAGAGCGACCCCCGACAGGACAGCCTGAACCGCGTGGTCATGCGCCGACTGGAGCACGTCTACTTCAAGCCCACGCAGGTCGTCAACATCCTCGAGGACGGCGCCTGGAAGGCTCTGCCCGAGGAGCTCAAGTCCGAGATCACCCCCCAGGCCCAGACCGCCGATGCCGCCCAGCTCGTGGAGACCCTGTGCAACTACCTGTTCCGCTTCAGCGACGGTATCATCCGCGCGCGCGCCATGCTCAGCCAGATCTACTTCGCTGCCCTGCACGACCACTACTACCGCGCCCGTGATCTGATGCTCATGTCCCATCTGACGGAGAACATCTCCAACTTCGACGTCACCACGCAGATCCTGTTCAACCGCACCCTGGTCCAGATCGGTCTCTGCGCCTTCCGCGCGGGCCTGGTCTACGAGGCCCAGAACACCCTCGGCGAGGTCTGCGGCAGCGGCCGCCAGAAGGAGCTGCTCGCCCAGGGCATCATCCTCCAGCGCTACTCGACCGTGTCGCCCGAGCAGGAGCGCCTTGAGCGCCAGCGCCAGCTGCCCTTCCACATGCACATCAACCTCGAGCTGCTGGAGTGCATCTACCTCACCTCGAGCATGTTCATGGAGGTGCCGCTGATGGCCCAGACCTCGTCGGCCCCCGAGATGAAGCGCCGCATCATCTCCAAGACCTTCCGCCGCATGCTCGACTACAACGAGCGCCAGGTGTTCACGGGCCCCGCCGAGAACACCCGCGACGGCGTCATCATGAGCGCCAAGCTCCTGGCCGCCGGTGACTGGAAGAAGGCCGCCGAGATGCTCAACTCCATCAAGATCTGGGATCTGATGCCGCAGCCCGAGAAGGTCAAGGAGATGCTGACCCAGCAGATCCAGGAGGAGGGCCTCCGCACGTACCTCTTCACCTACGCCCCCTTCTACGACAGCGTCTCCCTCCCCACCCTCTCCAGCATGTTCGAACTCCCCGAGAAGAAGATCCAGGCCATCATCAGCCGGATGATCTCGCACGAAGAGCTGTCCGCCGCCCTGGACCAGGTCAACGATGCCATCATCTTCCGCAAGGGCGTCGAGCTGTCGCGCCTGCAGTCCCAGATCGTCACCCTGGCCGACAAGTCGATGAACCTCCTGGAATCCAACGAGAAGACGCTCGAGCAGCGCACGCAAGGCATGACCAACGCGTTCCAGCGCGACCAGGGCGCCGGCGCCCGAGGCCGTGGTGGGCGCGGCGGCGGCCGCGGTGGTGCTCGCATTCCTGGTGGCCAGCATGGCCGTCGACCGGGTGGACAGCAATTCGGAGGTGGTGCATTGGGTGGAGCGATCAAGGCGTAAAAAAAAGTGTAATCGCATTGCATTTCTCCTTTCTTCTAACATCAGTTTTCCCATTTCCTCTTTCTTCACTCTGTCATGGTTATAATGGTTTTCCTTTACTCTCTTCTAACTTTTTTTTTTTTTTACCAATTTTTTTCTGGAATCCAACTGCGTATGATCCCATGTGTATTTGCTCTTGTCCTTTTTTGTTTAGGTGCTTTGTTCACTGGCGGAGGACTATCGTCCATTCTTCGTCTTTTCTCTTTTCTTTCTTTCTTCTTTCAATGTTTTCTTTTCATCATTTGTGTCCTTCCCGAATGTCTTTATCACAGACTACAGATGAATCTTATGTTTGGAATGAATGAGTGAAATGAAGATTGCTGAGATGGGAGATGACCCAGCCAGTGCGTATTGTATACAGAGCTGGCTGGCTTGGGATGGTTTAGTATAGTAGGAGTGGGTATCAATAGAGTGCAGTTTTTCCAGTTCTTTCTCTTGAGCTTAGCACCGTATTCCGCCTCTTTTATACATCGAAAACTTGAAGTGTTGCTGGGCTTTGAGCAGCACATGTTGAGAAGTAACATCTCCCCCACCCCGATGCTGGCTCGGCGCTTGCTTGTTCTGTAGCGCGTTGGCTCGACAGAATAAGGCGCGGCCTGTCTCCGCAGGCCTTGAATGCTTCCGCACCTACCGATAGGCCTCAGAGGACCGTAGGAATATATATATATATAGCAGGCAGGAAAACCCCACAATCCAGAATACAAACCGGGTCGAGATCAGACAGACATCTAAGTCCACAAGCCAACAGAGCCTCAACCCATATCACCCAATAGATTCTGAGGCGACCAGTACTCATTCTCCTCGCCCTGCGCATCCAGCCAGACGAGTCCATCCGCCAACAGATCATCGATGACAGTCTGCGCGCGCGCCTTCTCCCACTTCAGGTTCAGCTGCAGCATGGAGATGCTCACGTAGCCGAGGACTTGAATCGCTTCGAGAACGGTCGCCTGGTCGGTGTTGAGCTCTTTCGGGACCGACCGGATGTATTGCTTGTTTCCTACGGTTATGATGGTGAAGCCGGAGCCGAGGGGCTCGAGGGATTTGACGGCGCGGAGGACGTCGTCGCTGTGTTATGACTTCGTTAGCTGTGCCGTTCTCTCCTACCCCCCTCTCAAGAAGAGAAAAAGAGAAAGAAACATACTCAGTAACCTCCAACCCACTCCCAATCGCCCTCCCCTTCCCCACCCTCTTCCGACACTCCTCCACCCCAATCAACCCCCCGTTCTCACTCCTCGTCCCCAAACACAACTCCACAACCCGCACCGCAACCTCGAAATAGAAATCGTTCATATCGCCGCCCATAATCTGCGTCCAGAAGCTGGCGCTCTCGCCGAGGCCCTTCCGCGCGCTCTTGCCCTTGACGTTGCTGGCCGCCAGCGGGTCAACTCCGATGGTGTTGCACATGCGCGCGAACTCGGCACGGAAGGTCGGGTTGGATTTTATGGTGGAGCTGTGCTCGAGTGCGAAGGTGTGCAGGAGGGATTGGAAGACGGAGAGCTGCGTTTGGAGCGAGGAGAGGTGCGTTGAGCGCAGGTTGGCGCCGTGGTTGGCGTAGGATTGGCTGGTTTGGGTGCGGTTGGCGAAGGCGCCGAGGCCGACGCCGCGGCGGGAGGACATCTTGTGTATTATTTATTGTATTTCGGGGTTTATCAGATGTGTGTTGAGAGAAGAGAGAAGAAGATAGATAGGTGCATGGTTGGGCTGGACTATGATGCCATGCGGGCAGATGGATACCTCAGGCGGTAAGGCAGGAAGTTGATATCAGGTGACTGGAAATACCCTAACCAGAAGAAGTCCCAAAATGGCAAGCGTGTCTTGGCGGTGCGCTAGCCCAACCCGGTTAGACCCATCAAGCCCACAAACCACCAAAACTCTTCGCAACTTCTTCTTCTCTTTCTTCCACACGACAGTCTTCGCCAACCGCCCAACTCACGAACTCCTCAGGACCGTCGCAATGGCCGCTACCGCTACGTATGATCCCTTTTGACTACCCTTGCGACTGATTCGCAGTTGAGCCTGTAAGGTTCAGGTTATAGTCGTCCTTCTCGCTGGAGATGCTGCGGTCGAAAATTTGAAAAAGTTTTCGACCGCTGGGCACCAGCTCGATCTTTCCCGCGATCATTCCCTCGCGCCCAGACGGTCGCATCTATCCTTGAATAGAAGCATTGACTGGAGAGGAGGCTTGGTCTGGGGTCTTGAGGTTGAAGGCCTTCGTTGCCTTCGCCTTGAAAAACATTGTTGAGAGCTATCGCTTCCCTCGCTTTGGCTCGGATCTCCTGATCGAACGAAGCTGGGCGAATACAGGGAAGCGACTGGCGTCAACAGTATTTCCCGAACGTTTTAGTTTGGGGTCTTGTCGGATGAGAAATGTGTTACAATGTCGCTGCCACTCTAGAGCCAATGAACACCTCACTCACTGAAATATTTGTGTTGGGGCTAGTAGGGACTCGGGTGGTCGTTGAACATCAGACAATAAAACCATCTCACCGACTAAATACATACCGTCGAGTGCTTTTTCGTATATGCCTTCAGTTGAGAATGTGGCGCTATAAGCTGCAATTCTTACACTCGGCGAAATTGCATTTGTGTGATTTCTACGGACAGACTATACTGACCTTCACAGCACCGTCCCCACCCAGAACCAGGTGCTGGTCCCTGAGACCCTCCTGAAGAAGCGCAAGAGCCAGGAGCAGGCTCGCGCTGTCGCCCGTGAGGACGCCCTGAAGAAGAAGGAGGTAAGATCATCTTTGCTTTTTTTTTTTTTTTTTTTCTTTCTTTTCTTTCTGTTTTATTCCACAATCAACGGTGATGATAGCAACCATCTTGCGACTAGACCTACCAATCGATGCTGTCGCTTTGTTAACCATCTTTCGGGGCTGAGTTGATGCTCTTGAGAATTTTATTTTTTCTCCATGCAATTGATTGAATTTTCACTGACAAATTCAACCTTAGGCCAACAAGGAGAAGCGCACCACCATCTTCAAGCGTGCCGAGTCCTACGTCCAGGAGTACCGCAGCGCTGAGCGTGAGAAGCTCCGCCTGGCCCGCGTCGCTCGCCAGGAGGGCAACCTCTACGTTGCTGAGGAGCCCAAGCTGGTCTTCGTTATCCGTATCAAGGGGTATGTTAAGTTCCCACCCTAATGCAGACCTCGTCACTAAACTATTATATAGTATCAACAAGATCGCTCCCCAGCCCCGTAAGATCCTGCAGCTGCTCCGTCTGCTCCAGATCAACAACGGTACCTTCGTGCGCCTCACCAAGGCCACCCAGGAGATGCTCACCATCGTCAACCCCTACATTGCCTACGGTTACCCCAACCTGAAGAGCATCCGTGAGCTCGTCTACAAGCGCGGTTACGGCAAGATCAACAAGCAGCGTGTTCCCCTCACCGACAACCAGATCATCGAGGAGCACCTCGGCAAGTACGGCATCGTCTGTATGGAGGATCTGATCCACGAGCTGTACACCGTTGGCCCCAACTTCAAGCAGGTCAACAACTTCCTGTGGCCCTTCAAGCTGTCCAACCCCAACGGCGGCTTCAAGACCCGCAAGTTCAACCACTTCATCCAGGGTGGTGACTTCGGTAACCGTGAGGACAACATCAACGCCCTCATCCGCCAGATGAACTAAGTTCGTTCTGTGTGGGCGGTTTGTTCCTGTTCGTGACGGATGAATGGGCTGTTTGCGGCATTTAGCGGTATAATGGTCTGATTCCAGATGAATTAAAAGTTTAACGACGATCTTATGTACCTGTAATATGATATACCCCTTTTCAAGTAGTCTTCCTTACCGGCTTTAGTCAGCGTCTATCCTCAACTTGTCACCATAACTCGTATATACATTGCTTGAATGAAGGTCTAACATGGATCTATCTATCTATCGTATTTTTCGTCTGCGATTATCGGTGAACCTTAAATCCGAATCACATCCTGCACCCGCCGATCCTTATCAACAACCAACCGCAACTGTCTCCCCTCCCAGCCTGTCGCAGGCGCCCCCGCCGTCGTCGAATGAGGGATAGGCTTGAAAGCTCCCTGACGAAGGGTTTCGGTAAACAGTTCGTACGAAGGGTAATCTTTTTATTTTAGTCAGTTTCAGATGGGAGTAGTATATAGGAGAAAAAGAAAGGAAAGGGAAGAAGAAACGAAGAGATGGAAAACATACAGCCGTCCACAAAATGGGTGACTTGCTCGGGTGTCATGCCGGTGCCTTTCGTGGCTCGAAGACCGAGCTCTTGCTGTTGGCGCCAGTCGTAAACGAAGTGAAGGTCTTGGGCGTCTCTGTTGTAATCGTTAGAGATTGATCTCAGTCTGATGAAGAAAGGGGGGGAGGGACAATCGTACATGTGGATTAGAGCGTCGAGTTGGCTGTTTGGTGGGTAGATATGTTGTTAGCTTCCTTGACACTGAGGACATACCAAGGTATATCTTCAACAAGAAAATAAAAAGGGAAAGGGAAAAGGAAAAACTCACTCCGTAATAACATCATACCCCCTCAACGCCTCGTCCACAGCTCTAACATCCTCAAACGCAACGGCTCCTAACCGCCCATTATACGTACTCCCCTCACTCTCCCTCGCCGTGACCGCGTCCTGCCACTTCTGACGCAAGACGAGCTCATCCCAAGCACGGAACCCCACACACCACCCCTCAAAGATGACAACCTTCACCTGGGGTTCGCCCTCGCCATTGACCGTCGTCCAGCGCGCCTCAGGGACGCGATCGCCCTGCCCCGCAAAGGCAGACTTGTCATACTGCGGGATGGCGGTGGGGGCGCCGGCGCGGAGGGAAGCGAAGACGGAGCGCGCGAGCGGCAGATCGTGCGTGCCGGGTTGACCTCTGTGTTGAAGGAGGGGGTTGGAGGGGTTTTCCTGTGCGAGGCGCTGCTGGGCGGCGTGGGGGAGGTAGAGATCGTCGAGGGAGAGGGTTACTACTGCGAGGGAGTAGGGTGGGGAGCGGAGGATGGAGTTGAGGGTTGAGACCTTTTATTTACAATGATTGATTAGTTGTTTGAATTGTTCTGTTTGGGAAAGGAAGACATACGAGGACGGTCTTGCCGGCGCCTTGGACGCCGTTGAGGCCGAGGAAGAAGGGCGGGGTGGAAGCGGGGTCGTGGTTGAAGCGGGCTTGGTGGGCTTTGAGACGCTCGAGGAGGAAGGGGATGCAGTGTTGGGATTTGTCGTCGATGATTTCAGGCATTTTGGGTGGTTCTCTTTTGTAACGTGTGTGGTGTTGTGTTGGATTGTTGTGGGGAGAAGTTGGAGAGGTGGTGATGTGGAGTGGTGGCCTGGATGGCCAGGTTGGATATATCGGCTATCGGAGATGCGCCGAGTTGTCTTTCCTTTTGGCCTCAACCACCACCACAGGATGGCTCAAGGAATGGAAATACTTGACCAAGCTACGCACAATATTCTAGATATCGAGATCTAGAGTATATAGTTGTACGAAGATCGTCACATTCTGATCGATCCGCTTGGAGTCCCCTACTAACGGTTGGTAGGGGGCGAAATGTACCTGTCAACATCACGCAATGAGTTCACACTCAATGGAACCAATTGCAAATCTACAGCTCGAGATAGATAGCTTATCGGATAAAAAAAAGATAACTCTGACACCCACCGCCGACGAAGACAGCAGCCAACCTGCACCACCTCATCCTCCGCAGCATCCTCGACCGACAGGCTGTCAGTCTCTCCAAGCTCGGGACACAAGAACCTCCGCATTCTCTACGGTTTATACTCCGCACACGGCATCCCGCCCGGGTCCAGACGGATGTACGTGCACGGAGCCACTCTTGGGGGAGGCCGTGATCAGTGATCAGTGATCACACACGTTTGACCGACTGTAGCCCTCCAGCATGACGTCCCTCTGGGTGTCTAGTGTCCAGTGTCCACTGTCGGGGCGGCATCTCGTCGGCAAGGGATGCCACGGCTCTGGCCCGCGCGTCCTCGCTAGCTCTTGGCCTTGGCCGAGGTGACAATGCGGGGAGGTGACTAGCTAGTAGCTACCGCGGAGATCGCCGAGTGGAAAGGAGGTTCTCAATGATATACAGTATATAATGTTCCATGTGGATGGAATCCACTAGAGTCTAACGTCTACGCACTTGGGGATATGGACATTGGCAACTACGATCTCTACTGACATGGTGTCAATGTGGGGACGGCCTGAGGTATCCAGACACCATCCCGTGGCCTGAGGTGTCAATAGATGGCAGCCAATCGGAAGGCAGAGAATACCGGCGGGGAAGCGAGCACGTGAGATGACGCAGACCGAATCACATGCCTGAGTCAGCACGGGGTGCCCGATGGGGTTTAGCGGGAGAGAACTCGGTGGAAGGGATCATATAGAGTAGAATAGAAAATACAGAGAAAACAAAGTAAATAAATAGATATATGGATATATAATTAGCAAATATATATAGCAATGAAAGATATAGAGAATAGTCCAACAGAGGAGGGAAGTCGAGTATCGGCATGTGAAGTGGCATCATCTGCCAGAGGATCCGGAGATTGATTGGCCTGAGGAAGCAGCCAAAGATGCCGAGGTTCGCTGGCTGGGGGCAGCCTCAGGTTGCCGAGCAGGGTGACCGGTCATTGTTGACTTCATTTCTTCCCCCGGATCGCTTCACTTTCTCCTCTTTCTCTTCTAATCATCCCCCTCTCTTTCCCCTGGTTTTTTAATCTCGTGGAACTAGTTCCCTCGGCTCCGATTTGTTCCTCTCCATATTTTATTTACTCTCCTCCCGCCCTCTCTCCTGCTTTCTCCTTCTTCTCTCCTCCCGTTCTTTTTTTCTCTCCTTTCCCTCCATTCATCCATCCATTTCTTCACACAATGTCTGAGCTGCGCTTTGACAACCAGACCGTCGTCGTAACAGGCGCCGGTGGTGGCCTCGGTAAGGCCTATGCCCTCTTCTTTGCCTCGCGGGGCGCCAACGTCGTCGTGAACGACCTCGGTGGCTCGCACGCCGGTGAGGGTACCTCCTCCAAGGTACGTCGATTCTTTCTCTCTCTCTGTCTCTCGCTCTCTATCCTTTATCAACCGTCGGGGAAAAAAAAATGTTCAATTCTGATTCATCCGTGACAGGCGGCCGATGTCGTGGTCGAGGAGATCAAGGCTGCCGGCGGCAAGGCCGCGGCCAACTACGACAGCGTCGAGAACGGTGATGCCATCATCGAGACCGCCATCAAGAACTTTGGCCGCGTCGATATCCTCATCAACAACGCCGGTATCCTCCGGGATGTCAGCTTCAAGAACATGAAGGATCAGGACTGGGACCTGATCAACCGTGTCCACACCTATGGTGCCTACAAGTGTGCTCGCGCCGCTTGGCCCCACTTCCGGAAGCAGAAGTACGGCCGTGTCATCAACACCGCCTCGGCTGCCGGTCTGTTCGGCAGCTTCGGCCAGGCCAACTACTCTGGTATGTGATTCACTTCTGTCTTATCTTGTTTCTTGGGATCTCCCAGCTGACGACAGTAGCCGCCAAACTCGGCCAGGTCGGTTTCACCGAGACCCTCGCCAAGGAGGGTGCCAAGTACAACATCCTCGCCAACGTCATTGCGCCCATCGGTATGTGCTGACCCATCCCGGGACTCCTTGCATCTCCCAATCTGACCCCGAGAATAGCCGCGAGCCGGATGACCGCCACGGTCATGCCCCCCGATGTCCTCGAGAACCTCAAGCCCGACTGGATCGTGCCCCTGGTGGCCGCCCTGGTGCACCCCACCAACACCACCAACTCCGGTGGCATCTACGAGGTCGGCGGTGGCCACATGGCCAAGATCCGCTGGGAGCGCGCCAAGGGTGCCCTCCTCAAGACCGACGCCTCCCTCACCCCCGGCGCCATCGCCCGCAAGTGGAACGATGTCAACGACTACTCCAAGCCCGACTACCCCACCGGCCCCGCCGATTTCATGACCTTCCTCGAGGATGGCCTGAAGACCCCCTCCGCCCCCGCCGGTGAGGAGCCCAACTACCAGGGCAAGGTCGCCCTCGTCACCGGTGGTGGCGCCGGTCTCGGCCGCACCTACTGTCTGCTGTTCGCCAAGTACGGCGCCGCCGTCGTCGTCAACGACCTCGTCGACCCCGAGCCCGTCGTCCAGGAGATCCGCAAGATGGGCGGCAAGGCCGTCGGCAACAAGGCCTCGTGCGAGGACGGTGAGGGCGTCATCAAGTCCGCCATCGACGCCTTTGGCCGCATCGACATCCTGGTCAACAACGCCGGTATCCTGCGCGACAAGGCCTTCAACAACATGTCCGACGACCTCTGGAACCCCGTCGTCAACGTCCACCTGCGTGGCACCTACAAGGTCACCAAGGCCGCCTGGCCCTACATGCTGAAGCAGAAGTACGGCCGTATCGTCAACACCGCCAGCACCAGCGGTATCTACGGCAACTTTGGCCAGGCCAACTACGCCGCCGCGGTATGTTCATCCATAATCTCCACCCGGATGGGGTCTCATGCTAATGAAATCGTAGAAACTCGGTATCCTCGGTTTCTCCCGCACGCTCGCCATGGAGGGTGCCAAGTATAACATCAAGGTCAACACCATCGCCCCCAACGCCGGCACCAACATGACCCGCACCATCATGCCCGAGGAGATGGTCCAGGCCTTCAAGCCCGACTACGTCGCTCCCCTGGTCGGCCTCCTCTGCTCCGACATCGTCCCCGAGCCCTCCACCAAGGGCCTGTTCGAGTGCGGCAGCGGCTGGTTCGCCCGGACCCGCTGGCAGCGCGCCGGCGGCCACGGCTTCCCCGTGGACGTCCAGCTGACCCCCGAGGAGGTTGTCAAGCACTGGAACCAGATTACCAACTTCGACGACGGCCGTGCCGACCACCCCGAGGACGGCCAGGCGGGCACCGAGAAGATCATGGCCAACATGAGCAACCGCGCCGGCGGTGACGCCAGCGAGGGCAACGACATCCTGGCCAACATCGAGCAGGCCAAGCAGGCCTCCAGCGAGGGCACTCCCTTCGACTACGTCGACCGCGACATCATCCTGTACAACCTCAGCCTGGGTGCCAAGCGCACCGACCTGCCCCTGGTGTACGAGAACAACGAGAACTTCCAGGCCCTCCCCACCTACGGTGTGATCCCCTGGTTCAACACCGCCACCCCCTGGAACATGGGCGACATCGTCAAGGACTTCTCCCCCATGATGCTGCTGCACGGTGAGCAGTACATGGAGGTCCGCAAGTTCCCCATCCCCACCGAGGCCCGCACCAAGACCTACCCCAAGCTCATCGACGTCGTCGACAAGGGCAACGCCGCCCTGGTCGTTGCCGGCTACACCACCAAGGATGTCGCCACCGGTGAGGACCTCTTCTACAACGAGTCCACCGTCTTCATCCGCGGCAGCGGTGGCTTCGGCGGCTCGTCCAAGCCCACTGCCCAGCGCCCCAAGGGTGCCACCGCCTCCTACAAGGCCCCCGCGCGCCAGCCCGACGCTGTCGTCCAGGAGAAGACCTCCGAGGACCAGGCCGCCCTCTACCGTCTCAACGGTGACCGCAACCCGCTGCACATCGACCCCGACTTCAGCAAGGTCGGTGGCTTCAAGACCCCCATCCTGCACGGCCTGTGCTCGCTGGGTGTCGCCGGCAAGCACGTCTTCTCCAAGTTCGGTGCCTTCAAGAACCTGAAGGTCCGCTTCTCTGGCGTCGTGCTGCCCGGCCAGACCCTCAAGACCGAGATGTGGAAGGAGGGCAACACGGTGCTCTTCCAGGCCACCGTCGTCGAGACCGGCAAGCCCGCCATCACCGGCGCCGGTGTGGAGCTGCTGGAGGGTGCCAAGGCCAAGTTGTAAATTAGTCGGACGGGGTTGTATGAAAAAAAAAAAACATGGGTTGACCGGTGGGGGACGGAGTCCCCGGAACGGCATCTGATTCCGGACCCAAATTGTGTATATAAATATTGACGACTGCGGTGTCTTTGCTTATTTTTTATATCTATTTCATTTTTTCTTGTGACTCGAGCCAATCTGAACTTGTTTCCTTGCTGTTTCATACTGCCGTCACGTGGAGATTGTAGATTACCTAAGCCATCGGAGGTCACGTCAATCAGACCGACATGTGACGCTTTCGTCTGTTTCTCTTCCACTTCACCGTCATTCCTCTTCGACTTCATCCGTCGAGTGTGTCTAGCCCTGTATCTCTCAATGCCCCCATGACCAACGCGCTGGTCTAGACCTCGGATTTCTTTCCTCCCCACCGATCATGTAGGAGACAGGCCCTGACTGGAACGATGGTGCTGTCGCTCTTCCCTGTCCCCAGCTTCACCCGCCCCCCTTCGGCGTCTGCCTCGCTTCGCACCGGCCAGGCCCCTCCCTCCTCCACCCTGAGTATAGCCCTCCGCAACAATCCCTTTGGCCTCCCCGCCCGATCGCGCACCACGTCGGCCCCGTCCGCTCCCGGGCCGGACGATCTGGCCCAGGAGCAGGCGGAACTCAACCATGCCCTGGAAGCGCTGGCGCGCATGTTCCCGGACGTCAAGGTCGAGGTATTCCGCGACCTGCTCGTCCGGTTCGACGGACAGAGTCGGCTGCAAGTGTGCGTGGAGCAACTGCTGCGTCACAAGGAAGAATGGGTCGCCGGGCGCTGGAACGTGCCGGCGGGGTCCGGCGACGTGGCCGGTTCTACGGACGAGCACGCTGTGCCGCCCGATGAGCGTTTCCGCGACGGTGTTTACAAGGCCGCGGTGCGCACGGCGCTCACAAAGGAGTTCGGGAGCCTGAGTCGCAGCGCGGTGGACGCCGTCCTGGCGGAGGCGAACTTCTGCTACGGACGTGCCCGTCCAACGCTCCAGGATCTGTCGCGGAAGACGTGGCGGGCCACGTTCCACAGCATTCTCCCATCGTTTCGGCGCAAGCGTGACCGGGATGACCACCCGCTGCTTGCGTGGCAGCGCCACGAGAACGGGGAGCTGGTGCCCCGGCTGAAGGAGACCGGCTGCGTGGAGCTGGACCAGGAGTTGCACGATGCGGTCCTGGCGCCTCTCCTGGGTACGCAGCGGGAGGCACGGGAGGCCCAGGACTGGCAGCTGGCTGGAGAGCTCAATGAGGTGGAGGCGCGCGAGGCCGACGCCCTCTATGAGTGTGAGTGCTGCCTGGCGGATGTGACCTTTGAGCAGATCGGGGCGTGCTCCGACCACACGCACATCATTTGCTACGGGTGCATCCAACGCACCCTTCACGAGGCGCTCTTCGGCCAGGGGTGGTCCAAGTCGGTCGACCCGGAGAGGTCAACCCTGAAGTGCCTGGCGCCCACCGCCCGCGACAGCTGTCCAGGGACCTTGAATGCAGACGTCGTCAAACGCGCTGTGCTGATGGGCAAGGGGGGCATCGAGACGTACTGCAAGTTCGAGACGCGCCTGGCTTCAGACGCCCTGCTCCAGTCCCAGCTGAAACTCATCCACTGCCCATTCTGCCCCTACGCCGAGGTGGACCCGGCGTACCACCCGCGCGCCCACGGGATCCGATGGCGGTTCCGACGCGAGGGGTTTCTCTCCACGACGGCGATGATCATCTTCCTCCTCGACCTGATCCCCTTGCTGATCATCCCGGCGATCATCCTCTACATCCTGGACCCGTCCGCCCTGTCAGCCGTATTCCGCAACTCCCTGCTCAATCTGTGCCTGCAGGTGCGGCCCAAGCGCTTCCGATGCAGGAACCCGGCCTGCCAGCGCGTGAGCTGCGTCACCTGTCAGAAGTCGTGGCGCGACCCGCACGTCTGCCACGAGCCGCTGCTCCTAGACCTGCGGGCCACGGTAGAAGCCGCCCGGACCGCCGCGGTCAAACGCACCTGCCCCCGCTGCGGCCTCTCCTTCGTCAAGTCCTCAGGCTGCAACAAACTGACCTGCATCTGCGGATATTCCATGTGCTACCTATGCCGACGAGCGCTCGGCCCACCCCTCAACCCGCCCCTCCGCCGACGCCCTCGCCGCCGCCCCCGACGACCCCACAACGAAAACGTCGACCCACACAACCTCAACAACCTCGATGATCCCTCCTCCTCCGACAACGACAACGAACAAGACGACCCCCCAGAAGGCTACTCCCACTACTGCGAACACTTCCGCATCAACCCGGGCGCGCGCTGCATGGAATGCACCAAATGCGAGCTCTACCAAGAAGAAGACGAAGAGGCCGTCGCGCGACGGGCAGGCGAGCGCGCCGAGCGCGAGTGGCGTCTGCGCCAGGGCATGGCGGGCGTGGGCGTGGGATCCACGCTGCTGCACGTCAACCGGGACTTTTCGGCGCGGCATGACGGCCGGGGGTCTCGCGGGGGGCGCTGGCGAGGGGGAAGGATTGGATGTATTGGGTTGATGAGGTTTGGAGGGGTGGGCAGTGGAGGATGGAGGGGCAGGCGTTTGTGGATTGGGTTGTTGAACGGGTGGTTGTTGTTGAGGTTTGATTTTTTGATTTGATTTGGGGTTGTTTATGTACTGCCTATCTAGCTGTCTACCTATTGCCGACCTAGCTGATTATCTGTCTGTCTGTAACTCTAGGATCTATGAAATTATTCCAAAAAAGGAGCTGTACTAGTCGAATGACAAGACTCACTCTGAGCATTCGTAAATCCCCTCAAGAAGCTGGCTGTCGGAGGCGGGCCAGCTTAAAGCATGCAAACAGACTTCGCCTTCTGACATCATTGTTTTCGCGATTACCGTGTATCGCTGAACCTCAACCGGGCCGAAGCCATCCAACTTTCTTCGACGCCCTGATCCAAATGGGAAGATTTTTTGTGACGCTAGGGCGCGAAGCTTGCGGCTTTTAAACGATAACAGTAGCAAAGCTACATCAGGCGCATCAAAGCCCTCGAAGCAAGCTCTAGCCATCTCAAGTGCTCTTTGTATGTCGAGCTGGGTAGTTGTATGCTCAACGCTCCACTGTGAACGAAGAGACTTGACACGATTTGTCCATAAACCCATCGCACTAGGGTCCGCAAATTCAGGGTAAAGGTCATGTAAGCCCGCTCCGATGAGCTGTGCTAAGGACACCACGCTTGATCGCCCAGCGTGATGCAAAACTCCCTGAGACAGATACTCGCCATTGTCGTAATCTGCGTGATCGAGGCGAAATCTAAAAAAGCGGCGTGTCTCTTCGTCAAGATTTGGAGCGTCACGACACGCCCGAAGTAACGACTTGTCCCGAGCGAACTGCCCACGAGGAAACTTCCTCGTGTCGATCATGCATATTTCAACTTCGGTGGGGTCCCGATGGAGTGAATGGCATCTCCAGATCGCATATTGGATCACAAATAGTAAAGAGCTACTCCATGACATGAGGTTGTCAGCAACATCGTGCCCTCCAAAACACGTTTTCGTCAAATGACCATGTAGCATCTCTGCGATTTCATTTTTCGTCCGTAAGAGGAGATCGACTCTGCTGCGCTGTGACGTCGTGGCAAGACTCTGCGCAGAAGCCACGACACGGTGGTCACTCCTGCCCGAGCTTTCGCTGTCGAACGTTCTAAACAGGTATCGCGGAACATCTGCAAGGCGGCAAGAAGGTCTATAGAACAGTGTGGGTCCACCAGGGCATTTACCTAGCGCCCGAACCCAGAGCCGGATCCATTCTTCCCCTTGCTGTTGCTTCTCCTCGGCCCTGCGCTCGTACCGCGCACGAAACGCCGCGGCATCGACATCGTCGACGTCGAGTCGATTTTCATGCTCGTAGTAGTCGTCGCTCTCAGAATCAGGGTCGTAAGGCCATGCAAGATAGGCTTCGCCCAGGGTAACAAAGTAGTTGTCTGAGTGTAGGACTCCAGAGGTGTCCACAGCTTGAGCATAGCACATCTCGAGCGCCTCCCGCAGAACGTCGCCGCCATCGCTGGTGCTATCTAGCGCCTCGCGAACGATGCTCATTATGTCGTCGATAAAGTGCGATAGCAATTTCCGCACCCGTGTCCCTGGACCAGCAAGCGATAGAATATAAGCTAGGATGTAGTGTTCGGTTGCATCGCTGAATGCCTTTGCGGCGCTTTCAAGAGCGGTGGCTCTTCTTCTTAGGGAGACTAGTCTGTTCACAGTGCCCTGGCTGGGAGGAGTATGTGTGCTTTCCATCACATTCTCGACATGTGCTGCGTGTGGTGATGTAGCTTCGCAAGATTGGATCAGCGTTCGAAGTGCCTCCGCGAGAGGTTGGTGAGTTGGGTTCGAGAAGTTGGAGCCTGATGCGGTCGGTTTAGTTGCCCCACCATCGAGGCACAAGCCTCCGACTGAATCGACAAGACTGGTAAACTGGTCCGCCATGGTTTTTGGCACGAAGAGCGGTCTCAACAGACGTTGACGAAATTGGAAGCGGCAGTGGTAGTGGTCCAAAGTGAGTCCACTTTTGCATTCAACAGGAGGGGAGGGGATGTGTGGAACCACGCGATGAAAGCACGTCAGAGAGAGCGAGATCAATGCTACTCAGTCCTAGAAGCTTGCAGATTGTTGCAGACTAGCGTGTGGAAGAGGACCCTGCAGGTCAGCTGACGGTTTAGCCGATTGCAGTCGCTGCTTTCTTGACGAGATGGAGTTGAAGATGGAGTCGTAAGAGAGAGAGAGAGAGAGAGAGAGAGAGAGAGAACGAGAGGTGTGAAAGAGAAGAAAGAATAGGGGATAAAGAAGAAGAGAACAAGATGGTAAATATAAGAATTCAAGAGTTGCCTAACTTTCATAGAGGTTTATGTATCTAGCAACCCAGTACAATCATACCTTGATATAATTAAAGAATAACAGGGTGAAACAAAAGCAACCTTTTTATAGCCAGTATATATAGATATGTACGTAAAGCCTCATCCTTCTAGATGTGAATCATAACCACTGGCTATCCAACTTAAATATTTATAGGGTCTGAAATACTCCCCAGTTGTAGAGGTTCAAGTACTGTATCAGGTAGGCAGGTCGTATATAACACGAGAGCAGTGTCACAGTGGTATCAAACCTGACATCCTTTATTGGATCCCTTCACCACCTAGATAGATAGTGACGAACAAGTCCATTGATTAGCCAACCAGCTCAGAAACACCAAGTACCTTCCCAGTAACCATCTGCAAACAAAAGACCTATCCCACAAAGATCAAGCATAAAGAAGGAAATAACGACAAGAAAAGAGAACGAAAGAAACTTACGCAAATGGCTCCGTATGCAAATACACCTCCCCAACACCACTATCTCCCCTTAATATTCGCGTCTGCGCATCAGCCGCCGCATCCCGCACATCGTGCACCATCGACGCCGGGCCGCACACGAAGACGCCCACTTTTCTTTTCCCGCTGCTACCGCTAGTGGTGTGGTCTGTTTTGGGTGCGTCGATGGCGGAGGACTCGTCGGATAGGATTCCTTTCAGGGTAGGCCGGCCGTATATTAGGGTGGTTGTCATGTGTGGTAGGTCGTCATCGTCATCATCATCGTCTTGCTGGGTAAGGCTGGGGCTGGTGTTGGGGGTTGTCGGTTCGAGCGTGTTGGTATCTTTCTGTGGGGTGTTACCGGGTTCTTTGTCTTGAGTGGCAGTGGTAGGGTTCTCGTCTGGATCGAGAATGAGGTGCTTGTCGCTTCCTGCTTTGAGCTCGACTTGGCTGTCGGCCGTAATGTGGATCGAGATGGTAAGGTGTTTGCCGGACATATCAGCCGTATGGGAGACGACACGCTGCGCGATTTCCTGCCTGTACCAGGTTGCCATTTCGCGGGACCGCGTCGCTAGAATGACGTGGATGTGCTGGTTATGGTGATGGCTGGGGTCCCCAGTGTGCGGGCCTGTGCCCGCGCGCAAGGCTTCTTCCACCACACCGAGGGAGAAACCCCCGCCAGAGCCACCAGCGATAACGAGGATATTATCGAAGTGGTTCATTGCACCAGCATGGAAGATACCGCCGTAAGGCCCTTCAAGCAAAACGGTAGAGGACGAGTTGGGGTTCGTAGCGGCGAGACGGGCCATGCGGCCGGTGATGCCGCGGCGGGGTTTGATGTAGAAGATGATCTCCGGAGAGTGGCCGAGCTTTTCGGCGGTGTGGGAGAGCGTGCAGATCGTGAAGGGGTGGGCTGTTAGGCAGTGTAGCCCGAGACGGGGGTTCAGGAAGCGGATGAAGATGTGTTGACCTGGGTGCCAGGACATGGTTGTTGTGGGGATGCGCACGCGGATGAGTCCGCAGCGGAGGAGCTCCATGTGGGCTGCATGGCGTCCGTTTGTGAAGTGTGTTTTTGCGAGGGATGCGCACTGACTGGTGAGGTAGATTGCGCCGGCTGCGATGAAGTAGTCCCTGGATTGGTGAGTGGCGTGTCCGAGTATGGTTGGTTTTGGCTTACCATGATGATAGGCGGAAATCGCAGTGGAAGAAGAAGAATACAACGAAGAGAATGGCGGCCAGAAAATGGGTGGCTTTGAAGAATTCGTAGTAGCGATTTCTAGAGCGCTCGTCAGAACCCCGATTGCAAAAACGCGCGTCGGATCTTACCGAATGGCCGGAATCGACATGAAGGTCAGATACGCCTGGGGAATGATGGCCGCCACGCCCGTCCAGTAGACAATGTCCGTGTCCCATTTCTTGACCATATCCCCTTTATCAATGTGGTAAATGATGTAAGGGAAGGTGTGCACCAGGGCGAGGACAAACATGGCGTAGCTGGTCCAGTGGTGGAAGACTTGGAGTTTCTCATGAGACACTCCAGTCAATGCCGAGATGAGGTTGGCTTTGGTGCCCAGGGCTCTGCGAGAGTTAGCCGTAGTTGAATGAGTCCACCCTGCGAAGACACATACAATACAAAAGGCAGCAACCCTAAAGCCATCCATCCAGTCCGCGTTGCTATCGGCGGACTGGAGCCGTAGGAGCCTGACTCGAGCTTGGGCCAGTAGTAGGGTTGCGGGCCCAGTGTCATCGCTGCGCTCGCGTCAGTCAACTGTGTGTGTGTGTGTGTGTGTGTGTGTGTGTGTGTGACAGCGTGGAAGATGGAACAAACCAAAGAAGAACGCGACCCCCACAATACCCAATAGCAATACCCCCAGCGACGGAGAGGAGTACGCGACAGCAGGAAGACGAAGACGAAAGCACTTATACGACAGATACCGCGCGACAAGCGTCGCCCTACGCCATAGGCCCGTCCGTCGCAGTCTGTCCGGGGCATACTTGGATAAGAGATGTCCCACAGCGAAAACCCCCACGGTGGCGCAGAGAAAGTAGATGGTACTCAGCGCGTAGACATGATCGGCCTCATACCAGTACCGCCATCTGCCGGCGCGGTAGACGCACTGGTCTGGACGAAGTTTGCAGGTGTCATGGCGTGAGGAATGTAGCCTTACGGGTTGGTCCAGCCAGGGCAGGCCGGACCCTGTATGTTCCGACATGGCCATGACGTCGCTGGCATATACGTAGAGACTCGCCGATCACACATGGAGTCAATTGAGATCGGATCGCCGGTGGGAATTGGGAAAGGATTATCGGTCAGGGTCAAGGGGCAGGGCAGCCTGGGGAGGGGACGGGAGAGGGGCGTAGAAGAAGGGGCCCAAGGGGAAGAATGTATGGCCATCATTGAGAATCTTGCTATATAGCATCACCACAATCATTGACTTCAGGAGAGGGAAGGTCGTATTTCCGCCAACAGAGCCAACTTCGTTGATCTCTTTGGGACACGCATTGATTGGCCGGTCTTTGCTCACTATTGAGCATATTTCGCCGGGTTTATAAGTCGTTCAGTAAACACATAAGTACAACAGGTAAAAGAAAAGCCACAGAACAACGCCACCTAAGGACCCAAATCAAACAATGCACGGTATCATAATAGCCAACAGGGGAACAGGGAATTTTCGCATGCTTTTGATGACGTTCTAGTCATAATCGTCATTGACCGTTTCCGGTTAGTTGGTGGAGCGACAAGGAGAAAGGCACCGGATGCAGAAGGAAGAAAGGACAGCAGAAGGAAGAGGAACGGACACGGCCCCACTCAAAGGAGATCAAGAGCGGGATGTCAGACAGACACCGGGATGGAAACAGAGGTTGACGAAGCTTGCTTCTCACCCGCATCACCCCACAGGCCATGGTCGCGCAGTGCCTGGTAGCCTCCACGCAGACTATCCGCCTGGATTCCCTTGGCTCGCAATACGCTGGTAGCTACTCGCGCGGTGTCACCATTGTAGCAGATCACCAGCACGTGCTGTTCACTCAGTGTGCTGATGATGTTGCCCGGCTGGAACAGCTGGTCGAGCTCCTGCCACTGCGCCTCCAGCACCCGCGGGTCGGCGAACGGCTTTGCACGGGGCGACTCCAGGCTCTGCAGGGACAGGTTGATGGATCCGGGGAGGTGCCACGACCCAAAGTCCACTGCCTTTCGCAGGTCTAAGACGCAGCATTGCGGGCGCAACACGAGGTTGTTCAATAGCCCCTGCGGGAGGGCCTGGGGGGTATCGTAGAAATTCGTGAACAGCACCACCGGGCTGCGCTCCCAGCTCTCGTCATATCGGTACAGGTCCACTTTCGTCAATTGCTATCTATGGTTAGTACCAAGTACGAGGGCGAACGGCGAAGAAGACATACCTCGTTGACGATGGGGTGGAACTTCTCGTCACCCAGCTTTTGGAAGTATTCGTCGATATACTGGTAGGGCAGATCACAGCACAGGAACACGCTGTGGATGAGCCCATCTGGCCCCGCCAGCTCGGACAACGTCCCCGCGGCCTTGCGATTCTCCAGCATTTGGAAGAGGCCTTTGAGATTGAACCCGGACGACGGTCCGCAGATGATCCCCTCGCGGCAAAGATCCAACGACCACGAGTACGAGTCCAGCGAATTGACCTCCTCGATGGAGTCGACAGCCTCCTTCCACGGGAACTCGACCGGCCTCATCAGAGCAAAGGACCGGGGACCGGGGACGCGGTCTCCTGCGGCGGTGCACACACCCAGACGGTACACCGAGGGCTTGGCCTCCTTGAAGTAGGTTCCGAGCCCGGTCATCGTGCCCGAGGTGCCCATCCCGGCGCAGAGCACATTGATCTCAGGCAGTTGCTTGAAGATCTGGGGGCCGGTCCAGCGGATGTGGGCCTGCCAGTTGTCGTTGTTCTCATACTGGTTGGGGTTGAGGATGTCCTCCGACTGCTTGGCCTTGCGACGCGCACTCTGGATACCACCGCGCTCGTCGTAGGGTTCGGGCTGCGACGGCCCGCCGAACAGCATGATGTTGAGCCCGAAGAATTGCATCAGGCGCAGCTTGGCCTCGCTGGTCTTGTTGCTTAGATAGGCGCGTGTGTCGTCGATGCCGTGCATCACGCGAGCGATCATCGACATGGAGATGACCGTCGACCCGGAGCTGTACTCGATGATGGTCTGGGTCTGATCCGGTACCACCTTTTTCTGTAACATGTTCATCGCTGCGGCAATCAGTGGACTGCCAGCGGGAACATGGGGATGCTGCAGCAACTTACCGGGCATGGCCTTGACATTGTTGGCCGGGTGCATGGTCATCATCTTCGCGTATATCCGCACGCCATCATCGTAGAAAGGGTTCAACCGGGCAGGAATTTCCACCAGCGGGAGAGGCGGTTGGGAATCGGGATCAAAGTACTTCTTGAGGGCGTCTGGCCCAAAGTATGTATTGAGCTCATTCTGGTTGGACATGATGCAGGGATGACAGGGAGCCGGGGACTGTAAAATGCAAGCAAGGTACAGCAAATGAACAAATAAAGACAAAGAGGATCAATATAAAGTAGAAAGCATAAGACCCCACTGCATGCAAGAGAGAGAAAAGAGGAAAGAACAAGGAAGGGGAAAAAAGACAAATAGAAAAAGCAGAGATGCATGGAGGGGCAATCCCATCAAGTTATACTTCCTGCAGAACCTCCACACCAGAGCACGAATCCGTATTACTGACACAGCGAGCACCCCGAAACGCCCGAGTCCACGAGGCCTGACCCACCATGGACATAGTGCAATCTTCCAGTGTGGAAATAATCTTCATTTCTGCGCTCTACGTTTTGCTCTGCGAGGCAATTCCGCAGAGGACCGAAGCGACAGGGCTGCGGTCGTAGCCGAGCCTGAGATCCACGATGTAGAAAGAGTTTCCCGACGGGAATTTCTCTTGGCCTATCATCATACTGCATTGATCAGCAGTAGACGTAGATGGCGCGCAGGGTGCTCGTGGCTTGGTGGAGAGTCCAGGGCGGATGCAGCTGTGTATGGCTGGAGGGGGATGTCCGGACCGGATTGCAGCGTGTAGTCCAGACAGATCTACAACCAGCAAGGTCCCTGACGGCATAATAGAAGCTTCTTGGCGGAAGATAATGACGATCATGTAGAGTTTGATGGCATGAGGACCTTGCTGAGCACCTTTGAGCACGTTTTGCGCCGATCCCTTCCTCTTAGCCCTAATTGTCCTTGCCGCGGGTCCATCAATCGTGGATTTACGTTCCGGAAGTAGGGGGAAGTGACACGGTCGTTTCTCTGTAACCTTGATTAATTTCTCCGACTTCTCTTGAAACTTTCCTACTACTTTATTAGTTCTGGTCCTTATGTTCTGTCCTCTCCCGACGAACCCCGATCATGTCCACTGGCGTCGTCAATTCCGAGCCCAAGCATGAGGGCCCCTGGCCAACTTCCTCGAACGAGACCGAGTCGACAGAAGCTAAGCCGGTGTTCAATGAGCAGACCAACTATGTGCCCAAGAGTACGATCATTACAGTGCGTGTGCATATCGAAAACTGGAAGAGAACCATGACTGATCGGAGACATCCAGATCTTCCTGGCCTGCTCGACGGTCGACCTCGTCGCGTTGATGGACCAGACCACCCTGGCCGCTAGTTTGTCCATTATCGGGAATGCGCTGCATGCAAGCGACAAGACGGCGTGGATCTCCAGCGGCTACTTCGTGTATGTCTTCGCGCGCATGACGAAAAAAGAAAACCCGCATTCTTGATTTGCTGACGCACACTGTAGCACCTCGACATGCTTTCAACTCCTGTACGGTCGGCTATCCGACATCTGGTCCCGCAAGCTGGTCCTCTTCGTGGGTCTAGGGATCTTCTTCTTCGGGTCCCTGGCCGCATCGCTGGCGCAAACAGCCACGCAGCTGATCGTCTTCCGCGCCTTCACGGGCGTCGGCGGCGGCGGTCTGATGACGGTCGCGCAGATGATCGTGAGCGACGTGGTCCCGCTGCGAGAGCGCGGCAAATACCAGGGCATCCTGGGAGCGGTGGTGGCGATTGCCAACGGCATAGGTCCCGTGATCGGGGGTGCCCTGGCCTCGATCAACGACGACTCGTGGCGCTGGATCTTCCGGCTCAACCTCCCGCTGACGGCGATCTGCGTGCTCGCCGTCTTCTTCTTCATGCCGTTGCGGAAGGTGACGGGCGACTGGAAGGTCAAGCTGCGGGCGGTCGACTTTTTCGGCGCCATCCTCGCGCTCGGCAGCACCGCCGTTTTCCTGCTGGGACTGACCTGGGGCGGCGGCGAGTATGCCTGGAACTCGGCCCACGTCATCGTCACGCTGGTGGTGGGATTCGCCGTGGGGGTGGGGTTTCTGCTCTGGCAGTGGAAGGGGGCCGCATTCCCCCTGGTGCCGATGCACATCTTCCGGTCACGCATCGTCAACGGCGCATGCCTGACCATGTTTATCAACGGGTGGAACTTCCTGGTCCAGATCTACTACATCCCGACATTCTATCAGCTGGTCTTCGAGTACTCGACCGTTCAGGCGGGCGCGATGCTACTGCCGATCACCCTAATGCAGAGTAGGTCCAATTCTTCCCCTATTGGCCCAGGCTATGGCTGATCGTTTGCAGCCGTCAGCAGTACCGTGTCCGGTCTCGTGGTGCACTGGGCGGGCCGGTATCGCGAATGCATCTTGTTCGGTTGGGCGATATGGGCCGTCGGACTGGGCCTGTTCTCCACCCTGGACAAATCGTCCGGCGTGGGAAAGCAGGTTGGCTATGGGATTTTGACCGGCGTGGGTGTGGGCAATACCTTGCAACCGTAAGAGACCGCCCCTTCACACCATATTCAGATGCTAACCAGTCTAGGGCACTGATCGCGGTCCAAGCGGGGGTGGAGCGAAGCGACATGGCGGTGGTGACGGCGTTCCGGAAGTAAGTCAACCCTCCGCATCAAATCCAGCGAAGAAACTCCTACTCACCAATAACAGCTTTGTACGAAACCTGGGGGGCACCCTTGGGCTCGCCATAGCCGGGACTCTCATGTAAGTCGTCTGGCCCGTGTGTTATTGTTCCCTCCATTAACCAGGTGTAGTAACAACATCATCGCCTCCTCGATCTCCTCGCTCGGGTTCAACGAAACAGAAACTCGATCTTTCCTGTCTAGCCCCCAGAACTATCTATCAAAGCTCCCGCCGAAAGAAGCAGAGCACGCCCGTTCGGTGCTAATCCCCGCATACAAGAAAGGATTCATGATCATCTTTGTTATCGGTGCTGCGTTAGCGGCGCTTGCCTTTGTGCTGGCCTTCTTTCTAATGCCCCAAGTGTCGCTCAATCGGGACGACGACGAGAAGCTCAAGGAGGAGGGGAGGAAACGGGTACGGGGGGAATTGGACGAGGAGACGAACGAAGTGAAGTAGTTGGACGTGGATGGAAGAAGAAGAACAAAACGATTCTCAGTAACTGAATAGATGCATAGATCACGCATGGATAATTCTAATGAACCTGCATAAAAAGGAGTCTGCTCCGGACCAATCGGAAGAGCCCATTACTCCCGCCCTCTTGCGTACACAAGATTAGGTAATACAGCATAAACCGTGCACCATAACTGGAACAAATCACCAACGACGCGCTGGTCGAGTTGACTTCAAACATCATTCCTTATGGCGAAAGATAGAGCATGAACCGGTTCGTTTTGTGCTGTTAGACTCGGCAGTTGGAAGACCCCTGCGATCCGGCGGGGTAAGTCCGGATAGCTCCAAATCGTATCGAGCAACGACGACGAAGATCTCAAGTGCACCCCATGCCTGCTACTTAACTCTCCCGTCCAGACCCACCAGAGCAACAACAGCATCAACAACAACCACCATGTCATCCAACATCGTCGTCATCGGCGGCTCCTACGCGGGGATAGGCGTCTGCCACGGCCTGCTGCAGAAGAATTCCGACCAGAAGATCACCGTGACGCTGATCAATCCGTCCACGGAGTTCTACTTCAACATCGCGGCGCCGCGCATCGTCGCCAAATCCGACCTGATCGCGCCCGAGAAATACACCTACTCCATCCCTGAGGTCTTCGACAAGTACCCGATGGGAACCTTCCGCTTCGTGCATGGCATAGCTAGCAGCGTCGACCTGCAAGAGCGGAACGTCCACGTCCATGTGCATCACGCCCACGACGAGGAAGAGAAGAAAGAAGAGGTGATCGCCTACGACCACCTAGTCATCGCATCGGGGAGCACTACTCCCTCAACAGTCGGCAAAGACAGCTTCGCCGCGCCGTTCAAAGCGCCCATAGACGGCGACCTCGCGGCAGCCGTGTCGCGCACGCAGAGCGCCATCCGCGACGCGAAGACGATCGCTATCGGCGGCGGGGGTCCCGTCGGCGTCGAGTTCGCAGGGGAGATCGCCGAAGCGTACGAGAACGACGCGACCAAGAAATCCATCACGCTGGTATCAGGGACGGCGCGGCTCCTCCCCACGCTCCCCGCCAGCGCGCAGGACGCAGCGGAGCAGATCCTGCAGAGCAAGGGCATCCACCTGCAGCTGGGCAAGCTTGTCAACCGAGCGGAGTCCACCACAGACGGCGGGTGGACCGTGCAGTTGTCGGACGGGACGACCCTGACAGTAGATCTGTTCATCTCAGCGATGGGCACGCTCCCGAACAGTGGGTTTATCCCGGAGTCACTACGGGACGAGAGCGGGTGGGTCACGGTCGACGAGCACCAGCGGGTGCTGAACCGACAGGGCCAGGCCGAACCGCGCGTCTATGCCCTGGGCGACATCACCTCGTATCCGGACCGGCTGCTGCTGCGGGTGCAGCCGCAAATTCCGATCGTCGTCGCGAATGTGCAGGGTGCTGTGGAGGAGCGCCACACGGCGCTGAGCTCGTATTCGCCGGCGGCGCAGTGGAGGGTGATGGCTGTCCCGGTGGGACAACGGACGGGCACGGGGGCGATCGGCAGCTGGCGCCTTTCTGGATGGCTTGTGTCGTTGATCAAGGGCAAAGATTTCTTTATTGGCAAGGCGGCGTCCTATATCCAAGGGTGATTCTGATCTGTTTGTTATTTCCACTAATTTTCCGTTCAATCTTGATTTCTCACGCTTGATTGATTGATTGCCCTGATCCTCCATCTCGTGCTAGACACTAGCGAGGCATGGGCGGAGTATCATCGGAGAATAAACCCTGCAAGCAGACAGGGTTCACACGCGTAGCGCACCAGGCTATAAAACAAAAAGGAAAGGAAAAGAAAAAAAAAAAATTACCATAAGCATCTGACCAGGTTACATCCCGCCCATAGTCCTTTGTCTCAGGACAATCTATCCACGACCAAGCTCCGCCCCTAGGGCCACAGCACGCCATGGCGAGCAGGGGTGGCTGACTCGCGACGAGTCGGGGCACATCAACACTAATGCAAGTCAGACGTATAGTCGAGGGCTTCTATAATGAGAGTGTCCACAAGTCCGTTCCTGGTCGCATCAAACTATCCTATATTATACTACCTAGGTATGTAGGTAACCATACGATACCAAGGCATGCCATGCGCGTCCGAACCCAGTAAAGGCGACATCAATGGCGTTCTCCTCCCTCGACCTCCACTGTAATGTCCACCGTTTTCATGACCCGTGTCAATTGTCTCGTGCTCCCTTTCCCGCTGTCGCTGGACTGCCTCCGTCCCATGGTTGTGATGTTGGTCCGGACCGCCGCGTACTGTGCGGGATCGCCGCCCCGGAAGTATTCCGGGCGATCGCCGCGGCGGCTCTCGCTGTGGCTGTCCGCGCTCTGGCTGATGTATTTTGTGGGGGAGCGCAGCTCGACTTCGTCGGGGAGGCGCGTGTTCATCAGGCCCGAGTTGAGGCCCGCGAGGATGTGGTAGAGCGTGGGAAGGCAGGCAATCGTGACGGTCGTGCAGATCATGGCTTGGCCGAGGATGGTGGGGTTGACGACGTCCCCTGTTTTGTTAGTATAGATTTACAACTCCAAAGAAATCATGGATAGCTATGCAAAGGCACGTGAAGGAGGGAGACACACATGTTTGATCAGAGGAGCCAAGATATGTTGGGAGGAGACACAGTCGGACAACCGATAGGACAACCACACTATATAGACTGGTCAGTAAGGGCTTGGGACTGTAGGCTCAATGGGTGAAATACAGCGATCGCGCAAAAAAAGCACACAGGATCTTGATTCGTTTGGCCAGCACCATCTGCACATTGCGCATCATGAAGAAGGGAATCGCGATGATGGCAAACTCGGTCAGGATGTGGATGGCCCAGATCGGGTACATGATAGCGCCCTAAGATGTCAATGAGACTGATTTTTCCAGCGGTAGCGGATATAGATCTACCTCTCCGGCGCATCTGTCCGGGCTATACGACCAGGGCTCGGGCATCTGGCACTGAAAGGCCGTTCCGAGGATGGCGAAGACAGTCCAGCCCACGCTCAAGCCAGCGGTGACGGTGCATGCTTGTCGAAGGGCATGATCGGGAGTCAGTTTCCAGACCAGCAGGATGGTGGACACCTGCGACAGCGAAAGAATGACGATCTGGATGAGCTGAGATGCGTATATGAACTGGATTGAGTCAGTCCTGGGGCTCGACGAGGAGTAAACAGGTAAAACAGGTGGTATTGCTCACCTTGCTGGCAGTCTGGATGGCCTCCGTAGACAGCGTGTCGCCGTGTCTTCCCACTCCATGATCAACGCCCTTTTGCACCACGATGACTTCCACTATGACTAGGATCTAGCAGTTGACGGGGGTCAACGAATCATCTCCACCTTCACCCGGGGATGTATGAACCATACCACAGCCACCCATATGGGCGTGTTGACGGCCGTCCGTCTTTGCTTGAAGTAGATGACCGACCCAAACTTGGCGGCCACAAAGATGATGGTCGCGATCAGGAAAGACACCGAGACAATGGTGATCAATACTCCATTATTATCGTCCGACAGCACCTGAAAAGGGCGAGTTCGAGTGGACATGGCGACGGATATCGTATAGGTTGAGTATCATGGTGGACGAACGCCCCCACGACGGCTGGGAATGCCATATGAAATAGGAAGAGATGAATGCAGTGTGCGAAGGGTTCATCCCGTGTGTAATATATTGGCGTTGTATTACACCAGGATGACCACAGACAATAGGCTTTGTGGTGGTAGCCACGTCTGATGACACTATTCAGAAAGCAGGTTAGCTGCGAGCAGGGATGCGGAGAATCCCACGACTCACCACCCACTGCGGCCTCGTTCTGGGCCATGGGTTCTTGACACGGCCCGCTCCTGGTCAACCGAGCCATGGTGAAGCCGCTAAGGCAAGCCCGATCAGGGATGATGGTCGCCAGGATGAAGGTGAATGGCGAGTTGCCCTAATCAAGCCCCTAATCCGAGCATCCCAAGTGGCATGGTTGGAAAATCCGCAGTATCGTTGCCACTAGATCAATATAGACAGAACATCGCTAATTGTTTAGTTTGGAGTAGTAGTACTTTAGAACAGGAGAGATAAAACTGTAGGGAAAAGACTGTTGGCTCGTGGAGATTTTCTCTTCTTCTTCTCCCCTCAATCCTCCTCTCCTCACTCTCCCGGCCCCTCCTTTGCCTACCAGAACAGGGTAGAACCGTCAAAATGTTCGATGAAGAGCAGGTAGAGCTCAAGAGTGGCAGTGCCATCCGGTCTGCAGCGGCCAATGATCGAAATCAGACGTATGATAGCAACAACAGCGCCACTTATCGCCAGAAACAGCAATTAGAGGTATGCCCTGTCTATTCCATGCCTGAACATGGAAGAAACTCATGCTCATCCATCTCTAGCGGTATATGAATTTCTTCTCATCTCTCGCCTTCTCTGCAACCCTTCTCGCCTCCTGGGAAACCACCGGAGGAAGTTTTCAGGCCGGTCTCTACAACGGTGGTCCGGCAGTCATCGTCTATGGCCTCATCGTCAGCACGATAGGCAATCTGGCCATCGCCGCGTCGTTGGCAGAGCTGGCATCGGTGCATCCCACGGCTGGAGCCCAATATCACTGGAGTTATGTCCTCGCGCCCTGGTGTCCTCGCTTCATCAGTTTCTTCCAGGGATGGATCACCGTCTTCGCCTGGGGCGCCCTCGTCACCATCGCGCCCTTCTTCATCGGCACCCAGATCCAGGGCATGGTAGTGCTGGATCATCCCGAGTATCAGTCGCAGCGATGGCATGGCACGCTGCTCATGTGGGCCGTGCTGCTGATCCCCATCATCATCAACATCTTTGCGCGTCGTCTGCTCCCCTTGATCGAGATCTGCGTCGGGATCATGCACGTCGTCTTCCTGCCCGTGGCCATCGCCATCTTCGTTATTATGGCCCCGCGCAATCCCAACGCTTTTGTCTGGGAGACCTTTGTGAGCGGATTGAGTGGATGGGAGAACAAGGGAGTTGTCTTCTCCATAGGATTGCTGGGAGTGATCACTCCATTTAGCGGTATTTCTCTCTCTCCTCTTTTCCCTCGACCGGTTCTACACCCACCCCTTCATAAAGTCTGATACTAACAAGAATAGGAATCGACGGCGTCATCCACATGTCCGAAGAAATCAAAAACGCCAAAATCGTCGTCCCCCGGTCCATGATCTGGGGCACATTCATCAACGCGATCATGACCTTCGGCTACGTGATCACCATCCTCTACTGCATGGGCGACTACGAGGAAGCCCTAACGTCACCAACCGGCTACCCCATCATCCAAATCGCCTACCAAGCAACGCGGTCCAAAGCCACAACCTACATCCTCATGGCGCTCGGCATGCTCCCCGGCTGGATCGCACTCTTCAACAGCCTGGCGTCCGTCACGCGACTAACCTGGGCCTTCGCGCGAGACAACGGCCTCCCCTTCTCAGACTTCTTCGCGCGCGTCGACCCCGTCCTCAAGATCCCCCTGCGCGCGCTCTTCCTCGTCGCCTCCGTCGTCATCCTCCTCTCCTTCATCCAGATCGGCTCCACAGCAGCCTTCCACGCCATCCTCTCCCTCAGCACCCTCGGCCTGTACTTCTCCTATCTCATCCCGCTCGTCCTCCTCCTCATCCGCCGCTTTACCTCCCCCGGCCAGATCCCCCGCGGCGCTTTCTCCCTCGGCCGCTGGGGTCTGCCGCTTAATATCGTCGCTGTCGTCTTCGCGACCTACTTTGCTATCTTCTTGCCCTTCCCGCCCTCGTTGCCTGTTGATGGCGAGAATATGAACTATGCGGGGCCGGTGCTGGGCTTCGTTATGTTGTTTGCTCTGTGTGATTGGGTGCTGCGGGGTCGGCACAAGTGGAGTGGGCCGACGATGAAGTATTCGCGGGAATAGGCTTATTACCCTGTCCCCTGTCTTAATGGGTTGCGTCGTGATGTTGTTGTTGTTGTGATGGTGGTGGTGGTTGTGGTGGTGGTGGCTGTATTGTTGGTGGTAGTGTTGCTCTGTCGTACTATTGACAACCCTTTATATTCTTTCTTTCTTTCTTATTGTATGGGCGGTTTCTTGTTTTGTTGGGTTGTATATAACCATTCATAGCGCATTCATACACGTCATCGCTAGTGGACTATTGATAAGTTAGCATAAGCCAAAAACTACCAATCGATCTCAAAATGCATATATTATCACCCCAACCTATATACACCAATGCAAACACCCAAACCAACCATAACGCCACCCAACCAGTAACACCAACCATCTATGAGCGGAGAGTATCTATATGACATTACAACCAGATCAAAAGTCTAACCACCTAACTAGCACGGGATTTCTCCCCCTGCAAGGACTCCATCATGACCGCGCGCAGCCGCACGTTCGCCACACCACCAACCCCATAAGCCGGCACGATCTTGCCCATGCGCGCAAAACAGCTCACCACGTAGTCGCGACGGATGCGCGAGGCTCTCTCGCGCCACCCCAGCCCACCCGGCGGCTGGCGGTTGTACAGGTCCAGACCGAGGAGATGCATGGGCGTACTGGCGAACTGCATCAGCGCAGGACAGGCGAACTGCGCCACGGCTGCCTTCATTCCCGGCGTGGCGGCTACCGCGTCCGGTATGGAGGGCGCGATTAGCGGGGGGATGTTGAAGGACGCGAAGATGGTGATGCTGTCGCGGAGGCAGAACAGCCCGTACGAGACCCGGGGTACGTGTTGGGTTGCCGTGCCGGCTGGGTGGCATGATGCGGGCGGAGATGACCGCGGCAGGGGCGCGGACGCCGGCGAGGATGGTGATGCGGCTGGGGTCGGGGACGCGCCGAAGAGACGCGCGAACCGGGCGTCCTTGTATACGCAGATGCTCATGTTCACGATGGTGGTGGTCAGGAACTTGGCGGTGTCGGGGAAGACGGCGGAGAAGGACTTGTTGCGCAGGGTGGATGAGACCGTGTCCATGACGTTCGCGGTGAGGTAGGTCGAGGTGTATAGCGTGTAGATGAGGAGGAAGGGGGTGCTGAGGAAGAAGGCCCCGGGGCGGGAGAGGATAGATGCGAAGTTGGAGGTGATGGTCTGGCGGATGGAGACGCCTTTGGCTGCTTTTTCGATGATCGCCCTGGAGAGAGAAGTCGATTAGTAGAAGCTCCTTCTTCTCATCCCTATCGATCTTCTTACCGATCGATGACCGTGATGACTGGACACGTCAAGGCTCCTGCGATAGCGGCGCTGGTGACATCGACGCCGAATCGCATGGCCAACCGGTCGGTGTTCCACGCCTTTCCGGGCGACACGACCGGTACAGGGACCGGAGTCTCATTTGCGAGAAGACGAGTCATCGTCTGGATAGACCTGGTCGGGTCTTTCGAGCAGAATAATCGAGATGACTCGGTTGAGATAACTCGATCAGGATCGCGACGTCATGCAAGGGAGGATGGATTGGGGGGGGATCAATGATGATAGAGATTCATATAAACATTATGGCAATCTAGGATGGGAAGAAGAACCTGAACCAGCAGGAAGTGAAGGAATAATTGAATCTGATATTGACGGTGATCGAGTCGGACGAGAATCTGCCGGTTGGAGCGCCGATGCCGGCCGATCATTCTGCCGTCTCCCGATCTTCTACTTCTACTTCTTCTATTCTTGTCCTCTCTATTATACTTGTCTTGATCTGTTCTAATTTTTGGGCTCACTTCGTCTAGTCGATTCTGTTGGATGAAAATTTCCTATCATGCGCAGGATTTAGTGCCACCCCGTGGTTGGCTGGCGGCTAGCTCGATTCGATGTATATTTAATCCCTCAGCGCCGAATGCGCTGACCCCTCACCACCATGACTCTGGAGAATGGATACAGTATCAGATCGGTCAGACGGAGACCAAACTGGCGAATGTTCCTTCTGCAAAGAAGTGGTCTGCGAAGAACGTCTGGGACATTCTGAAGACCCCCAGAAGCTGTTCCATACCACATGCGCCAAGTGCTCCCTGTCAGACACCGGACCAGATGCCTCTTTTTGCTCGGCCTGTCGTCATCTGAGACTCCCTCACCTCATCGGCTGTCTGCATCTGGCTATCAATGACCCGGTGTACGTGCCATTGGGCACCCTCGGGCAGCTGCGCGACAAGCGCTGTCAGTTCTGTCAATTTCTCGTCCGGACCCTGTCGACGTTTGCCCACCACACATTGCGGAATGACGAACTGGATGCTTATTCAGTGGTGTTATGGGCATTCGAGGCGAGTCTCAAGGTAGGTCTAGAGGATGGAGGCGGCGAAGCACTGGTGGACACCAGCCTTCCAGCGTGGATCCAGACCTGCGACCTCAAAGGAGAACGCGAACTGGCATCGGTAGGGTTCGATCAGAGTGGCGCACCGTTTGATAGGCTCCCCGCGATGACGGAGCATGTCGATTGGAAGCAAGTCCGTCTGTGGATCCAAAAGGATCTGTATAGAACCGCATCAGAAGCCGACGACCCTTATAAACCCATCTCAGGCCTCAAGGTTATCGACGTCCACCAGGACCGTGTGGTCAAGGCGACGGCAGACTGTGCGTATCTCGCCTTAAGCTATGTCTTCGGTACAGCGAACACAGTCGACGTGCCCGCGTCAGGCCTCTTCAACCGCCAAGCGCTGCCATTGACGATCCGCGACGCCATCGTAGCCTGCGAGGCAATAGGCATGCGGTACCTCTGGATCGACCAGCTTTGCATCCAACAAAGCGACGCAGCCGACAAACTCCAGCAAATCAACCAGATGGACCGAATCTACCAAGATGCAGTATGCACATTAGTCGCCGTCGCCGCCGACGACGGTCACTACGGACTTCCTGGAGTGACCAAGCCTCGCACCTGGACCTACCCTACCTTTCAAATCGGCAACGCCGTCCTCTCCGGCCTCACTCCCTCGCCCTCATGGTGCATCCGCTACAGCAAATGGTACACGCGGGGTTGGACCCTACAAGAAGCGCTCTTCTCAAACCGGTTCCTCGCGTTCGCCGACCACGGCGTCCACTACGGCCGCCGCTACCCAGATGATTTCGACTTCTCCTCCGAGCATTGCAGCGACCTCAGCAATGAAGACTCCGCCGTCATCCCCGCCCTCGGCGACTTCTGGACCACCCTGGACGACTACACCGGGCGAGACCTCTCCTTCCCCTCCGACGTTCTGCGCGCTTTCACAGGCGTTCTCCGCTCCGCCCACGGCGACAACACCTACCACGGCCTGCCACCGTCAGAAATCGACCGCGCCGTCCTCTGGACCCTGTCCACAAGACAACAGAAACCCCACCGCCAACGAACAGGCTACCCCTCCTGGTCATGGACTTCCCACAACGGGCCCACGACACACCTGAAGCCAGTCGCCGCCCTATCCATCTGGGCGATCCCCAGACCAGGGTCATCCCCCACAATCTGCCAGCCCGCCAGAGGCACCAAATGGGACGAGAACGGACAGGGCATCCCGATATACATGATGGCTCCAATAATGGTAGCCTGGCTAACAGGCTGCATCCGCGCTCCCTTCCCAGGGCCTTCATCATCTTCCCCCACAATCAGCGCCGCGTCCCTCGACACCCTTGCAAAGCGGTGGCCCACCCACGACGCATACTGGCAAGACGCTTTCGGCAACACCACCATCGACAACCTCTTCACCCTCCAAGACCAAGCGACAGCATCATCCCACCCCGGCCGAATCCTCATCCACGCCCAAACCCCTTCCACTCCCTCCCCATTCACAATCGAACGCCGCCAACACGCAAAACACCACCTCCACCGACCCGACCTCTTCCACATCCGCTCTTCCTCCTCGGGAACATTCGCCGGCACAATCCACATCCCAACTTACAACGCCGACCCCACCACCATCTCCAGGGCCGAACTCATCGCCCTATCCATCGGCAAAATCGATGATGATGACTACGCCATCGCCCGCGCAGAGAATTACCTCGGTGACGTCAATCTCTTTAGCGGGGGGAACGTCCTCAAATCTGGCCCTAGCAGCGGGGGACCACCGCCTCTAGCTGATATGCAAGCTGCTCTCCCGATCAACGTCATGCTCGTTGCGCGGAGTGAGAGGGAGAGCGAGAGTGAGAGTATGAGGGGAGCTAAGCTCGTGAGGAGATTAGGCGTGGGGTATATCTTCTTAAAGGAGTGGGCGCAGGCTGAGCCGGTAGGGAGGGGATTTGTTCTTGAATAGCATTTTTTTTTTTTCGCTTTCTTTCTTTCCTTTTCTTCTGAGCTTCTTAACCTGATTTACCAAACTCAACTTTCAATGATATGAGGGAAAAGGACAAGAATCCTGCTCACACTGCTACCATTACTATTAATTGGAGTCCTCTATGCCCTAGGTAGGATCTACAGTACGACTGCCTCCATATATTAAAAACAAATAAACATCTCTGAAATCCTGTAATCCATATATCTCATTTCATCTCTCGAGACCGAAGCTTACGACAGCAAACTCCGTTTATATCAATCAACATGGACATATCATATAAAATTCATAAATAAAAACCAAGGCTCCCAACGCCGTACAGATGATGTATCATGTTATCTTAATGTCAAATCAAACCAAGCCAATGTCTTGTCTTTTCTTTTCTTTCTTTTATTCCACCGGGTGTGGGAGTTATTTAGTTGTTGCTTGGTGGTGCGGCTTGGATGTCGTCGAGGGTGACGTTGACGGCGCCTGCTTGGACAAGCTATTCATTCCCTTTTGTTAGTTTGGTGGATTATACAGATGGGAGAGGATAGGAGAACGTACAGCTCGTCGCAAATCGTCGATTAAATCATCGACATCTTCAATACCCACGCACAACCGGATCAAATCTTCCGGCATGGCGCGCTCCTTGCGCGTCTTGGCGTCGATGCTGGCGTGGCTCATGCGGCACGGCATGCTGATCAGACTGTTGACGCAGCCGAAGCTGACGCTGATGGCCCACAGCTTGGCGCTCTCGACGATGCGCTCGCTGACGCCGACGTCGCCGGTCTCGAAGGAGAGGACGGCGCCGGAGCCACGCGCCATCGAGTGGTGCAGGTCGTACTGCGGGTGCGAGCGCAGGCCCGGGTAGCGGACCTTGAAGCCGTGGGACTCGAGGTACTCGGCAATGCGCATGGCGTTGGACTGCTGCTGATCCATGCGGACCTTGAGGGTCTTGATGCCGCGCATGAGCAGCCACGAGTCGAAGGGGGAGAGACCGCAGCCGGAGGCGTTGATGGGGAAGTAGAGACGCTCGCCGAGGGCGAGGTCGTTGACGGCGATGACGCCGGCCATCAGATCGTGGTGGCCGGACAGGTACTTGGTGCCGCTCTCGTAGACGATGTCGGAGCCTAGCTCGAGCGGGTTGAGTAGCAGCGGCGACATCATGGTGTTGTCGACGGCGACCAGACAGGCTGGGTTGGCCTCGTGCGCGGCGGCCGCGATCGTGGGGATGTCGACGACCTTGATGAGCGGGTTGGTGGGCGTCTCGAGGAGGACCATGGTCGTCTTGGGCGTCAGCACCTCGCGCACCTTCTCCGGCCGTGTCGTGTCGACGTGGTGTACGGTGATGCCGCCGTTGGTGGACAGGAACTTGAGGAGACGGTTGGTGCCGCCGTAGAGGTCGTCGCCCGTCACCACTTCGTCGCCCGGTCGGAGGAGCCGCGTGATCACGTCCAATGCAGCCATACCGGATGACACGACGAGGGCGCGTTGGGCGGACATGACCTTGGCGAGATGGCGCTCGAGGTGTGTCCGAGTCGGGTTGCCGGAGCGAGTGTAGTCATATTCACCACCTCCGTCACCGGAGCTCTGTTTGAACGTGGCACTCTAGAGCACAATTGATTAGTTTCGACAATCTTGTTTGTTCCTGTCTTATTTCTTATTTCTTTTTCCACCTCTTTCGTCCATTCATTCTATCCCTTCTTTCCCATGAGTGAACCAATTGAACCGTACCTGATAAATAGGAACACTACTCGCATTATACTGATCGCTCCCCTCAGTATAAACAAGCTCGGTAGCAATGGCATAGCGCTTCCCCGTGCGCGGACTCGACGGCGCCGGCGAAGGGGGCAAGTTATGGCCATCCAAGTCGACACTCGGGAAAGGCTTCTTCATGGCCGACCCAGCCTTAGAATCGGAGGCCGACATCGCAGCGGGGCGGGGATGGCGGTGTAGTGGGGAAGAGAGGGAGTCAAAGGAGGGTTAAGAAGGGGGAGGACAGGACACCAAAGCAACCACAGGAGGGGTGTCGGGGAATTGATAGATAATATCAACTGATGCAAGGAGAATAAAACGGAGAGAAGTGAAGGATAGAAAGATGGAAAGATGAAGATGAAGGGGATAACTTTCTTTCCCCAGAATTGTTCGGCGTTCGCCCCTTTGCACGTGCCCTGATTGGCTGCCTGGGGCCCTCTGCGATTCCGTCATCGCTGCTAAACCCTTTTGGGAAGTAAACACCTCAGGCAGTAAATGGACAGTGACTCATCACGTCATTTGGTTCACGAAGGGAGATGCAGAGAAATGCATTCATTTCTATATACAGAACCGCAGTATGCCCGGCTATTCATCATTATGCATGTGCAATCAACGTCGCTATCCCACGGCATCACTCCTAGCCCATACGCCTGACGACGGCCCTGCTCAACGGGCGCAGTGCTTCCGTATAAATCAACCAAATAGAGCCCTCGCATGACATGCCAGAATGGCAATGAACCCAGAACGCGAAAGAAGTCAAGATGGAAAGGCAGGTGAAACAGTAGAAATAAAAAACTGGAATAAAGTAGAATAAAATAAACAAGGCGAATGGGAGTATCTGAAACGGAAATCGATCGCCTTCCCGACTATAAAGAAAAAAGAGCACGCCCACGCCAGGTCCACGCTTAGGTGGCCATTTCACCAAAGCTACCGTTGATCCCGAAGAATTGAAACCTGAGTCCAGTCAGTATGCGTTCGTACTTCTACTACCGATAATCCATGATTGGAGAGAACCCCGGAAATACGTACCAATCTTCGACGTTCAACGTCGTCGGTGCCGTGGGCCCGCTGCGCGAGCTGCTGCTCCAGTTATCATCCGGACTCGTGTGGTCCATGGTCGCCGTCCCGCCCAGGGGCGCATCCAGCCCGTGCATGGGCCAGGCCTGTTGGTTCTCCATCCCGAACATCGGCTGGGGTTGCTGCCCCTGGAGACTGATGCCCGGGGCATGCTCGAGAGCAGTTCGGGGCTGCCCTGGCCCCCTGCCGGCCCCGAGGTCGACAGACTGCGGGTCGGCAACTGGTGCGGCATCATCGGCCGCTGGTCCATCGCAGGATTCTGGAGGTGTGGGTGCATGTGCAGCTGGGGGTCGACGGTGGCGCTCGGGGGGGAGGTGAGCTCCGGGAAGATGGCCGTCCCATCCGGGAACAGCTGGTCGGGCTGGAAGTTCTCCCACAGCGAGGGAGAGAGATTCGGCGACGTCCGCGTCACGAGGAACAGGTCGGGTGGGGTGGCGGGAAGCGAGAATTGGTTGTTGAACGGCGTCGTGGGCCGAGTGTTGGACCGCGAGTTGCCTTCGCGGGGACCCAGCGGAGACCCGTGCGGCACGCTGAGGCCCGGCTGCCCCATCTCCCGGGACGGGGTGGCGGCGGGTGTCTGAGGTCGGGATCGCTCGTACGAGACCGGAGGCGTGGGACCTCCGTTCGGCAGACCGATGTCCATCTCGTCGAACTTCCGCTTCGGCGGCTCCGGCTTGCGCGCCAACTGCTGATGGGCCATATCCGGCCGCACGCGCTGATGCCGCCGGCCCGCGGCCTTCTGGAGTCGCTCTTCCAACACCTTGTTGCCCAGGATCGACTCAAACAGGGTGTGGACCATCTTGGCTACCAGCCATACCTTGGACACATCCTTGAGCGCCTGCATGCAGATGTTGATTCGCTCCTGACAGGTGGCCACGACGGAGGGAACGGAGGATCGCATTTGGTAGACATGCATGATCAGGGCGGAGAACAGACTATATACACTGGGCGGGAGTCAGTAGGCGCACGGCAGCGAGCCATGGGGCAATCATTCCACTTACATGAACGCAGGTGTATATCGGATTTCTTTGTGCGTCTGGAGGTTCTCGACAATCGATGTGATCATCCCCGCCGCTTGGAAGGCAATGGTACGCGACGGGTATGCCATCTCCTCGACGCGGTAGCTGCTCGGAACCGACGACGCCGGTGGCATGTGCGCTCGATGTAGCAAACAAAGAGTGGTACTGTGTTGATGTCAGTGAATGTTGAACGCACCGGGAGGCAGGACGAGGGAGAACTCACTAGTAATTGGCATGGAGCAGACCGGCCCAGAAATGATGCCGCTGGCGTTGCCAGCACACCTCCTTGGGGCAGTTCTGAAGCCAGTCTGCCAGGGCCATATCCGAATGGGTCAAGTCCATCGCATTCATGCGTCGGGACTTGGACGCCACGGAGTATTGCTGCGAGAGGACGAGGCCCATGATCTCGCAGAGTTTGACGTACTGGAGGAAGAACTGGACGTGGACGGGTTCCGGGGGGTACTCGGCCGCGATATCGATTTCATCTTCGATGAAGTCGTCTTCGGTCAACATGCCCACATCCGAGTCATCCATATTGATGCCGATCGGTCGTCCTAAGGCGACCGCCACGGATCGGTCGCGCGTAAAGAGGGTCCACCAGATTCGCTTCCACAGCCTCTTGTCGGGCTTGATGAGTTGGGAGGATTCGACGCTGCGTTGGTTAGAGATCGTCGGGCTTAGGAGTCAAGAAGGAAGGGAGAAAATACCTTCGATGCATGCCCGACCCTTGAGCCACTACCATGGCCACCCGAGTCCAGTAGAACACGTTCTTGGTCACATCTGGAAAGTTAGTTAGCACGGTCACGGTTCACTGTGTTGCGCCTTCACCAAAGTCACAGAAAGGATAAGAGCTCACCTTCGGGCCCTTCCCAGTACCAGCCCAGGAGAACCAATGCTTGCACGATCGTGACACGGTCATCTTCGTAGTTGGCATCATACAACGCCTTGGCCCGCTTGTAAAAGGTCATGGCCGCGGGGGTCGTCGAGCCGTTGGCATCCATGAGCTGGGGGTTGGTGCAGACCCTGGATCCGGCCAGGAGAATGGCTTGGAGCAGCAGCAGGGACGGCGGGTTCCTGGGGTCCCGGTAGTGGCGCATAAAGCGGCTGCGGTTGATGATGGGCACGACGGGGGCCACCCACTTGAAGTAGGCATCCACGAGTTCATCGCACAGGGGCTTGGGCGGGAGCAAGAAGGCGCCCCGTTGGTGGAGGATGTCCAACTCCAAGTTATCCAGGTCGGTCAATCGAGCGCGGGACCCCCGAATGTTGGGCGGTAGCGGATAGTGGACGACATCGGTCGTGCCATGACGGTCCTGCACCAGCAGGGACAGATTGGACGACTCGCCGAGATACGCCACGCGTCCGGCCTCCTTGATCGGGGCACGGGCAAATTTGGGCTTCATGAACTGGGCGTAGGTGGAGTTCTTGGGATCCTCCGGGGCGGCCTGCGCTTCGGGGAGGGGGGTGGTAGAGGGCATCCCGTCGACGGCCATTTGATTGTTGGGATAACCAAAAGCATCCTTGGCACCCGGGGGGGCCTCGGACAGTTCCCGGTGACTCGGAGGTTTATCGCTGCGCTCGTCACTTCTAAGAGAAACAATGTAGGCCATGGAGTCAGTATTGCGTCGATGCGACCGTTGCGACCGGTGGGGGAGGGGATGGCGCTGGTTTTGAGACGTACCCGCTGCCCGGTGTTTCCTTGGACTTGTTCTGATTTTTCTTGCGTTTCGGCGTGGGGATTTTACATTCGATGGAGAAGGCTACACAGTTGGTGCACGGAACACCCAAACTGGCAGCGTCGCAACGGACCTGGTGGAGGGGGGAATGGTCAGCGATGTTTTCCTGCATGAAACGTTGAGGGGGAGCGACCGGTGACAAGCGGTCGCACAACCAACAAAAGCCAAGCAACAGGAGAGAAAAGTGACCAAAAGAGAAAAAAGGAAAGGAAGGAGAGAAACGTACCTTGCGTGCATGGCAAGTCTTCACACAAAAGAAGACAGGTTAGCCAACGATTCTACAGCAGGGAAGGGCATAATGGTTGCGTGATGGTATCATGGGACAGCAGCCAACAATGACAGGCAGCAGCTGTGAAGGTGCAAGAAGAAGCCTCGGCACCTCGGCCCATCGCATGTCGCGTCGACCTCACAGGAATAGAGAATATGAGACGTACCTCACACGCACGCGACGCACGCTGTCTATAGATAAGATAAATAGCAGTTAGCATCGAACAGGGTTGATTTTGAATTTAATCCCATCCCTTTCCACTCCAGAGCCTCGACTCGAGGCCTGGGGGAAGGACTGCGCCCATCCCCTCGTGCAGCCTCAGACCCCGCGACGAGCAGGGACAGCTTCCCCTCGTCTCTCATTCTCGCCTCCAAGCAACCCAGGGATGTTTCTCCGGACGAAGACGAAAAAGAAAGATGACTCACCTTCGAAAACTCATCTGGCCGTTGGAACTGGTGCGCACGGTAATTCCTGAAGTTCCGGTCGAGCCCGCAGTACTCGGGGCCGGGCTGGGTCGTGAAGTTGTAGAATCGTTGGTAACGTCGCCTGTTGTGCTCATGGCCAAAAGGTATCCATCCAGAGAAGTCGGAATCGGGGAGGAGACGAGAGCGATCGTTTATTAAAAGGATTGCGGGGGAGAGCGAGAGAGGGAGGGGGCGCGGTTTGGGTAGCGTCACGACACGTTCCAACAGGGTAAAAAAAGGGAAGGGGAAAAAAGAAAAATCAATGGATGATAAAAAAAACAATAGTTTATAAATAGGAAAAGGGACAAAAGTCAAAAGTCGTCGAAGAGATGAGAATGCAGACGAAATGAGGTGCAGCACACAGATCGATGGTGGAAAGAAGAGGAAAAATAATACAAGGAAGCGAAATTGAAGGAGTGGTGGTTGACTTCTGTTCCTCGTTCTTTTTCAGCCTTTTGCCTTTTCTTGTATTGTCGAGTTCTTCTCTTGGATATTTTATTATGACTGAATGATTTTTCTCTTTTTTTCCTTTTTTGATCACCTTTTATGATTCGCGATCGTTTTTTTATTTTAATTTTTGAATTCCCCCCCCCCTGTCTGTTGGTGAAGTAATCTGGAACGACGGGCAGTGGGTAAGGAACCTATCGCGACCTGGAGAAGGTTCAAGTTCCGGGGTGGAGAGAGCAGGGAACAATCGAGCGAAGGAAGGATGCAGGGAGAGCGGAGATGGCAAGTCCAGGAGAGTCAATTAGGAGGAAGAGGGGAAGAAGGAGAAAAAGGACCGGGATGAGAGAGGAGAGAGGAGATCAGGAACCGTAAGTTAGTACCAGTAGTACTCCGGAAGGTCTAGAAGAATAGGCAGTCCTTAGTTGGTTATGGATGGGGCGGAGTCAGTCACGTCGTTGATTGATTATTATTATGAGTTCAGTCAGTTCATGATCATCTCGTTAGTCGGGAATTACTCGAACTAGCGAGTCACCAGGACTATCAAGGAGAGATGTGGAGAAAGTTGCTTCTTTTCATACGATATACGCTGCTTTTACCCCACGCTATTCCACTTTCCCTATCCATAAGTTGATCCTATACATTTGCCACCAAACTCCTGAACTAGGACAGCTTGAATGTCAGTATACCTAGGTAACAGCTAAAGCTGACAGACACTCGTGTCCTATTCTGATCCCTATTCTTATCCCTATCTATGTGGGGAAGAATCCAACCAAGAATCCATCCGACGATCGACTATCAAAAAGGAAAGCAGATCGTCCATCTCAAGAGGTCCTCACACAGACCGATGTTTACCCCGTGTCCAGTCCAGTCCAGTCCGTCACCAACACTAGAACCAAATCAACCAAGTGACTCGAATACACTTCAAACGGCGGGATTCGGGATCCAAGACCCAGGATCCGCGCGCATCGTAGATCCAACCCAGGGGCACGAAACGTTCGAACTGTCCTGAGACAGGGGAATGATAACCGAGCTTTCTTAGTCCTCTCTCACCCTTTCTCTCTCCGTGTCTGTCTTCCACTTGGAGTCGCTTGATGAAACCACTCGTATAGTCTACCAGGTTTGTTGTCTCTAACCTCGTACCTTGACCTTGTCTGATGCAAGCCCCGCTGGAGTCCCACGCGGAACGGGAGGGAAGGGCGCCTTGCAGACAGGATTCGAAAGAATCCCCCGGACTGAATCATTCTTGACATGTAAATACTAGAAATACTAATATTATCATTCTAATAGTAATAAATATAATAAGGTCAGTTCCGACTGGCCCATCACACCCGGTTCTACCCTTGTCAGCAAACCAGGAGGATCTCTCCCCACACATCATTATTTCCTCGAATTACCCCATGGATTCCCCAGATAATCTTATTATTATTATTCCATTGTCTTTGTTATTATTATGATATAATTGATCAATTTATTATTGTGTCCTGAGCGGGAAGACACGGGTGGAATGGATCGATGTGCGCATGGGACACGAAGGATCCATCCATATTTCCACTGCCTCAGTTGTTCATTCCATACATACCTCTTAGCCTTTAGACCTTAACTAACAAGTAAGTAGCAGTACATATCCAAGTATCTGCCTAGATACCAAAGCTTAGCCATGACATCCATTATGGATCCATATCCATCCATACCCACCCAAATCGAACATCAAGCCCAGGAGCCTTCTCCTCTTCTAGTATTCTATACCACCACTCTATAATAGACATATAATTGATCCACTCCCCCATAACCAAATAACCTCACCGCCACCTCAAGATACCTACCTACCTACCTACCTACCCAACATCGGAAACTACCGGAGCGTGTAACCATACCCTAATATCAACCTCTATATGCTACCCACCCACCCCGCAATCCACATCCACTCGAGCCTCCACCAAGTTAACTTCTGACGCACGGTGCTGAGTGCCTACCTAGGCGAGACATGCATACATACATACATACATGCATATCATGTCGTCATAGGAGGGACTTTTTCAAGTGTGGTTGAGAAAGTGTGTGGGGGTATGTGCGTGGTGTGCCTGAAAGGATCAGGTACCTGAGCTACGTACTTTGTAGATGATAGGCATGTAGGTAGGTGGGTAGGTAGGTAGGTAGGTAGGTACTAGGTAAAGTAGGTAAGAGGCAGACAGCTCGTGAAGCCTCGGCTATTTCAATCCCTACCTCACCTACCTACCATACTCCAACTCTCCCTCCCTCCACCATCCCTCTCTACATATGTACGAAGCATGCACGCACGCACACCCGCCAAGCAATGACATACCCTCCACATGGATGATGGCATGTATATGCCGCAGACGAGCCCAGTCTCAAGTGCCTGCGTCGCCACACCGCAATTTATGTAGGTGTACTATATAAGGGACGTGCTCAGTACCTCCCTTGTCATGTCTCGCTTGGGAGCCGAATCAGCGGAATCGAGACGCGGGGTAGAGGTCTTTTTAATCCTAAACGTAATATATGTCTGACGTATGATGTCGAATGGGGGGAGGGCTGGCCCCTCAGGATCGGGTATGTACCGAAAGGTACCTACTTGGTTTAGGTTTGTGGCCAATGGGTATTGATTTAAGTGGTGGGATTTTATTCTGTTGTAGAAGGAATAAATGAATATCTAGTGTCTATAGCGGTACTCATATACACAGCGATCAAAGTCAAAAGCAAGGATTAAAAAAAAGGGAATAAAGTAAAAGGGAAGGGAAAATATTAGTTCGGTTGTTTCCCCGTCGAGCCATCGTCTGCCGATCCATCCACGGTAACACCCTTGGCCGGAGACCCTAGATCGACGCCACTAACGAAGACCTCGCTGAGGAATTCCAGGCCGGCGACGAACGTGCACAGGAAGCTGGCGATCAGGAAGTGGCTGATGGTGGTGCCGATGTCGAGCCAGGAGCCCTCGTCGCGGACCATGAAGAAGAAGTTGAGCGTCATGACGTCCGAGATGGACATGACGACCATGAAGAGCGCGCTGGGCGCGACCTCCAGCCGGCGGTTGAGGAAGCCCAGGTTGGCGCTGATGATGGCAAACGGGATCAGCAGTTTGAGGATCAGGAGCGCGCCCTGGCTGAAGGGGCTGAAGACCGGGATGAGCCGGGAGACGCTCTCGAGCGAGAAGGACGACACGGACGCGATGTTGCCGGTGCTGAAGAAGGCGGATTGGAGCAGGAAGAAGAAGAAGAGCGCCACGCGCGCATCTGAAACGCCAAGCGTCCGGTACCTGTACGCTTGGCCCTGCACGATCGCCGTCGCTTGGGGGCTCGGCTGGGGGCGCGCATCGGAATCTTTGCCCTTTTGAGAATCGTGCGTCCGGGTGGTTGGTGCGGCCGTGTGCTGATACACCGCGTGCTCTAGCCGAACCCACGTGATGAGCGTCATGCAGAACACAAAGTAGAAGAGCCCCTCCCAGGAGATGGTGAGGATGATGAATGTGGGGGAGAAGGTGAGAAACAGGATCATCGATCGGTGGAGGTAGTGGCTGCTCGGGTACAGACGATGCAGGAAGGGCAGCATAAGCGACGCGACTAAAACACTGTGTTAGCGCAAACGGCCGAAACACTCCGAAACACGAGGCGAGGAAAAGTCAAAGTCTGTCATCTGGACCAACGTACCTAGCACACCCCAGCCAACCACTTGGTTGCCCCACGGCAGACCCTGCTTCGCCTGGAGAGACAGGGCACTCGAACGTGTGACAATCAGGGCAAGCAGCACCATCCCAACCTATCGCACGTCAGTGGCGGTTCCGCCTAAACA